TCGGCGGTCAGCGAGAGATCTGGCAGCACTGCCATCTCAGACTCGAGATCCTCTACGAAGAGGCCGGACCCCTCGTGGATGAGGACCGCGTCTTCTTCCTCCTGCTCATCCGGTTTTGCCTCGTCGCGTTCCGGCTCGGCGGGTTCTGGTTCGTCGAGTTTCGGCTCGGCGAGTTTTGACTCAGGCGATTCCTTCATCGCAGCGCTTCCAGCCACTGTCGGAGGCCCATCGGGTTCCACTTCCACCGCCTCCTCGCCCGTTTTCCGCTTGTGGTCGTCGGGCGGCACCTCTACCCCGCTTCCCTTCGGCGCGCTCGCGACAGCCGCCAACACTGGGTCACGGCGCGTCGCGTCCCGAGTTGTCTCGGCTCCGGGCGCAAGATGGCTTTAGGCGTCGGGTATGAGGGGCGATTCGTCATCGGCCCGTCGAGCTCGGCTAGGATCCAGTTCTCCTCCGCGTCGCGCATCGCGCCGTACGCCAGATTTTGCCACTGCTGGTACCGGGTGGAGCCCAGTCGGACGAATCCACGATTCCGAGGCTGGCCGTCAGACGGCGTCCACCACCCAAGCGTTTCATGCGCGTCGAGGGTTATCGCTGCGTCTCCGATGTTCGTGACACGCAGGTACGTTTTCTTTCCGACTCTCCCCTTGCCAAAGGTAGTCACCCACGACTCTGCCCGTGTCACCCACAGGAACGGCGCGTATCGATCCGGCCTCAGCAAGACTTCATGCGTGTCTCCTGGTTCGAGCCTCACAGGCGTCTTGACGTTGACCGGGTGCATCCGTGCGCCGTATAGCGGTCATCTGGATATGCACCTCGTCGAGGAGGCACGCCGTGCCATCCGCAGTACTCCAGCGGGCACCATGAAGTTCATTCCCAGGATTGCGTGTTGGCCGACCAAGTCGCCGACCCACAGGTGCATGTAGTACACCAAGTTACCAGCCAAGGTAATCTTGACTCTGGTTCTCCCCACCGTGTAATATGTCTCATCACGAATTCCCACACACTCTTGCGTGATCTCTGTGTCGATCAGGCAGCCTACCTCACGAGCAAAGGTGGTGACCAGGATGGACACCTCGGCACCTGTGTCGAGCAATAGCACAGCACGGCACTTGTTCAGCTTTCCATGAATCTTGGCCTGCTTGTACCACTTGTGCGGCGCGTAATGTTTCCAGTATCCGCGTCGCTCTCCTGGTTGCAAGTCGATCTCGTCCAGGGGTGGTTCACGTGCAAACTCGTCGTCCGTCGTACGTCGGACCGCCGAGATTCTCGACGCGCGTTCTTGCGTGGTACGTTCCAGGTTGGATTTACATGTATTATCATTCAGGGAAGTCGGGCTCTCACAAACCGCCTCTCGCGACTTCTTCGTCACATATGCATAGATGGAAACAGGTCGCTCGTCTCGTACTGGTTTCCAAGCCAGCGAGCGTCTTAGTTTAACATCTTCTCCGCGGCCGGTGGCAGCATTCCCGCGTGTTTATTCGGGTCAAACCACTGGCGCAATTGGTTGAAGAACTCCTCAATCGGGCATTCTCCGGCTTCGTGCACGTCACCGCAGGCCTTGCACACCCTCAACCATCGCTCCGTCGGGTGCTGGCCACCACACTTCTGACACGTCAACAACTTCCAGCAGTCTCCTTCGACATGGCGACGTGAACCACAGTGGCGGCACCGCGGGCGGTCGCGTCCCGAGTCGTCGGGATCGAAGTTGCGACGCGCCGGCTCTCCCGGCGGGGCCTGTCCCGCGACGAAGAACTTGGCGCGTTCTTCGTCCGCCTCGTCTTGGTCGTACTGGCGATCGTCGCTGTCGCGACTTTCGCGTTCCGAGCCGTACTCGTCCGACGCAACGTGAATCGCATGTACGGCGCGCGCCGGCGGAGTCGGCGCCTTTTGGCGGAACTTGTTCAAGCCGAAGAGGGTCTTCTTCTGGTGAGCCAATCCACGTTGTCGGGCACGCAGCTTCATCTCCAGCGCCGCGGAGTCGGCGACCTCCATCAGCGTGAGACGCGAGGCGAGTTCGGCTTCCTGCGTGTTCAGCGTCCGGATGAAATGCTCGACGTGTTCGCGCTTCTCTTCAGTCGTGCCCTCGGCGTATGGGATGTTGGCCCTCATGCCCGCGACGCTGAGCCGGTACAAGTAATCCAGAGGGGTCTCGTCGGGGCGCTGAACCGCATGGTAGTAGCTACTGGCCATTGACACGCCCTTGCCGCAGTACTGCACCCGGAATTGCTCCATCAGCTCGGTCCACGATTTCTTGACCTTCCTGGACAACTGGAGATACCATTGGCGCGCAGGGCCGCTCATTAGATCGCTGAACTGCCCGCACACTTCTTCGCCCGTCATCCCGTCGCGCCGCGCGGCGGACTTCAGACGGTTGAGCCACAGTCTGGATTTCTCTTCGCTGGCGTCCCGTCCCGAGAACTCTTTCAGCTCGGAAGATGCTGAGAGGCGTACGCGGGCGAGGGCTACGCCGCCGGCTGTCGCCGTCGAGACGGCGGCCGCGGTTCTTGGCACTCCGGTGTCCAAGTCGAACAGGTCATCGGGGTCCTCGTCCGCGTCGCGTCGAGTTCTGGACCTCGTCGAAGAACGCAAACTGACCGACTCCATGGCGACATCGGCTGCCTCCTGGGGACGAGCCACCGTGGGTGTGGGATTCGAGGGCGGCTTCGGCCCCGTCGGAATTGCGGCCGTGTCGGCGCGCGGGGTGGTTATCACTGTCGTCTGCATCAGCCTGATGATAGATTCTCTCAAGGCCTTGGGAAGCACCTCCTCGGCGGGTTTCGTCACCTCTGTGCGTGTGGGCGCCGCGGATAGCTGCATGATGCGCGGCGGCCGGTTCATGGGCATGCGCTTGGACGACTCGAAACTGCTGTCGGAGTCCACGCTCGATTGGTATCGAGGTGGAGGCGAAGGCGTGGTCGTCGAAGTCTGGGCTGGACCCGCCGAGGGGCTCGGCGCGTCTCGGCCCGTCGCGGAACTCGTCGCGTCTTGTTTAACGGATCCGGCGAGAATCGTCAAGGGCTCCTGCACGACGCTAATCGCGCGCAGCCAAGACTTGAGGTCCCAATCGCACAGCCTCTCCATCTCGAAAGCTCCCAACACGAACCCCGAGTCACGCAGCATCTGGAAGAGAGTCGGCGCGGCGTGGGCGACGCTGGTGAGGTTATCGAAGTCCGGCGCCACGAAGGGGCCTGTGAAGTTGCTCATCAACATGGACTTAAGGAAGACTAAGATTGGGTCTTGTTCTAGCAGACGGAAGAGCTCCGTGCGCGCCACGACGTACCGTACCTCCTCGACGGTGTACTGACGTCCCGTGTCCTTGCCTTGCGCCTTGGACAGCGACTCCTCCGCCGAGTCCGGCGCGCGCAGCTTCTTTTTCTTCCTCTTGGGCGACTTGCGCTTCGTGGCTGCCTTGGCGGTGGGTTGTTGTTGGTCGTCGGCCTTTGCAGGCTTCCGACCGGTAGGACTGTGACTTGCGTCGCGGCCCTTCGCGGCTCCCTCGTCGGGAGCCGCATCGGGAACGGCAAACTGTTCTTCGTAGCCCTCCTGGTCGTCGCTAGCCCCGTGGCCTGTCGTGAAGGTTCCCTCAGAGCTCCACGACGCGACAGGTCTCTCCCTGTGTTCTCTTGCGGTCGGCGACCTTCCAGCCGACTGCGCACCTGCCTCCGATGCCTCTTGGATCGTTGGCCCGTCATTCGAAGTAGTACTCCCGGGTCGCGGCACCATTGTGGAGTAGCGCCCTTGCAGAAATCTCGCGAATGCGATCTCGCACAAACTCGGCGCGTCTGGATAGCGGTCGCGCCGAGCGAATTATTCTCGGTTGTTGGAGTAGAGTATCTTCGAAATACAGGCCCAAGTCTTCGCAGGCTTCGGAGTTGGAGGGGGGGGTTCTTGTGTTGACGCTTGTTCCTTGTCGTAGGGCGTCGAGCCTTGGGCGTGCGGCGTTATCGGGCCGGCGTTTCCTCGGCGTTCCCGTCAGGCGTGCGGCGTTATCGGGCCGGCGTTTCCTGGGGCTTGTGTGGCGTTATCGGGCCTACACGGGGGGCTTGTGCACAGCGGTTATCAGGCCAGTGCGGTCCTTCGCCTAGGCAGCGCGTTATCGGGCGCCCACCTAAACGGTATACGTTTAACGTGCCTTTGTTCCAGCACGGGTCTGTGGGGGGTGAACACCCGAACCAGCAAACGACGGGGGGCCGGGATATCGAGGCGGCTCTACTTGCCGGCGCTTGGTGGTTCCCCTGGAACCTCGGAGAAGACGGGAGGTCTTTGTGGTTCAGAGAAATTTCGGGACTGAGTCCTTACCCTATCCTATGTCCTTGCTACTGGCTACTCTGTACTACTGCTTGCTAAGCCTACCGCTCTGGGCCTATCCCTACTTCTGTCGTGCTTGCACTGCCGTCCTTCAACCTGGTTTGCGTGGCGCAATCAAGATCTTACCTCGGCGCGTTTTGGTCGGCGGGGGTTAGGGTCGGCGCGTTTTGCAGAACCGGGTGCGCTGGTCGACCCGTCGGATGACTACGCGTCGCACTGGATTCTGGCACCGTGTCTCACGGCCCATCACCCACGTCGACTTTCCCGTCGAGCTCGGCCCTGCGTCGCGCCCATCAATCCGCGTCGCGTTCCATCAGCCGCGTCGAAGTCCATTACTCGCGTCCCGGCGCCTTCTTCCTCCGGCGCCCGGCGCGCCCACTTCTTCCGCGGGGTACTACACCACAGTGAAACTGGATGGTCAGTGTGTCAATCCCAGCGCGATACATGTGCGTCGCCCCTCCTGCTTTTAGGGAGTGGGCACTGTAAGAGCTGGGGTTGCTACCGGACTGAGCCGCCGCCCGTTGAATTGCCTTGGACAGGGTTGCGGAATATACGCACTCTGGAATGCCGTCCTTGTTCAGGTACACGGCTGCAGAAATGTTGTGCGGCAGTGACCTTCTTGCGTTGACAAGGCACAATGCTCCGAATACGGGACACACGAGGCGGTGTCCGGAGCGGTTTAGCATCCGTAGTGTTGGCTCGCCGCGCTGTTTTGTCTTAGAACCGGTGAGGCGGATGTGTACAGACGCCGCTGTCCTTGGGGATACCGACGGTGTGCCGCTATCGTCGAGAATAGCGATATCTTCGGCTTTCAGTGCGAACCACGCGAAGTTCCCCTTGTTGAGCGAAGCGATCTCGGATCGACGAAGCAGAAAGAAGAAGGCCAGACATATGACCCCCCAGAGAGCTTGATCTGAAGGTCGCACCAGGTTGAGTGTTTGAAAGCACAATTCAAGCTGGTGGATGGAGACGGGAGCCTTGTGCTGGACGGGAGTGTCGAGGCGACCGATGCCCTTCAGAAGCATGCGAATGTGTGGATGGCCACAAGGGAAATCGGACCCAGCAGCCACGAAGAAGTGACGAATGCCGGACAGCGTTGCCGAGATGGTCGAGCTACGCACGGGATGGCCCGCGCCGTAGCCTTCGCGAAAACCCCGCAGAACAAAGTCGGTGATGTGTTGGACGCTGGCTGATAGCGTCTCGTTCTCGAAGGTTGGGGAGATGCCGCTGCGCTCGCACCAACTAAACCACTTGCGTAGCGACTTGAGGTACTGATCATAGGTAGTTACAGGGACGGAGTGGGCTCGGAGATGGAACGCCAGATCGTCTCCAGATCGGACGAAGATATGGTGGCTTGAAGCTGCGACCAACCAGGAGTCAGAGGCGCAAATATGTTAGCACTCAAAGAATTGTTAGACATGCGTGAGCCCGCGTCCGCGACAGTGTTGTCCACCCCGGCGATGTGTGATGACGAGAACCGTAGATTGTGCTCCACTTCCCATAGCGAAAGCAGTCGAATGACCGTCTGAGCACGGCGGTTGCCGGAGGCCAGCTTGGATTGCCAACTTACTGCCGACGTATTATCGATGCGGAAGTGTACGTGTAGCGGGATTCCGGTGTTTGTGGTCTGACTGCGCGCTGCCCACGATGAACCCCATGTGTGAACCGCGAACGCACAAGATAGAATCTCCCGGTAGTTAATGTCAAACCCGACGGCGGGTACATTCTTGGTCTCCTCTATCAGCTTCCGCTCGATCTCGTTGCACTGGTACGTCAGCGCGCGCTTCTCAGCACGGATGATGGCGTATAAGCTCGAGTCGGAGGCATCCATCTCGACGATAATACTGGCTTCTGGAAGCATGTTGAAGTATTCTAGCGGGACGCCGTTGAGTGATGTCGTGGCCAGGATACGAAGCCACCAATGTAGGTCGTCACGCATTTCATTGTTCACCGGAACCGATTGCCAACGGTGCATGTAGCGTTCGTGCTGCCGCAGGCGTTGCAGGAAGGCTCGGGCCGGGCGGATGCATGTCGCCACGTGACGGAGACTCCCTAACAGCGAACGGTATGACGTCCGGCTCATGGAGGTGCATCCAAGAGCAGCACGCACAATACGCTGAGCTTTTGCGACTTTGTCGGCGGGCATCGACACCACCCCAGCGGCGGAATCGAAAATCAAACCAAGCGCCTTCTGTTTCGTGCACCAACCAGAGAACTTGTCCTCCTTGATAGCGGAAGGGCCAAGGATAGTCAGCATTGCGTGACGCAGAGACTGTTCCATGTCCATGCAATTGGACCCCACGTCCGCGGCCACATTGATATGGTCGTCCACCCAATGGTAACTGAAGAAGTCGTCAGGGTTAAACTTGTTCACCGTGTTGCCGTGGATGAAGGAGATAGCACCGCCCACGACACCATAATTACCCGGTGAACCTGACCAGCCGAAGGCGGCGGACATGTCAATGATGAGGGCAGCATCCCGGTGGAGACGTACACCGAAGAGGTGGACACACTGGCTGTGGATACACACATGTCGGTAAGCCGATGACACATCGCCAGCTTGCTCCTTGACCTCTGCGCCTGGGTGGCGTTTCTTTTCTTGTACAATAGTTGTCGCTACGGCGTCGCAATGTTGATATTTCGGCTGACAGATCGCGGTCCGGTCAGTGTGGTCGTTGAGAGACACGTTAACCGGGCAGGATAAGTCATGAATGACCCGGCCGGTGGTTTGAGGGTCACCGTTACCTTTGTCCACGACCCCGAAGGGGCTGATGTGAACTTCTGGCCACAACTCCAGAATGTCTTCGTCGACGACGATGCAGCGCTAGGCATCTTGATCGCGCCGGATGTTTTTGACGAGCACATTGTATCTTTCGTCTGCGGAACGGTGGTTGGGCGGGCGCACGGATTGGCGCGGGAGCGGGCCGGCTAACGGCACCCGCGCACCGGATTCTGCAATGTCAAGTAGGTGTGGTAGATATTTGTAGTCTCGACACGCTTGCCGCAGCACGGCTGGAATCATGTTTTTGTTGGGCCTGAAGTCGTCCGATGTTTGGCCCCGTAGTAACTCAACCAATTCCGGCAGCCCAATACGTGTGCGGCGGACGAATTCGGACAGAACTGACTGCAATGCTTTGTTCAGGTAGTATACCCCTGCCTCGGCAATAGGAGGCGCAGGAGGAAGCACCAAATCGACAGCGCCGAGAGCTGAACGAATGCGGCGAAGGCGCACGGTATCCCACAGCGCAGCGCGCTGAGTGGCGGCCCGGGCATACAAATGAGTCTCGGTGGCGGACGGGGCGCGACGAAGTCGCAGTTGCAACGGAAGAGTCCCAGGACACCCTGTGCCGCTGCCTGGGCGTGTTCGCTGATCCACAACGTCTGGCGCGCTGCTACGCTCGATCGTCACGGAAGCGGTTATTGCCCTGGCTGGCGGCAGGCCAGGGGGCGCTGCGTCTGAGATGCCGTGGGGTGACCTTGTAATAAGTATGCTGCCGTGGGGCGAGCATGGTGGCCGGCGGGACAAACTGTCCTGCGGAGTGTCTGAATGCAACGACATGCCATGGGGCGATGCCGCGCGTTGAGTGCTAGAAGATCCGGGTGGTATGGCGTCGGATGCGTGTGTAGCAGATAAGGGCTCACTAGCAGAGATAAAGCCACAAAGCGTGTATTTGTGTAATCTGCCGTTGATCCGAAGTGACGGTGAACCCGCATCACCTAGGCGCCCTCACTGACGCCCACGCCGGGAGTCTGCACTAGCGTCATTGCGGGAGTCGGAGCGGTTCTCTTGACACGCTGCCGCGCGAGACCCCAAACCAGGGCCGTAGTGGCGGTCAATAAAGTCTTGGACGTCGCGGGGCTGCCGGCGGTCAAAGCGGTGCGTGCGTCGGGAATGCGCGCAGCGTTCAGCGCTCCCACCGTAGCAAATACCGCCGCTGAAGTACCGGAGGCAAGGCTCGCGACCGTCGGCATCGCGAGGGATTTGGCGGCGTACATGGTCCGGCATGATCGGGACGCGGCCGGCCGGAGCTCCCCGGGGGGGGGGGGGGGGGGGAGCAGCGGTGCACCGCGGGGCCTGGCGCACCGATGCCTCGGAGGCTTGTGGGCGGGCGAGGCGAAGCGCCAAACCATTGAGGGCCGCTTGCCAATCCGCCGCGTGGTAATCCACGGCACGCACGGCTTCACAGTAATTGCGCCACCAGTCAGGCAAGTCTTCAACGAGATGGGCCATGGCCCGGCCGAGGTAGTTGTTGACGTACAGGAGGGTCAGCGTGACGCGTTCCGGTGTGTTCGTGTCTCTCTCCATGTTGGCCAATACGAATCGCTTCAAGCGAGATGTAAGGCGGCGTACGTGATCATAGAAGAGCGCGTCACCAAAGGAGGTAAGCCCGCTGATTGCAGCCAGCAGATCTTCATAGGTCGCGCACTGAGGTGTCGTCACTGCCAGTACGGCACCAGCCCCGAAGTCTAGCGCAAACTTGGCGTTCGTTGAACCACGGTGAAGCTGTTCCATCTCCGTCAACGGCCTGAAGTACATGATCGTTAGACCACGGTTGCCTTGACGGGCGCTGTACAGAGCCATCAACACGGTGGGGGGGGTTACCTCGAAGCGCACAAACTCGAGCTCACGCAGCTCTATAACAAAAGACAGCGGAGAGGCGTACGCACCTGCCCCGGAGCTCAATGTCTTGTACAGTCGATGCGCTGCGAGTCGGTCGCTTGCGGAGGGTAGTATTCTCCCTTTACCCGCGTCCGCGGGGCTGGGAAGCTGGCACAACGTAGATGTTGGATCGCAGCCGGAGGCATATCCTCAGGGTGCCCGCTCAAGGGCAAGGTCCATGCTGTGGTTGAGCTGGCCAGGCTCGCACCGGACCCGAGGGCGCCACTAGCGTCACTGCCACCTTCGCTGGCGTGGTGCTGGAGTCGGTGCCGGCCTGGCCGACGCAACGACTTGTTGCTTTAACTCGTGCACCATTGCAAAGAGCCGATCCAGCTTGCTCTCCAGCGACGAGGCAGGTGCGAAGGCTGGAGCCGCTGGCGGCCGCGGGGCCGACAAAGGTTGCGGGGCTGGTGCCGACAGCCTACCGCTGAACTCCTCCAGGGAGGTGTCGAGGCTGAATGCTGACGGTGCAGCCTGTACAGGATTGGGCGTGCCGGAAGGCCCCGCCGGAATGGGTACTGACGCCGACGAGGTCGCCGCGCGGGGCGCTGATGTGCAAGGTGCGGTGCTGTCGTCGTCGCTCAGCCAGACGAGGAACGACGAGGAGTACGCTCGCCCGAGTTCGGCCGCAGCGGTGCTAGCGCACTCGTGGCTGACTCGCGCTCGACCGACGAAGTGGCGGTGTCGGACTCGGGCAGCGCAGAGCTCGTGGTCGCAGGAGCGTCCGATGAGGACGTGCCGGGTTGCCGGCCGCCAGTCTTGGCAGCCTCGGCGACAGCCTTGACAGCTTTCCGTTTCTTCTTCCCGGCCGCTGCAGAAGGGGCGGCCGCGATGCTGCGCTTGGATTTCGTTCGCGCCGCCGCCGCCCGGGACGCGATCCGCGTGCTGGACCGTGACGGCGAAGCCGAGGGTGCGACTGGAGACGCTGCTGCATCGTCGACGACGATGACGTCGACCGCAGCGCCGTTATCCCCGGAGGTGGCCGGAGGCGCTGCCGCTTCGCCGCCGGTGGCTTTACCCACGGACAACGTGGCCGTGGTAGACACTGGGGCTGTTCCAGTGCCCTGGGCATGGTTGGTGTCGGACGCGGACTCAGTCGGGGCATGATCCTGGCTGCGCGGTGCAGACGCGGGCGATCGAGGCGACGACATGATCACGGGATCGGGAGGAAGACTAGTGTGGAAGGTAACTTGCTTGTTGTTTGCTTGGATGGCGGACACTTGCAAACTGATCGAGCTGCCCAACAGGCTAGCGGCGCCTTGACCTCCTGCGGTAGCACAGCCCCCGCCAGGCTACCCGACCCTCGTCCTCGAAGTCCTACCGGTAAATTCCTCTGCCGCATCACTTCTTTCCGGCGGAAACCTACATTCCTGTTGCTGCGCCCACGAATTACAATTCCCAAGCCCAACTGGCAATCAATCGTTTTTGATTTCGAGACGAGCATCAAGTCCAAACTCCTTACGCGTTGACATTCAGTCTACAATTTCACCCCCGCCGATCAAGTCTTTCTCCATGCGAAGCCACGTTCTCCATCCTCCCGCCAGCCACGCGTTGAGCGAAGACATTTTTGGTAGTGTCACCCAGCGCAAGCTGCCACTGCAGCACTCCTACAAAGCATGGTTCAGCAGCAGGGTTACAGACACCAACGAGTCGTCAAATAAACTTCCTAAGGTGAACCTCTCTATGTCTGACATCACGGCGATAGTAGACCCATCCACACTGAAGACGCTGCATATGCTGCAGCAGCTCAAACGAGAGCGTCGACGCGTATCCCAGCAGAAATACATGAAGAAGAAGGCCACGGCTGATGCAACCCTCGAGAGATACATCCCGCTGCTACGTGACGAAGTGAAGAGACTGGAAGTCCAGGGAGACCGTCTCCTACGTCCGAAAAAAACTCTGTGGTTGGCAGCAGTCGAGTACTTCCGCATCTTCGAGCACGGGCTGTCTGGTCCAGACGAGCCACACGCCAAGGACTTGGGGTTCCTGCGCGCAGTGGTGGCGCCGGAGGTGGATTTAGGTGCGTGTACTGGTTTCGAGGCGTTGATGACGAATTGGCGGACGTCCACGTAGTTCTTTCCAGACGTTAGCGTTCAGCTCACGAGCCTCAACCAGATCACCAAAGCCTCCATCGTTGCAGTACCACCACAACCATCACAATGACGGAGCAATCCCTGCACACCGTGTTCCCACGCTTGGTCGATGGCACCAGAGATGAGAAGGCTCACCGGGAGCGCATCGTTTCCCAATTGTTGGGGCAGCGGATCGTGCTAAGAGGCTCAGTGCGTTTTGGTTGGGACAGCGCGAGTAGGCGCGTGACTCAGTTGTATACCTACGCCGACATGGTTTGCCGCTGCTGCAGTTAGTCGGCAGTCTTGAAGACGTTTTACTCATTTTTGGTGACGCTCGCATCACTCTCGATTGCAACTTGGTCGCAGCGACCGCCAGGACACAGTTGTCACGGCGTCCATAGTGACCTTGATGGAATTGTGAGTAGGGACGACTTCACCTGTGCTTCCCAATTGTGCTAACCGAAATGATCCTATACCGACTTCCCACCTACTTCCCCCTTCTAGCCCCAGACCTTATTCTGTATCCTACAGAATAAGCATTAGACTTGATTAAAGTATACTTTAAAACCTGTCAAAGATTTGCTGTTGGAAGCCCTTTCGCATCTTGCGGTCAAGCGCTGGGTACATTGTGCACAGAACAGCTACGAAAGTGAACAAAACATGCTCAATGTATCCACCATATGCCGAAATGGCGAGCTTCTATTGGTCGTGGCGAGCGTAGAGCACGCTCAAAACCTGCTACATGGTAATATCTTGCAAGGCTGCTAAGGCAGCATACCTCGGCTCCAGCCACCCATCTTCGGCACGTCGCGATAAACGCGGAGGAAGAAATCGCCCTGTTCCTAACTGACGTAGTGAGGAGGAACTGAGCGAATTCTTCCTTGTGCTTGACATTAGCGCATCATTAGATTTCTTTAGCCCACCTAACAAGCTTGTTACGATTGTCTCTCTAACAACACCAGGGAGCTTGCATGCTCAATAGCCCGTAGTGATACGCACTACACACGGTTCCTCTTCTACGAAACAGGACAATATATGATATTCATGCCAACGTCTACTTCTTCCTTTACATGCGCACGCTCTTCAATGTTCGCGCCAGCCGTGGGTCATCTTCGCCATTTTGGCAGCCTCCGCTTTGCTCTGTAGCCTCCGGCACTGCCGCTCCATTCCTGCCGCTTTCATCGGTAGCCTCCGTCGTAGCCTTTGTCCATTCTTCTGTAATCTCCGGTGTAACCGCATCACGCGGAGAGCTTCTTCTGTAGCATCCGTCGTAGCATCTACCGCTTCTTCTGTAGTCTCCGGTGTAGCCACACCATGAGGAGCGCTTCTTCTGTAGCCTCTTGAGTAGCCACTGCATCAGCTACAATATAGCGGTAGACCCGGCTGTAGCCGGCTTCGTAGGAACCGATGAGGTTGTGCGCTGACTCCGCAATCGATCTGCCAATCGGGCCACACGCGAGAGCTCATAGCGTCGTCTGGATCGGATCACCAGGTCTGGTAATCAACATCGCAACGTAGAATCAATATACCACTAGTACGATGTTACAGAGCAAAGTACACGCTCTCGCTTACCTGTAGATCACAATGGCGCTCATCATGATCGTCTTCGGCCATGGTCCTTGGCCACTTGGGCGCGCTCGACGGGCCCCAACAAAGCTTGTATTGCGACGTCTTGAACAGCGCCGTTTCGGAATGAAGGAAAGTACGAGTGGCTGACACGCGGCGGTTTTAGGCTTCCGCCCGAATTTTCAAACCTGTTGGTGGTTTATTCTCGTCCGTCTATTACCGCGGAATAAACCCCGTTTATCTTCCCATCGCTAATCTAACAGGAAGATGTGCACAATACCGGCTATACAAACATCCATATGCGAAGTTCGAAAGAGAGGACAAGTTTGCTGGATATTATGTCCTGTGACAATGCTTATTCTGTAGGATACAGAATACGGGGTTAGAGGGGTTAATCGATCGCACGGCAAAGGCTGAGGTGACATCGTTCACCCTGCCCTCTATTCTTTGAAGTTAATTAAAACATGTAACTTGGGTGTAACTTACTTAAGTACCAAGTTGCTTAGGTGTATGGTATCCGGAATTCGTTTCCCTACTCTCCGAACAGCTTGGGTTTCCGTCGTTCTCGATGAGTGTCAACAGGGTTTGGTAGTAGTCTTCAGAATAGTAGCGTTAGTAGGCATATTATGACTACTACTACTATTACTACTACTATAGCTCTGGGATTGGAGCCATTAGTAGTACTATTTATAAAGCAGCCAAACGAAACATGGATAGTAGTACTATTATCACTACTAATGTACCCATTCCTCAACCGACGGCAGATCGCACGAGTGAGTGGCCACGCACCAGTCAGGATCCCTCATTAGGCTTCCAACTTCACGCAAACGTGTCATGAAGTGCGTGAAGAGTGATTGCCACCAAAGTGCCATATCGGAGACTTTTCCGTGCTGTGTATGCGGCCGACAGGTGCATCATTTGTGCAACAACGTGCTGTGTGGCAAATGCAAGCTAACGTTATCTCAAAGGTAACGCTTCTGTTCGTGGTTCCCTTTGTAGCTTCAATTGTACTAAGCAGCTCGCCATACGGATTTTGCGGCCGCACACGTGTTACCAGGGACTTTAATGCGGAGATACCGACTCCCAGGAGCCTACACTCAACTGTACATCTGAGAATTGTCCTTACTCTCAAGCCAGCCTTCTGAGTAAGAGTAACATACTTCAACTTTCGAGTACATTATTTCTTTTGGAGTTAGTTTGCTGTATAAAATAGAAGCTAGATATATCAACGTAAGGTGCTACAAGCGAAGTGAATAGCATATTACAAGCAGTCTGGGGAGTCTTCTTGGCCTGACGACGCTTAACTTTCCTATTAACCTCTTCTCGTCAGTACATGTATGCCGATGATCTCCTCCTCATGTATACTTGCGCTGTGCCTTCCTCCTCTTTTTTCTAGGTTGCCATACTGGGCATGGCATCTTTCCAAAGAAACCAGAAGCCATTTGCGAAGTTACTCAGAAGTCATCACTTTACTCTAAATCAAGTACCTCACTCTATCGCTTGTGATCGAGCAATGCGCCGACATTCAGGCAAGGCAGACGGATCGTGTGAAATAGAAGACGCAATATAAAGGTTTGGAGGGTTGAGCAGCTTTGAGGAAGCATTTACGTGTGCTGTTGGTTCGCGGAGGATCGCGAAAACTTACTCATGCTTGAACGCTGCTCGTCGCCAAGCGCGTCTAAACCGGGTCTTTCGTGAGGGATCCTCTTAAGATGACAACGGACAGCGCGCACCTACAGTTGTAGTTGTAGTTCATACTTCGCATATGGAGGCCAGTAAGCACCATTGCGGTCGGAATTCGGAATGATGGTCAAATAGTCAAAATTAGTAGTCATATTTGTAGTCATATTAGTACCACCGATGCCTCACTACTAATAGATATACCATTCTACTATTGCCAGAATTTGGATAGTAGTAGTATGACTACTAGCCAATATTCCCACTACTACCAAACCTGAGTGTCAATCTTCCATTCCACTCGCAGCGCTCAAGTCATTTCCAAGGTCCCCACTGCCCAACCTGGTAATCAAATCGATTAGTTGCGAGCCAAGCTTCACGTTCAACCTCCTTCAAGCGTGTCCGCCCCAACCTGACCCCATTCCGCTCGCACCAATCCAATATTTCTCCATGCGAAGCCAAGTTCTGTACCTAGCAGAGTTCCAGATGCCTTGCCGTCGAAGGAACGCGGTCGGATCAGCGAGTCGCCGCAGACCAACCTCTCCATGGCCGACTTGGTCACGATAGCAGACCCGGCAACGCTAGAGATGCTACATGAGCTGCAGCAGCTCAAACGCCAGCGCATATCCCAGCGGAAATACGTGAAACGGAAGTCCAAGGCTTACGCAGGCCTCGAGAAGTACATGCCGCTACTACAGTGTACGTGACGAGGTTAGTCGACTGCACATCCGACGAGACCGTCTCCTGGGCGCCAAGGAAACTCTGTGGTCGGCTGCAGTCGAGTACCGGCATCCTCCGTTCTTTACTGACAACCATGTTTGGCTACATCTTGGCTTCAATAAATGGGTAAAAAAAGTGATGTCTGCCACGCATTGTGAAACAGAACTAGAGGATTGGGCTGGTAGTGCGCCTGAATATGCAATTTCGTCGAAGCAAACCAAAATTGTTCGGTTAAATGAACAGAAACTTGCCAACATTTGATACGCATCTGCGGCGCCAGTGCTATTCACGGCGCGCCCCGGAAGTGATGCAGATGTGCTGAGCGATGTAGTGCAGCGGGTTGTTCTTAAACGGCGCGTGGAGCTGCTCCTCCGTGATCTCCTCGCCGAACTCGAGCACCACGTGCAGGTGCGCCATACGGCTCTCCGTCTTCTCCACGAGACTGGAAGCCGACACATGGCGGTTGGCCGCGTCCATAAGCGTTGAGCTGCGCACGTTCGATCAATAGTAAAAATGCATGACGGCTTACAGATTCATGCTATTTCTTCGCGTATTCTCAATATATTTTCGCATTGAATGATGTAGACTAGATATTGATCGACCATCGGCACCCAACGTTGCCACAAAATTAATTTCTTCGAGTAATCCTAAGAAAAGTTGTATGTAGATTTCCGCATTGAATGGTGTATACTAGATATTGATCGACCAACAGCACAAATATCCAGCCACAAAATTAATTTCTCCGAGTAATCCTAAGAAAAGTTGTATGAAAACGCGGTGAAAATGATGAGTGATCTGGACTACAGAGCGCTCCTACGACCACCACCTACGAGCGGTGTTCCGGCCCTCAGTTCAGCTTTTTCGGTCGCTGCAGCAGCCAACCCCCCCCCCCCCGTACTCACGGTAAAAAACTCCGCTGCTGTGGTGCCGAACTAGCTAGACTCACCTCGCCGCAGAACCACCGAACGGACCGACACTCAGACACCCCCCCTCCCCTCCTGCGACCACCTAGGTATGTCGCCGCGCTACCTACCGTGCCTCGCTTCATCATCATCTCGCCTTTGCGCATGCTATCTTAGCCGCATACTGCTGAATGTGTATTAGACTTTAGCATTATTCTATCTTGGTCGCAGCGCGTCAAACATCCTTCGCGTTTTTGTAGATAGATCAAATATTGCTGCACAAACTACTTGCATAGCAACTAGAAAACCGGGTTGCCCGCTATCGTCTCCTCCTTCATTCAAACATTTCAGAGCTGGCACTTTCGTACTTAACGTTTACTCTTAAGCTCTGGAAACGAATATCCTACTGAACTAGTTTTCCACTCCACCGAAAAAGCCTCTGCTTTTACGTGAATTTCAAGAAACTATGCGATTTCTGAGATTATTAAATGACTTTACTTGATTTCAGTAAACTTTTACTTCATGTGCGCCACATATCAGGTGCATCGAATTAGTCCTGGTTGGGCTGTCCATACTTCGTAACCGAAGCACTACCAGGAAAAAGTTCGTTGTTTACTCGAGAAGCTCGTCGCAGACCGAGCTGCTCTCGATGGTATCATGCTCGTCGGCCACAGCCCCAATGCGATGATCTACCAGCCTCAGACTCGAAAGCTCTGCGATCACCTCACTAGCTACAACGTCTACTTCCTGTACTGCGAGCCCTGACTTCTTGTACCCAACCTTGACTGTCTTCTCCCTTAACTCCGCCCACGCTCGCTCAACCCAACTGGCAATGAGCGATCTGTCAGGCGGCACTACTTAGCTTGAACGGAACGCCAGCCTTCCTTCGCTTAAGCTGTTTGCGCCGCTGTTCATGCGCAAACTCATCTAGGCCGCTGTAGAAGGCGTTGATAACGGTGGTGATGTCGCCGCACTGTGCCCAGGCATCGAGCACCGCGAGCTTCTCTGCCACCGCAATTGCGGTGCGTCTGCGGGCAGGTAGATTGGGAAATGACTGACCCTTGCCCATTTTTGTGTTGTCAGTAACAAGTGGAGGCACACGATAAGGTATTTTGATTGGCTATAATCAATTGTCAGTAATAAGCGAACGTCAGTAAAGAGCGGAGGATGCCGGTACTTCCGCACCTTCGAGCACGGATTTTCTGAGCCACATAACGAGAACATTAGGGGGAGTCGAACCTTAAAAATGGCGACAAAAATATCAACAGAGACGGGGCCGAATAATCAGCAACGTTCTGCCCTAAAAATCAACAAATCAAAGTAGGGTACTCACTCAGTTTTCGCATGTAGTTTGGTGAAAACAGCGAGCTATCACTTCCTTTTTCGCCAGCACGCGCAGGCTCTTGCTTAGTGCATATACATCTTCTTATATTCAGCTTTATACCTAGCAATGGCCGACTCCAACGTAACACTGTCCAGCAGCTCACAACGTCTCCATCATCGCGAGTTGACATCTAAAACTTGTTTATAGTGATAGTAAACATGTTTATTTGGAGAGGATTCGTGTGAAAACTTGCCTAAACACATACACAACAGTTTCTAATTGAGGAGGGACTTCAAAAACAGCAGAAATTGTATCAGAGGTCGAGGAGGGAACAGCAAGCGGTACCACTTGAAGTTCGAAATCATCATGATGATTTTTCAAATCAACCACCTCCGGAGGTGGTTGATTTTGAGAATCAACAAGATTTCGCCGAAATAATCAACATCAAATCGCCCTAAAAATCAGCACGTTTTTTGCCAGGTTCACTCCCCCTATTGAGTTCTTGCGCGCAGTCGTGGCACCGGACGTGGATTTAGGTGCTTCGACTGGTTTCGAGGCATTGATGGCGAATTGGAGGACGTTCACGAAGTTTTTTCCAGATGTCCGAATCCAGCTCAGGAGGTGAATGGGGGGTTAAGCATGTTGCGAACGACTCCCTCGTTGCCAGTACCACCACAAGCATCACAATGAGGATGAAAACACTGCAAAACGTGTTTCCACACTTGGTGGACGACTCTAACGTCTAGAAGCAGCGCATCGTTTCACAGCTACTCGGACAGCGAATCGCGATGACAGGCTCAGTGCGTTTTGGCTGGGACAGTACCAGCAAGCACGTCATCGCGTTGTATGCTCATGCCGACTTGGTGTCGCCGCTGCTGCAGCTTAGTCGGCAGTCTTGACGATGCTGCCTTTTTTTGATGACGCTCTCATCACACCAGACTGCAATTTGGTCACACGTCACAGAAATACTAGTAGAGCAACAGATACGACACCACCCACACGATACGACTCACTTGCTCGCCAATGCATTAATTCTTTCCACTAACAAAACCTCTGGAACTTATCTTCTTCTCTTCATGTTGGTAGCATCTCTGCGGTACAACTTCAGCTTGAGAGCTACACCCAGCTGTACGATCGACTCCATCCACTTTGGGCGCGGGCTCAATCAGCTTGTTTGGCCTTCAGCAGAGCCAGAAACTCGCGGTTCACTTTGCGATCTTCCTGACGCTCGCGGCGCTCCGCCTCCAAGCACTTCAACTCGCGCTCGCGGATCTCCAACTCCCGCTGACGCAGACTGACGTAGTCCGCCTGGATACCCGCCATCATGGTCTGCAGTGCCTCCGCGCTCTTGCGCTGGTTGGCCATGATCTCCGAGATGGTGGCCAGCAGCTTCTCTCGACCCGATTGGGTCTCCCGCTCAAGCGCAGCGGCAAACGACTCTTGGCCGGCGTCGGTCTCATCGAAGCTGACAACTTTCTCCTCGTCGTTGAAAGGAACTTCCTCATCTTCCTCCTCCTTAATGCTAGGCTTCTCTTCTTCCTGCCCCACATTCTCCCCTACCTCTTCCGCCTTCCCCTCTTCCTTAATGCTAGGCTTCTCGTCTTCCTCCTCCACTTGCCCCTCTTCTTCTTCGTCCTCCTCGTCTCCAACTCGAAGGTACTTGTCCTTCTCCTCCTCGGACTCGAGCGTCTGGTAGATGGCCCAGTGCACTTCGTGCTGAGCCTTCAAGTGGCGCATGAAATAGTCCGTCCGGAAGAGCGGCCCCGCCCAGCTCTTGACGTCCGGCTGCAGCTTCCTCTTGCTACCAACCGCCGCGTCGTCGTCTTCCTCGGGGCCGAACGCCCGACACATCCGACACTCGACTTCTCGCACGCCGTCCACGATACTGCGTCGCGACACTCGCAGCGCGTACTTGACGGCGTGCGCGTCTTGGAACGGCAGCTGGCGCAAGGGCTTCTTGGCCGCCGACGGCATCCTAACGGGATTTTAGCAGCAACCTCGTTCAGTCTCAAAACTCAAATCTGATAATGCTTCTCATTGGCTACCACAGCTTCTATTTTCAGCCAATCGCAGCAATTCGTAGCTCCTCAACCAGCACAACCCCACAATTAGCATAGCACTTTTCTTCTTCATTACAACGGACACGTCGATTACTATGGGCGGGTGTCCGACCATGATCCAGCGCCGCAACAAGGTGGCGCTGCCCCCAGGCTACAGCCAATTGGTGCGTGCATGCATGCACCTCACCTCAAATGCAGCAATGTATAAACAGTAATTGTTTTATTTCTTACTGCAGCACTGGATGCGGCTGTGCCAATCGGGACAAGACCTGTCGGGGCTTCGCGGCGGCCCGCCGCGCCGCGCCATCACCATGGAGGAGGTGAGTCGCCACAACACCGAGGAGGACTGCTGGAGCGTGCTGGACGGCAAGGTGTACAACATGACGCCGTACCTCAAGTTCCACCCGGGCGGCGTGGCCGACCTCCTGCTCTCGGCGGGCGGGGACTGCACCGACCTGTTCAACGAGAAGCACCCGTGGGTGAACGGCCACAGCATGCTGGAGAAGTGCTACATCGGCCAGCTGGACCCGGACTCGGTGGCCTCCTCGGCCTCCTCGGCCGAGTCCAAGGTCGCGCTGGACAAGACCCAGTGGCGGCCCTTCACGGTCGCGTTCAAGCAGACGGTGAGCCACCAGACCGTCAAGTTCACGTTCGAGCTGCCGGGCAACAAGCTGCTGGGCCTGGACACGCCCGGCCAGCACCTCAAGGTGCGGGCCAAGATCAATGGCCAGATGATCGAGAGGGCCTTCACCCCCACGTCCAAGTTCTCGCAGCCGGCGTCCTTCGACCTGATCGTCAAGGTGTACCCGGATGGCCTCATGAGCAGCTATTTGGACAAACTGGCGGTCGGAGACAGTGTGGAGATGCTGGGCCCGCAGGGAGTGCTGGGATACCCGGAAGCAGGCGTGGTCACGGTCGGCTGCCAGCCTAAGCTCACCAATGTTCGCCACGTTGTGATGATCGCTGCGGGCACGGGCATCGCTCCGATGCTGCAGCTGATCCGGGCCATCATGGAGAACAGCAAGGACGCGGCCAAGATTACGCTCGTGGACTGCAACCACTCGCTGGCGCACATCATCGCGCTGACGCAGCTGGAGCCGCTGGCCAACATGTTCATTGATCGCGTCAAGGTTAATCACATTCTTCGCGAAGCTAGCGACAAAGACTCCCAGGAGCTGGGGTCGTTCCGAACTGGCAAACGTCTGGATAAGGACACTCTCGCTGAGCTACTGCCGAGGGCGTCGCCCGATGTTGCAGCCTTCCACTGTGGACCGCCAGAGTTCGACGAAGCTGTGAACAAAATGCTGAAAGAGATTGGATTCAAGGACAACCAGATATTCATGTTTTAGATAACGGGCGATAGACTGGATGCTGTCAAAGGTAGACTTGTCTCTTCATGGCCTATTCAAGATAAACATATTTTTTGCTAGAGATTGCTAACTCGGCATAAGGCATGGGTATTGTTGGTCGTGAACAGCGCTGCAACACTTTTCAAAGAACAGGAGGGAGACATGTTTATTGAACGATCGCAATCGAAGTACTGTACCAGCAACTCCAGGATTGCGACCGGATATGGTGGCTTACTGCTATTGTTTTTTGGAGCGGGCAGGAATCGCGTGCCAGTAGTGTCAGTTCGGAAATTTCCGAAGTCGCAAGCCAAACTGCTGTCGACACCGGAATAACTCATTTCCAATGTCCGATCGACTCACAGTCGACACGACCGAGCCTGCCTCCGACGATCTGCCAAACCACCGAAATGCTCTGAACGAGCAGCGTTCGTCGCCTGAGTGTACGTCGCAAACAGGGTTCTGGTGTCCGTTTCCTCCTAGCGCATCAGACAACGAGGTGAGTAGCACGACAAGTGTGGAGACCTACCGACGTGAACGGCACCGACAGAGCCAACAGCGTTACCGGATGAAGTAGCGGAAGATTCGTCAGGTCTTGTAAGTCTCGATCCAACAACTGCGAGATGATCTTGACCACCTCGAGCACATGCGGGACAAGTTGTTGCTCAAACTCACAGCGAGACAGACAGTTTGGTCTGTTGCAGTGGAATACTTTCGCGTATTCAGTCGCGGGATGGCCGTACCTGAGGAGCCCTGCCCCTCCGTGGAGCTGGATTTCCTGCGTGCAACAATGGCTCAAGACGTCGATTCTGGGAATGTACGAGGTGTTGAGGCCCTGGCAAGGAGCTGAGGGATTTTTACTGCGTGCTTTCGAGATGTTCGCGTGCAGCTCGAGGGCGTGAAGAAGATCACAGACAATTCACTGGTCGCCGCCACAACCACGAGCATCACGATCACGAGCAGCTCCATGCGCTACGTGTGGCCGCCCTTGACCAAGCTGCAAGCTGCTGCCAAACTGCTAGGCCAACGCGTCGTCATGCGCGGCTCAGTGCGCTTCGAGTGGGACAGTACCATCAACCGTGTTGTGAGATTAATTTTTCAAGCCGACATGGTGTCACCAATGCTGCAGCTGCTGGGCAGTCTGGAGGACGTATCGCTCCTATTTAGCGGCGGTCTTCTCACGCCTGAAGGCAACGTTGTCCCTAGAGACTACCTGTACCGAGGTCCGCTCTACTTCTGCTAGATTACTTCCAGCGTAAATGCATCTCCAATACAAAGCAACATTTACTAGATCGGGTGTATCTCGAATGGTTAGTTAGTAGGCATTGTAAGTTAGTAGGCAGCTTGACAGGGAAGACCAAAGCTCGAAACCTTGCGTTGCCCCGCGAAATCCGTGCCAACTCCGCCAAGATGGTGAACACCGGCGGCATGTTGAAGTGGTGGGAGCCTCGATTCAGACACGATCCACACGGCCGCGTCAGCGGGAGCGTGACAACTACTACTACAAACTACAAGCACGGCAGGAAATTCTTGCGCTTCAACGTGGTCTGTGAAAGGACGTTGAGCACAAGTCGCAGATGGCACGTGCGCTCCGCTGCACTTCAGGCTGCGCGGAATAGCTGCTCGCGGTGAAGCTGCTGCAGCCGATGAGATGAAGCGCGAGATCCGTTCTCACTATTGCATTGGCGTCGCGGAGATCAAGTCAACGCCCCGATCATGAGCAGCGGTGAATCCTTCCGTTGTAGAGAGCTCCAGTGCCACCAAAGCGTCAACGCCGTCAACGACCGATCCAGCTACGTCGCCCGTCAACTGACCGAGCTTGACGTCCTCAGTGCCGTCGGATCGGTTGTGAATGCTGCTCAAGGCTGCGGGGTTGCTCGGTTCACGCAGTGTGAAGCCACGCGGACGACTTGGTTATCTTCGATTGAGCGAGCGCTGTTGGAGCGGCATCTGTCGCGCGTGCTGCGGTTCTCTCCGTCGCTGGAAGACACTTGCAGGCACGTTTGCAGCGATGCGCCGAGCGTCGTTGGCGAAGGGCTGGATGACTGCAACGCACTGGCCCATTACGCTGTCTTCGCATTGATCGATCAAGGACTGCATGACGATAAAATTGAGATGAAACCCGAACGGCTAGCGAGGATGTTGTACTGCGCCAGACAGAAGGCACTGCCGATGCTGGTGGCGTGGCTACTTGCTGAAGACTGCGCGTCGTTCCAACAGCTGATGCTGAACTACGGCAGCCAACTCAAGATACTTGAAGCGCTTCGACTGTCGGTGCGTCAAGAGCTAGCAGCAACACGCGTGTTCATCACAAAGTTCTTGGGTAAATTGGCCAAGAATTACGGGTCGGACGGCGGTGTTCTCATGGCCACGCATACCCCCGAGACTTTTATTCGCGACGGAGGGGGTACAACCTTCGGCGGGGGTGAAGCCATGCAATGCTTCAAGGACGAACTGGAGGAGCTTCGTGTTTCGTACGTGAAGTCACAAGGTTGTGCCAGCAGCCCGAGGTCAGCCATTCAAAACATCTTGGACCCGTCACTGAGATGCCGGGTCTACAAAGATGGCGACGAGCAGAAGTATCAGTGGCTGCCGACTGAATTCCACGTTGGACGAGATGGAGTCGTATCAATTCTCTCTCCGCTGCATGGGTCGATCCACCCGCACCAATTCCCTGGGTTGTGTGCGGTTATCCCGAAGATCCTCGGTCGCCTGTTGCCTCTTTTCGAGCGCGTCCTGGGTAGCATTGCAACGCACGATCCGCCATCGCCCTATCAAGCTGGTCTCGGCTCTTCTCGCCAGCTTCAGTATCGCACGGCAAGCAACAACGAAAGCCTCACTGGGTTCAGTCTCCGTGACCGAAAGCTCCAAGTGGTCGTGAAGCTCTCGACTATCAATCTTGACCAAGACAACCCAGCATTTGCTGGCGAGCAAGACCACGATGATAACCTCAACCGAGGTTGGCAACTCGATGGAGACGACCATGAGAACATTGTGAGTGTGGGCTACCACGTGCTGCAGTCGCGAAACATTACGCCGCCTAGACTCGCCTTTCGAGCATTCGCCCACTCTCCAGAAGAATCAGACTTGACGTCGCAAGAAGACCCTTTCGTTGCATTTGGAGAGAGGACATCAGCCTTCTACCGTGGGAGGTATGGACGACAATTCCTACAGCCGTGGGGGTCGCTGGTGCTGCACGAAGGCCGCTCTATCGTGGCCCCCAGCTTTCTCGCCCACCGCTTCGAACCTTTCGAGCTGTTGGATGCCACGAACCCCGAGGGTGGAGAGCTCACACTGGCCACCTTCTACCTCCCCGACCCCACCAGAGAGCCAATTGTCTCCACTCGCACGGTTCGTCCCGAGCAGTGGCAGCAGACTCGGCGATTTGTCCAAGCGAACGTCGATATGCTGCGCTGCAGCTCAGTTCACCCTTTCCTACCCGATGAAGTCTCGACCCTAATTGCAGACTTTGCGGCCTCCCACATCTCGGAAGCTCAGGCTCAACTCACCCGTCAGCTCCTACTGATGCAACGGCGAAAGCTGCAAGAGCTCCGCTTCATGACGCCGTCCCTACGACTAGAGGAGATGATGCTGCATCTTGATGAATGAAGTGCAAAGTTCCCCAGATTCAATCTATCAAATTGTGGTAAGCCTTAGCCGTGAAAGCGTAGGGTACATTTTTTCCTTGTGAACTTTCAATAAAACGTGTGCGAGCCACGTATTTGCCTCTCTTCAATTGAGATCATGAGCTTGTCTGCAGTATCAGAACACGCGGGCAAGCTCGTCCCGCAAGCTGCGAAACCCTGCGAGTTCATCGTCGAATACCGAGGTCGGTGCTGGGGCTGGTGGCTTATCATCCGATGCTTTATCCAATTCTCCGTCTGGTGCCGATGGAGTGAGGGCAGACGCTGACTTACTTAAACGTGGCGCGTTCTTGATCTGGTGCAGGAAGTTCCCCACCGACGCCGTATCCAACGACGCGCCCGACGAACGGTTTAGCGCGCTGCCAGCACCCGTTGAGACTGAGTCGGCAGCTGTAGTCCCGCTTGATCCAATTGACGATCTCTCCCCGATCGCAAATGGCAAAATCATGTCAGCGCCGTCGGCATCCAGGTCGTCACTCTGCCCGTCGCTTGAAGCTCCTCCTGCATCAGCACTTCCTGATAGCGACAAGAACCGTGGGCGACCGCCAGACGAGCTCCCCGCTGCATCAACGATTGCTAAGCCGAACGCGTCAGGCGTGTCGGGAGAGATTCCCCATGCAGTCACACCGCTGTCGCTGAAATCGGGCGAGAATCCGCGTTTCTTCGCCGATATCAGGCCTGCCGAGGACGAGAATGACGAGCGCTTCGCGCCATGGAGTCCCAGCTGGAATTGATCCGTCGTGATAAATGTCGGCACATTGCTGGAGCCGGACCGAAGGTAATTCTTGCTGTACGAGTATCCTGGCGACGTGGATAGCAGCTCGCACGGATTCGCTTGAAACGGGGGGCTTGAGGAGAACATGGGCATGCCGTCGATCGGTGAATTCTTTGCACCACCCGGGCGAATCGTGATAGCTTCTGTTTTCGTGACAGCGTCCGAAGTTACCGCAGCACTCTTGGTCTGGAGATCCTCTTGAATGCCTTCCGGAGCCGCAGTGAAGCCTGTATTGTCGGACACAAATGCGCCGTTGAACGAGCTCTTCCTGCGTCTCGGAACATGCGGCTGCTGCAGCGGTGAGGGAGATCCACTATCGAGCGTAAAGTTATCCAAAGACCCAGGCGCGTGCTGCGTCTCGTTTCCAGGGAGAAAAGGTTTGTGCGTCAGCGCAGGAGACGTCCGTCCACCGCGCAAGAGTGAGATAGATTTCGGGTGCCGAGGCGGGGTTGACAGGCGGTGATATGCCGCGTTGCTGTTGCTGGTCGGCGGTTCGTCGTGGAAGGACGTCTGTGAAACGTGTAAACCGCTTTCGGCGTCCTGATGGCTCGCTCCACCTTCCCACAGTTGCTGTTGGCGCTGCTGGAACGCAAGTGACGGCGATGACGTATGCTGCTGCTCGCGATCAATCGCAACATTCCCGTAGCCATAGGGTGCCGCCGTTACGTTCGGGTTGGCGGCAGCGCTTCGTAACCGGACATCGTGCTCGCCTCCGTACGAGTGAGCATGCTGAATAATCTTTCCGTCACTCTGTTCGTCCCCATATCCCGCCGCACCAGCGCCCTCTCGACCGCCTGCTGCCATAGCTCCTTTGCTGCTAACCCGCGGGATCGCCATAGGCTTAGACATTCCTGGCTGGGTCCGCACCGCTACATCATCATCCACTCCAATGTCACCTACAGGACCCGTGCTGCTGAACTGCTGGTGTGGTGCCATTGGGATCGAGCGAGGCGACGATCGTCGACGCTGAAGAACGCCAACGTTACCGCCGAACTTCTCCGCGTCACTTACTGGCACAAAGGAATCTGTCCGTAAGTCTGTCACCCTCATTGGGACGTCCGCCATCGCTGCGCTGGTACTGGACGGCACCGGTGCACTAGCAGGCACCAACTCCGGCGACCCGGGCACATAGTCTTGAATAATAAAATTGTCCTGGAAGATCCGCGACGGCGCCGCTTGCTCCTGCCGCTCCGTGAACTGGTCACAGTCCCGCCGATACACCGCTGCGACCTTCAGCAGTCCAAACGGCGTCGTAATGGGGATAAACGAGTACCCACTGGTTGCCACCCGCTGCGTCTCGAACGCGCGCGCGGCGTCACTAGCGGGCGCCGCGTGCATCGCGTAGCTGAGCATGGACGGGTACGACTGCGCGAAGAGCCTGTGTGCCGGGAGCTGCCGCATGAAGGAGAAGAGCGCTCTGAGCAACACGCTGATGCGCTTGCAGACCTCCTTAAGTTGCTGGATCACGTCCTGCGTCGAGCCCAAGTGCGCGCCCGATCCGCCGTCCCCGTCGGCCGCGAAGGTCACGCTCCAGCGCTCGAGCAGCACCTTGTGGCCGTCCCCGGCGTCCCAGAAGATGTCGATGGCCAGCGGCAGGCGCACGTCCTCCTTCCAGGCCGACATGGCCTCGCGCACGGCCTGCACCTCCTCGATGTCCAGGTTGAAGCGCGCGCGGCGGCTGCCACGACGAAGGTCCGGCTCGTGCTGGAAGTTGACGCGGCTCTGGACGATGAGCTCCGCCGCCTTGTACAGGAACTCGAGCACCACCTGCTCCGTCTTGGCGCGGCCCGCTGCAATGCACAAGTAAATATAACATTTAAGTAAAAAATATTGTAAAGTTATGGTAAATTACTGTACGCTGGGGACGCACTGGCAGACCCGGAGGCGCGCGGAGGCGGCGCGGCGTATCGCATGTTGTGGGCGTTGTAGCGCGCGTTGGGCGCTGCGAATTGCTGCGTGGAGGCGCGAGGTCCGCGGCCGGAGGTTGACAGGTCCACGGACGACATCATGGCGCCCCTGGAGACGTAGCGGGCGCGAGGTGGACGGCGCTGGGAGCGGCCTCTTCTTCCTCTTCTCCGCCTTCTCCGCGGGAATTATGCACCGCTTTGGGTTCGGCGGCGGCGATTTTGACCAATGGGGGGGCGGATTGGACAGCGGGGAGAAATCGGTACGCTGATTGGACAGATTGAGATTATTTTAACCCCCGAGAAGCCAATGGGAAGCGAGATTTCTTAGCTTTCTGCGACGTGTGCGCTTCAGCTCTTCAAGATGCAGCCTGCCAGCGGGTCAAGAAATTTATGCGCTGTGCTGGCCAATATGCTGACTATGCTGAGTGTAGCTAAGTACCAGCTACAGTAGTGGGAGGAAGAGGATGCGATAATGTGTCTTCCATAGTAACTAGAAGCAGCCGGCAGTTTAACATCAAAGCTGTTGGGGATCTATTCCGTACTGACTGCTTGCTGCGATGAACGCGGCAGAATACGACCAAGATTTTACTGTATGCGATCGATACAAAGCCATTTGGACGTGACGACATCGCCAACAAGAGAAGACTTATCGTGCATGTTGAAGTTGAAGTCGCTCGACGGTCGTAGGCTCTTCGTCCAGCACTACCACTAGCAACGCGTCTCCTTATCAACGTAAGCACTGCTGCAAATGCCCGTCCTCTGGTGTGTTGTAACGACGAACTACAGCATAAACACACAGTCTTGTTTAGACAATAGGGTGTATTAGGACTCTACTCTATTCCCTGCCTGCTTGTTGCGCCGCTTCTTGTTCTTGTTCTTATTTTTCTTCGGTCCCGACGCATTCTGCTGCTGCTTTTGCTGCGGCGGCTTCGACTTCTGACCAGTCGGACGCTGCTGCGGCTGCTGTTTGGGTCTCTGTTGCTGCTTCGGCTTCTGCTCCTGCTCCTGCTTCTTTTTCTGCGGGGACGGCGTCGTCTTCTTCTCCTGTTTCGTCTCATCTTCCTGCTTCTTCTCCTCTTCCTTTTTCTTCTCCCCTTCGTCTCCTCCCTCGTCCTCCTTCTGCGCCTCCTCCTGCTCCTTCTTGAGCCGCTTGGCCTGTCGCTCCTGCTGCTTCTCCTGGCCCTCCCTCTTCCTCCGCTCCTTGCGCGCCGCCTTGGCCGCCTCCTTCCACTCCAGGAACGTCTTAGTGCGCTTGGTAGCCAGCGCTGTGTCCAGCCACTGCTGCTCGGCCTGCCACTCGTGCACCAGCACCTTCTGCAGCAGCGCCGGGCTCAGCACGTTCATCTCGAGGAAGCCCTTGCAGCCGCTGGCCGCCACCTTCTTGCGGCCCAAGACGTCGATGAAGCGGTCCACGCAGAGCTCGCCGCGGCTGTTGGTGTCGATGTCGCGCGAGCGGTAGAAGGCCAGCAGCTGGTCGTTCTGCGCCTCGCTGGCCGCCACGAACAGCAGCTGCAGGTCCGTCCCCATGGAGATCACGCGCCCGTTGGCGATCTGCAGCTCCTCCAGCCACGCGCGCAGCACCGACACGTACGTCGCGCGCTCGTGGAAGTGGTCGATGCGCACCAGCAGCAGCTCCACGTCGCCCATGGCCAGCAGCAGCAAGACAAGACAAGATAGCGGATCCCAAGCGTCGGTCGGGTAGTGCCCACCAACGGACACGAACACGGCGCGCGATTGGTCGAAAAGAAGATATTACTGGGTAGAGGCACGTAATTAATGCAGCGAGTTGTTTGGGAGACGAATAGAATCGTAGGAATCCTTCAATAAGTAATATACAGATATCTTCCGAACAGCTTACTTATTTGCTTGTTAATATGTAGGTACAGTACGTGTATTACTATGTAGTAGGATGGAGTTGTGTCCTAGTAGTCCACCACTCGAGGCTAGTACACTGCTGGGACAGGTGCTCTCCGATCACGAGGTTGCAGTCTGGCTGGATGAGCGCGTTCTGGAACACAAGCGACACATCCTCCAAGCTTCCCAGGCACTCGAGTAGTGGGGCTATCATGTCGGCTTGAGAGACGAGGCCCACCACGCGATTGTTCAAATCGTCCCAGTCGAAATGCACCGAGCCACGCATCACGAGACGACGCCCCAGCAGTTTGTCCGCGATGGGAGACCAGCGGCATCGATTTGAGTCGGCCGAGGCAACCGACAGCCAAGTTTGGCAACATGTAGCGCAGCGAGTGACTGGTGATCGTGATGCTCGTGGTGGTCGTTGCTATGAGCGACCTATCCGAGGTCTGCTCGAGTCGTCTGAGCTGGACGTGGACGTCCTTGAAGTACTGGGTGAAGACTTTCCAGTTCCTGGTCAGCAGCTCAAAGCCGCGCACATTGCCAGCATCCAAGTCTTGGGACATTGTTGCTCGCAGGAATTCGAGCTCAACGATTCGATCCCCCGGAGAAAGCCGTGTTGTCGGTACGTGTAGCCCCCGACGGAAGACGCGAAAGTATTCCACGGCGACAGACCACAGCGTCTCTTTCGTCGAGATGCCGCAAGAGAGACCGTTGCGCTGGTTGTGAAGTCGCTCGATCTCGTTCCGTAGCTGCTGGTTGTCGATTTCTAGTTGCTCAGCTAGCTTCCGTTGCTTCTTTCTGTATCGTTTCTGGTTTAGACGACGGCGTTCTCGGTGATAGGCCTCAAATGCAATATCTAAACCTGAATTAGACATAGCTACAATGTCGATGTCGCGCAATTTGTCCAGTGTAGTTTGGTTGTATCAGATTACAGAGGTAACAGCACCGTAGGTATCATTCGCATTGTTAAGGACATAATAGGATAGAGCAGATGTAGGGTGGTTGTGGAAGCTTCTAGAAAGGAGCTTCCATCCACTCGAACTGCGGGGGCGGTCACTTTTGGTTTAGACCCGCCATCCCCCCAAGCCTGGCTTCCTCTTCGTTTTGAAATACTGGTAGCACTTGTTGGTCCCAGCAACCTGACAACGAGGAGCCCATGCCCACCATCACCCAACTACGCGCCGAGATCGATCGGCTGAACCAACCGATGGCGGACCGCACGCGAGTGCCGAGCAACCTGCCGAAGTTCACCGGCAAGCGAGGGGAGGATGTACGCGAATGGCTGTTCCAGATCGAGAACGCCTGTCGAATCAACAACATCCCGATCGAAGACGCAAGCACCCGACTACCAGGAATCGCGGGGTCGGCGATGGAGAAGCCTGCCTCCGGCTGGTTCCTGCACTGGTCGTCGACGACTCGAAGCGAGGAGCACACGTGGGGGATTTTCCGTGAGCATGTGCTCCAACACTTCGAGGCATCGAACTACCAGGCTGTCCTGCGCGAGAAGCTTCAGCGACTCAAGCAGGCAGCAGACATTGAGACGTACAACGGTAAGTACTCAGCTCTCATCTTCAGAGTGGAGGGCATGAGCGTACTCGACCAAGTTTTGTGCAACGCGAACGGTCTCAAGCCACGCACGCGCAGCTACGTCAAGCTCGAGAACCCCCAGACCCTGAGCGACGCTATGGACTTGGCTGTCAAGTACGAGGTGACTCACTTCGTCGAAGAAGCTCGCGACCGTCAACCCAAGCGTGACAAGAAGTTCTCGTCGGCTGATCAACCTCACGCCCAAGGTAAACCCTTCAAGGGGAAGCCGTTCCGCGGGAAAGGCCGCTTCAAGCCGAGAGCTGAGCCCAAACGCGCCGAGGGTCGTACCTGCTTCCACTGCAAGAAGCCTGGTCACATCAAGACCAACTGCTTTCTCTGGAAGAAAGAGCAGGAGAAACAGGGAAACGGGCAACCACGTCAGTGAAGGAGGGTCCTGTTGTGGCTGAGAGCGTAACCAGAACACTTACGATTGAGAATATCAGCCTTAACGTTCTGTGTGAAAACCCTCTGGTCTACAAGTCACGTCCGCTGTTCTCAGTAACTGGTGAGATCAGCGTGAGTGACAAGTGTCTCGCTACACGCAGCATGTTGCTGGGCTGTGGAGCCACCACAATCTACGTGTCAAAGCGTTGGGTCAGGGAGCACCAGCTTTGAACGACGAAGTTCAGCGACAAGAGCATTCACGTGAAGCTTGGAGACAACCAAATCGTGGAGACGGAGCTGGAAGTTCTGCCTTTGAAGATCCACGTGTCGGGTCTGGACGAGGCGTACCAGTGTGTCGCCGTCGTCTACGCGATACCCGACGAATTCGACTGCATCCTCGGGATACCCTTCTTCGAGGACAAGCAGCCCCAGATTGATTGGAGAGGTCTACGTATCGAAGGAACGAGAGAGAAGACTCTGCGCTGAGAGCGGACAGGTGATACCTGTGGACCGATCGAGGAAGGCGGACCGGTGATTGTCTCCGGGCTTCGGAGATCTGTCGAGGCGAAAGGCCTTTCGGCGAAAAGATCCGATTCCTGTCGAGGCGCCGCGCTGGAAACGGGTGTGAAGTCCACGTGCGAAGCTGTTCGCGACGCAGTGCTGAAGGAGACCCCGACCGTTGTCAGCAGACGACGAGGAGATGACCCGCAAGCTGGCGCGTGTTCAGCTGGAGAAGACGACGTTGCGATGCCAGAGCGCGAGAGTACTGCACGAGAAGCCGACGAAAGAAGCAGTACCAGGGGCAAAGACACCGTCGTGGAGAAGATGTTCACGATGGGTATTGTCGACGAGAGTGGTGTGCAGACCAAGTACATCACCCGCAAGAAACTGCGGAAGTTCCTGAGAATCAAGACCAAGTCAGCCGAGGAGCCCGACTTTATGTTGGTGCTCTCGAACGAGACGATCAAGCAAGTTGCACGCTCACTGCAACGACGAGACCAACCCGACAATGTTGGTAGTGCGAAAACACAGCGCTATCTGGAAACGGACTGGGACAGTTTCCGTGAAAATCCAGCCTTCGAACTCCTAACGGAGTACAAGGACAACGTGTTCCGTCCTGAGCTACCCGACGGTTTACCAGAGAAGCGCGACATTGAGCATCAGATCGATGTGAAGGATTCAAATCTGGCGATGTACCGACAACAGTGGCGACAGTCTCCTGAGCAGTAGCGTGAGATCGTGCGTTGGGTCGAAGACATGGTGAAGAAGAAGCTCATCCGACCAAGCATCAGTGGAACAGCCCGACCACCAGCTGCAACAGGCTGTTGAGGTGGTTGCCCGCGTGTGAGCGACGCGAGTTGCGCGCCGTGCGCCACCTTTTCCACGCCGCGCCCTGCACGAAGAGCTCATGCAGTACGCCTGAGCCCAGTGCTCGATGTGGTGCCGGAGCCGACGTAGGAATGGGCGGAACGCCGCGTCGCCGGACGCGAAGAGAAGCGCCTCAGAGGCTTGAGCGAGGTAGCGCCACGGCCAAGTCGCGTATAGCGCGTCCACGATGGCCAGAGTCACGAGGGCGCGGTTCCAGTTCGCAGGCGCGGGGGGAACACGGCGCGGAATGATCCAGCCGGGCGGCGGCAGGAAGAGCGTTCGCAACTCCTGCACGGTGATGAGATGAAGGCGGAGACGTCGTACCCGCTTGGGCCAAGGAGCGTAGCGAGGCTGCCAGCCAGACGGAGTTCCGGCAGGCGGAATCACAGGGTCGAAGAAGGGCGCCGCCGGAGCACTCCCCGCTGAGCCGCTGGAGGCGGTGCTTGAGGACGAGGCGCGGGACGACGAGGAAGCGGACGAGTCGTTGCCACTGGAGTAGCCCGAATCGCCCGGACCAGTGCCTGGTCCAGCTCCGGCTGCCGCACGGCCCCTCGACGAGGAGTGCGTCGGCCGTGCAGGAGAAGAGTGACGCGAGGCCTCCGACCCCGCCGAGTGCGCCGACCCCGCCGCGTGCGCCGAACGCGTTGAGCCGGCCGAACGCGTCGACGCCAAGGAGGGCGAGCGCGAGCGTGGAGGCGAGTGGGAACGCGAACGAGAGGCCGAGCGGAAACGCGAACGCGAAGCAGAACGGGAGCGCGGGGGTGTCCGGGAATGTGACTGCGAACGTGGAGGCGGACGCGCCGGCGACCGTGAGCGAGGCCCGGGGCTATGCAGCCAGCGGCGCTTGGGCTGAGCTCGCCGCGCTTGGTCCTCGCTGTCCGAAGACTCGGAGCCGAAGAGCGACGCGTCCTCTCGTGCGCGCGCTGCAGCTGCAGCGGCCGCAGAGGGCGTAGCTGCAGATGAGGCCTGCGCAGCGGCGTTGTCGGAGGCCGCAGTGTCGGCCACGGTAGAGAGCCGTTGACTACGTCGAAGGGGGGGAGAACCAGACGACGTAGCGGACGCCACTCCTGACGGCCTAGACGCGCGTGACTGAGAACCCGAACGACTCGACGCGCCGTGTCGAGGTCGCCGAAAACCCGACGAGGACGAGGCAGCGGACGAAGTCGGAACAGGACGGGAGCCCGAAGGACCTGCTGGAGGGGAAGCGCCAGTCGTCGAGCCCGCCGTCGAAGCCGACGAGCCCGCCCGGGCACCAGAGCTCGACGCAGTTGGAGCAGGAACAGGAACCGCGGATGCCACAGGAACTGCTGCGGACGTAGGAATAGCAGGGGGGAGGGGGATCGCACCGTCGATCTCCGCCGTGAAAGTGGCTTCGAGTCGCCTGACCAGGGCAGCGGTGTCGATCTGCCCGCCTACACGCGTTACGACGCCGGCGAGACGATCAGCAAGCTCGTCGCGCACCCGCCGCGCCAGCTCTCGGCCCCGACGCGCGTCTCGAAGCATCCGACGCCAAGCCACAGCGCGTTCGTCGCGCTCTCGGATGGCCAAGTCGCGCTCCTCCACCAGCTCGGCGACGCGAGCGCTGAGACGATGGGTCTGGGCGCCGACTGCTCCTCGACGCTGCTGAGACGACCGCCGCATGGACAGCCACCCAGCTCGATACTGCGCCGTGCGAGATGTGGCGCAAAGTTCGCCGGCTTGAGCCCGCGCCATCTCGGACTCGGCGGCCACACGGAGAGTCGTAGCAGTAGCCACTGACTCCTCCAGCTCGTGGATACGCGTCGCGCCGCGGCGGAGCTCCTCGGCGTGGGCCACTAAGAGCGCGTTGACGCGCCGAAGGTCGTCCCGCAGCGGGACGTTCAGGTTCTGGGCTGCCTCGATCTCCATGCGGCTCTGAGAAAGCGACGCACGGGCCGCGCAGAGCTCTTCGTCGACAGGGGCGCGCTGCTGCTCCAGAGCAGTCAAGGCCTGGCGAGCCTGATCTCTCTCGGCGACGGCAGCGTCTCGCCGCTGCTCAAGAGCGGCCACGGCTTGACGTTCCCGGTCCCTCTCGGTGACAGCAGCGTCTCGCTCGCGTCTCAGCGCCGTGGAGGCGCGACGCACTCGATCTCGCATGTCGAGGGCCCCGTCATGCTCTTGCTCGACGACCATGAGAACGCGGGTCACGCGGTCACGCTCGGCGAGAGCGGCGTCGCGCTCGCCTTGTGCAGCAAACAGCCGCGCTAGCGACACGGTGGAGGGAGGCGGCGTAGCAGGAGCGCGCGCGAGTTGGGCAGTCAAGTCAGTGACCTGGTCTCGTGCCGCCCGGAGCTGAGCTTGACGATCACGATATTGCTCTGTCAAGGAGCCTCGCTCGGCGCGGAGTAGAGCCTCGGCAGCGTCGGCGCGTTCAGCACGAGGGCGGAAGTCGGCCACTCGGTCCTCCAGGACGGCGTAGTCCCGCTCGGCGTGCTCCCGGGAGAGGAGCGCCTGCTCGAGCCGGATCATGCCTGCGCGATAACCCTCGCAAGCACGATGCAAGATCGCGAGATTGCAGTCATGCAGCACGGACGCGTGAGTAGCCAAGCCTGCATTGTGCGCTGAGACGAGTTCGTACTGGGCGCGCAGCTCCTGGTTCTCGCGCTGGAGAGTGTGCGCGTCGGCGACAAGAGCTGTCACCGAGTGGACGGGGGCGCCTGAAGCCGGAAGCTGGGCTTGGGGCGCGACGGGGAGGCGAGGACGATGCGCGCCGAGGGCACAAACCGCGCAGCCAGCGGCCTCGAGGTCGTCGGTGTCAAGCTCTTCTTCTTCCAGGTCGATGTCGTTGACGTCGACGTCGTGGCGGCGAGCTATGAAGCTTGGAGTACCGCGAAGCGGACTGCGAGGGCAGAAAACGCGATGGTGTCGAGACGAAGCGAAGGCGCGGGGCAGGTTCTGCGACGACACACCCACCTGAGGAGGGCGCGTGCGTGGCAGCGGGACGAATGTGGTGTAGTACCCCGCGGAAGAAGTGGGCGCGCCGGGCGCCGGAGGAAGAAGGCGCCGGGACGCGAGTGATGGACTTCGACGCGGCTGATGGAACGCGACGCGGATTGATGGGCGCGACGCAGGGCCGAGCTCGACAGGAAAGTCGGCGTGGGTGATGGGCCGTGAGACACGGTGCCAGAATCCAGTGCGACACGTAATCATCCGACGAGTCGACCAGCGCACCCGGTTCTGCAAAACGCGCCGACCCTAAACCCCGCCGAGCAAAACGCGCCGAGCAAGACGCGTCGAGCAAAACGCGCCGACCCTAACCCCCGCCGACCAAAACGCGCCGAGGTAAGATCTTGATTGCGCCACGCAAACCAGGTTGAAGGACGGCAGTGCAAGCACGACAGAAGTAGGGATAGGCCCAGAGCGGTAGGCTTAGCAAGCAGTAGTACAGAGTAGCCAGTAGCAAGGACATAGGATAGGGTAAGGACTCAGTCCCGAAATTTCTCTGAACCACAAAGACCTCCCGTCTTCTCCGAGGTTCCAGGGGAACCACCAAGCGCCGGCAAGTAGAGCCGCCTCGATATCCCGGCCCCCCGTCGTTTGCTGGTTCGGGTGTTCACCCCCCACAGACCCGTGCTGGAACAAAGGCACGTTAAACGTATACCGTTTAGGTGGGCGCCCGATAACGCGCTGCCTAGGCGAAGGACCGCACTGGCCTGATAACCGCTGTGCACAAGCCCCCCGTGTAGGCCCGATAACGCCACACAAGCCCCAGGAAACGCCGGCCCGATAACGCCGCACACCTGACGGGAACGCCGAGGAAACGCCGGCCCGATAACGCCGCACGCCCGACGGGAACGCCGAGGAAACGCCGGCCCGATAACGCCGCACGCCCAAGGCTCGACGCCCTACGACAAGGAGCAAGCGTCAACACAAGAACCCCCCCCAACTCCGAAGCCTGCGAAGATTTGGCCTGTATTTCGAAGATACGCTACTCCAACAACCGAGAATAATTCGCTCGGCGCGACCGCTATCCAGACGCGCCGAGTGTGTGCGAGATCGCATTCGCGAGATTTCTGTGAGGGCGCTACTCCACATCACGGTCGTTGGGCTTCCGACACTTTAAAGCAGTACACGCGGCTGTGCAGGGAATCCGTCTCAGCCCTCGCGTCTCGGATCATCAGCGGCTCGAAACACGTGAACAACCTCCAGTGAAGCCCACGATATCGGGCAATTTGGGGGGTTTCAACTTATCCCCTGCGGGGATCACATTAAAGGCCGACACCACGGCCTACCCTGCAATGATATCGACCGGTTGTCCCCATTACGAGTAAGTACCAAGGAAATGGCTTGTGCGTTGCGAGTGGAATTGCACACTGAAAATTATATGGAGGCTGGTATGATGTTTTTTGATTGCGAGCCAAATTGTGCAATTCATTGGTTTGAGCGCAAAACCACAAAACGTTTGATTTTAACTAAGTACGTATGTGTACATTGATCAGGTGTTTCCTACACAGTTGGTGGGGGCCAATCAATGGCAAGAATTGAACTATACTTAAGTACGTAGCATGCAAGCGCAGCAAGTGGTTACTGGACAACTGGCAGTAAAAAATACAGTCAAACCTGTTTATATGAGGCCCTGTTGGTGACCATCTACTACAATGACTCATATAAAATGGACTCAGTTTAAAACATTATGTGGTGCACGTAAAGAAATCGTGCATAGTCCGCTGCCGCTTTGCCTTCACCGTAGTCTCTCGAACCAAAGCGGTCACGGTCTGTAAAGCTCTTCGTTTTCTGTCAGTCTGCTCTCCGCATTGCAGCAGAAATGCAGCCAGCTCCATGCAGTGTCTCAGAGCAATGGCAGGTTGAACTGCGGGTTCCTGTTCCACCTCTTCCTCCTAAGCGCTCCGCCAGCTCATGCGCCTTCAGCAGAAGCACGTCGTCCGCCATCGCCGTTTTAGTTTCGTTCTGAAAGAAAAATTCCCTCAGTTCCCGCTCAAACTGAGGGAATTTCACTCGGCGCCGCTTGGTCCCACTCAGGTCGACGTGGCTGAAGTAGGAAGAAGGCAGGTTGCGCAGTCGGGCGAGTGTGGCACGGTTGACCCGGGCATTGAAAGTTGCGTAGATCCACTCGGCGGGCATGGGGTTGTTCATGCCAGGATTCTGCTTGAGTTTTAGGTGCACTTGGAGCTTTTGTTCTAGCGTCAGACAGGTGCGAGGAGACATGGCGAGCGAAGAAGGCTTGCGGTAGGCGTTGAGTGTTGAGCAGTGGTGCTTTGAAGAGTGTGTGGCCGTGAGCAGTGTGAATCAAATAAACAGGTGAGACCTAATTTGGTACCCAAAAATGTGACTCATATACCTTGTATGCATATAAACAGAGATCATACAAAAACTAAGTGAAATATTTGGTAGCGACAAAGCCTGCATCAAATAAACGGTATGGCTCAAATAGAGAGGATCATATAAACATACAACTTTTGAGTTGCGATGAAGCCATTTCATGGTTATGATTTTTCCGAAAACCTCTGAACCTATTTTCCACCAACCGCTCGCTCTGTCTCTATCGCAATATCCACCAATTACAGCCCCGCTGCCACTGATACGCCTTCATTGGGTTAATCGCGCCAGGAAGCACAGGTGGTGTCGTCTTCCGCGTGTGCGCAGTGTCCCTCTCACACATCCTTCAAGTTCACTATGCGCGCCATAGTTCCGCGCCGACGGCGCCGCAAGTTACAGCTTCTGACGCTCTCTGTAGCCCTCGCAAAGCCCGGAAACGCGTTGGTGTTCGGCTTGTCCGCCAGTAGCGACGTTCTGGCGCGCTGCGAGAGCCTCCAGAGCAACACCGCAGCGCTCACAACCCCCAGTGAGATAGACATCCCCAGCGACGTGGCAGCCACGCTGTCCGCGTCCTCTAATTCGGTCTGGAGCGACCTGGACGACGTCGCCAAGGTGGGGTTGCTGTGGGCGCACGGTTACGTCTTCTCGGGCGGCTCCAGCAACGGCGACAAGGCTGGAGACGCTCTGGTTCAAGTCTACACTCGCTGTAGTGATGGCTCGGCAACGGGCGTGGACATGGCGGACCTGGGCGTCTCGTACGACGACTTTACCGGTCCAGGAAGCGGCTGTGAGGCTGCGACCTGTGGCTCGTACTACCAGGCCACTAACGCCAACTGCGTGGCCAATGTGACGAGTTTTATTCAGTGCGCAGTGGATGGGGCGTCTTCTGCGCTGCCGACAGCTACGGAGGTGTCGTTCTGGTCCTCCGTCACGTCTTCCAGTACGATCCCGTACCCACAAGTGTACGAACACAGCATCACGTTGACTGACGCGACAGCGCTGCAGGTATACTCGATCCACATGCGGAACAGTGACTCGGGCGTAGTATGTGGCAATACGCTGGATACGATCATCCCGTGCTTGAGACTGGAGGACGTGGCGACATCTGGAACGACTTCAACCAGCGGGACGTCCGGATGGTGCAGACCGACAGTTGATGCGGATAAAGTCAAGAGCTTCCTGGCTGCAGTGACCACAGTGCAGGTGAACAAGCAGTCGGACGAGAGTGAGACTTCGGACAGTGGAAGTGACTCGGGGTTGCTATTGGGCGTGGCGATCGGCGGTGGCGTTCTCCTCATCGTCGTGATATTTATCGCGTGCTGTTGCTGCCGGAGGAGGAGGATGCAGAGAGAGGAACAACCGTCCGAGACTGCAGCTATTGGGACGGCGCGTGCACCGAATGAGACCGCAAGCGCCACGCGATCAGATCTGGGCTTCATTCCTCGGGTGATCGGTCGACGCGGGAAGAACAGCGACAGTGGCAGCGACACCTCGTCGAACGCCGCCACGAACGTGAACGTGCAGACAAACCGCGGTCGACGGTCCTCTTGGTACACTTTCGGCAACGCGAGTAACCGCGAGTCCTCAGCGTACGGGCGCCGCTCGTCTATGGCTGGGTCGTGGGTGGGGGCTGCGGGTGGCGGCAAAACTGTGAGCGAGTACTGCAACGAGTCCGAGACTCTGACGGAGTTTATGCAGGACCCGGAGGTGTTCACGAAGCGCATCGCCTTCGACGAGCTGACCTTCTTGCGGATGCTGTCGAAGGGAGCTTACGGCGAGGTGTGGCTTGGCCAACTGGAGACGCGTCACGTTGCCATCAAGCGGTTGCTACCGGAGAAATGCCAGTTCACAACCAGCTTGGAGCAGTTCGCGGGCGAGATCCAACTCATGTGCACCCTGCAGCACCGCAACATCGTGTCGTTCGTGGGCGTGAGCTGGAATCGACTACAGAATCTGTGCGCTGTGGTGGAGTATATGGACGCGGGCGACCTGGAGGAAGTGCTGAAGAAGAACCGAGAGAAGTTCACGTGGCAGCGCGAGAAGATCTCGATCGCGATGGATATAGCGGAAGGCTTAGTCTACCTGCACTGTTTACGGCCCATTGTGGTGCACCGCGACCTCAAGTCCAAGAACGTGCTGCTGAACCGCAAGTTCCACGCCAAACTGAGCGACTTCGGGGTTAGCCGCAAGACTCACGTGAACGAGACCATGACGTCGGGCGTCGGCACCCTGTTGTGGACAGCACCGGAGATCATCGAGGGCAAGAAATACTCGGAGAAGGCGGATATCTACTCGCTGGGGGTCGTGCTGTCCGAGATGGACACGTGCGAGCAACCGTTCTCCGACGTGACTTCGGACAAGGGCGAGCGGCTGCCAGGCATGCAACTCGCTCAGCTCGTGCGGCTGGGCAAGATCCGCGTGTCGCTGCGGGAGGACTGTCCGCCGAATCTCCGCAAGCTGGTAATGGACTGCACGCAGTTGGACCCGGACGCACGACCAAGCTCGATGCAAGTGGCCTTCACTCTCAAGAGTATCATCGCACCGACGCTGCGTATGTCGTCGACGACAACCACGACAGGCTCGACGTCTTCCTCAACTGGTTTCCCATCCAGCGGTAGCCATGCTACGGCTGGACAAGCTCTTCAACGCCCGTCGCCTTCAGTGAAAGGCGGTCGTATTTAATTACGAGCCAGTATGTCAGCTAATGTTGTAAGCATCTTAAAAACTTGTTGTTGGGGTGCTCTCCTGCTGATATCTGGTCGCGATTCCTGTAACATGTACTATCTACCTGATCTCAGATTTTAAGCATTGAACATGATGTTCCATTGAAGTAAAGCATTTTCGTGTGATTAGTAAAAATAGAAGTAAACTCTGCCAATGCAGAAGGTCTGTGCAAAACAGCCAATCGAACGCTGCAGCAACGTTCGATTAAAATTGAAAATCTATTTTTTCAAATGAATCTATTACTTCAGTAAAGACAATACATGAAATACTTCCAGTATTCACAGCACTCATTCCCTCGTATCGACCTGTTGCCATGGAAGATTGGTATCTCATCGTATACGGCGGGCATGTTGGGTTCTGTTGGGCAGTAGCCCACCAGAAATCCATGCGCTTGGCTTTGTACAAGTGAATGAAGCACAAGATGGAGCTGACAGCATCACTAAATCTCTAGAGCGGGCGATGAACCAGGTAGCACACTGCACCTTGTTGTCGACAGTTCGACTCTCACTCCAAGGCACCTTCCGGACTCCGAGTAGTACAGTGCCGCCAGTTTTGAGTATTAGGATGCTGATACGGAAGGACCACGAAAAGCCGTAAAAGCCTTGGTAAAAAATCACGCCAATCGGCAAAACATTCCGATGCAGTGCTTCAGAGAGCAGATATTCCGCAACAATTTACCATCAGTTCGGAGAACGAAATAAAGCCCAGCAGTAGCGAAAAGGGATTACTGGACTATTATTCGATTCGAAACACCCTACAGCGATTGCAGGACTCGATGCTTCTAGTTAAACGTAAATAAAAAACCTGTTACCCCCCCCCCCACGAAATACTTCCAGTAGTGTTACTAAGACCCTGACGTGCGGACCTACTCTTTCACTCCATTAATTTTGCTACTTTGCGTAAGACCCTAGCAACAAACATTTTCTTCACAGTGCAGTATATAATACAAAGTTGAAATAGCTAGGTTTAAAAGAAAATGGAAAGCAAATCTAACGCAAGCTATGGCACTTCAAAGTACATTTCCTCTGTTGCCCTGTGCAACAGTAATACTCAGTATCGAACCGATATGCCCTTATAGATAATTTCGTGGACAGCTCTAACGCGATCTAAACTTTTCAGCTGCTTCAGACTCGAATAAAAATGGCATTACAGGCTGGGAATCATCTGTACAGAGTGTGTATTGTATCCATTAATTAAAGAAAAAGTTATCCATTGTTCTAGAGCAGAGTAATTTGGGCGCCGCTGGTGCAGGCACCTTCTTAACGGGGTTGCAATTCAAACTAATTCATATTCGCGTTTGACCATTCTGTCCGCTTTTTTTAAAAGAAAAGAAAGAAATACTGGTACGAGCGGGGGTGATACTTCCCTAAGAAGCGGATAGGCACTCCTGCTTTTATCACCCTAGTCAATGGCTTCAAGCCGTTGAAGCCATCGTCTTGTTAGAGTGTGTTCTGCCTGGAAGATGTGCCGACCAGATGCATCGGTTCGAACAAGGAGCAGTTACAGCACACCGACAATCACTGGGGTTTACTCGAATGGCTGTTAGGTTGGCGGAGGCTGCCACCTCTGGCCTATAATCTACCCTCATTGTTCCATTCACTTCGGACACGACAAGCCACTCGCCAGCTCCCAACACTCGGATCAAGCGTGCTTCACATACCATGAACGAGCTCATCCTTCTTCTCGTGTTCGCGCTGACCCTCCTCGTGAGCGGTGACGCTCTGTCGGCACACTCCCAGACCAAGCTGCCCAAGTTGCTACCGTGGAGGGCGCTGCCCACCCCGACATCGACACTAAACCTTCGCTTCGTGGACTCAAGTCGACAGAGGTCACCGAAGAGAGGGGAATGACGGAACTCTTCGAGAAGATCAAGGCGTGGCTTCAGCGCGCCAAAAAGTGGATCGCCAGCTCCAAGACGGTGCAGGGGGCGAAGGACGATGTGCGGGCGTTGGCTCAAAAGAGGCGCGCTGCTACGGCCTCCAACCTTGTCAAGAAGGACGCCACGAATGACATGCTGCTCAAGAACAAGGTCACTCCGGACGAGTATTTCCTGGCCAAGGGGCTCAACTCCAAGGTGAAAGATTTCAGTGACGTACCGGAGGTGCTGGAAAAGAACCCCGGGCTGAAGGAGTGGGTTGCGTACGTGAAGTACTGGGACGAGATGGCATACAAGGCTCCGGTCTAGACAGCGAGGCGACACTTTACCAAAGACAGTAAACAGAAACGAACAACAAACATGTTTTTTTTTAGTTGTAGGCGAGCGTTATACGGTCTCCAAAAGCGATTTTTTTCTTTTTAGGACCCCCCTACTGTACTACCCGGAGCAATCGTCTCTGCAGATACAGGACTTTGGGATTAACGTCACCAATGACGAGCACTTATTGCGAAACCACAGCCACACACTCGGTCGACGCATCGATGAGCTAATGCCGTTGAGGTCAAGAGCGAGAAGAAGTGTATAGAAACTTACGAGGCTTTGAAGTTGGCAGCATTCTATCTTGTAAAACGATGTTTAGCTATACCCTTCATTGATATTGAAGACCACTATCGAAGGCATCGCTCAGAGACTGAGCGCCACCCTCGAGAAAATGGCTCCTAGCGCATCAATCCCTCACCGGAGCGGACGCGAAACCCAACTACCCGGCGCTTTGACTACCGTACTCGCAGCAGTGCGGTGTCCGCCCTCAACAAAATGGTCCTAGTTCGTCGACAACTTGAGGTAGAAGAGTCGGGTTTTGACCTTGTGGGAGCCGCAGTGGGGCTCAATCGATGTGATGAGCTCGCCTGGCTCCAACACCAACTTGTGCGACTTGCCACCTCCTCCACCATGAGCGAGCGTGCTGGCGGTGGGCTCCGAGACTTCCAGCTCGACGCCACCGACACGTGCTGCTTGCTTTGATCCGTCGAATTGGGAATGCGGAGTTACTTTGTACGGACAAGCAGGTCGCGGATGTCGGGGTCCCTTGGAATACATGCTAACTTCGCAAAATATTCTTCGCCGATGTCTGCATGTAAGCTAAGTTATCTAGCTTATATGGTTGCCTACAGTGACGTTTCCATCATGCCGTCGTTGTTGTAGTTGTCTGGCCAGGCATGTTAATATCTTGTAGAAAATGCGTTTACAACAATTACTTTTTCGAACGAGTCGTTTACGCTTTCATCATCTTTATTTATATGTGTAATACTACAGTGCTTTACCTTTTTTATGGGGAGGGGTCCAGGGCCTCGCTCAACCTCAAAGCTGTTATATAAATCGCAAACACACACCTAGCACAGCGCTATCATAGCATGAGCCTTTCTCTCGCCATTGATTGATCCCACCAACTTTGAAGGAAACACCTGCCCATACTTAGTTCGAGTCAAAAGTTTGTGGTTTCAAATCTCAAATAAATGTTTTATCACGACTTGGCTCGCAATCAAAAAGGTACATAATCATTAGCATCGCCACGAACTTGGGGTTCCACAGAGTTTCAGTCTACCATTTTGGTCGCACGGCTCAAGTCATTTTGCAAGATCTCGACTGCACGGACAACTGGCAATCAAAAACTTCTGATTGCGAGCGTCAAGCCAAACGTTTCTTCAAACTCTGCGCGCCACAGACAGCGTCGACTTTCAGTCTCCAAGCCCACTCGCGCCAACCAAGTCTCCCTCCATGCGCAGCCAAGTTCTCTATCCTCCCACTAGCCACGCGTTGAGTGAAGACGTTATTGGTAGTGTCACCCAGCGCAAGCTGCCACTGCGGCACTCCTACAAAGCAAGGGTCAGTTACAGACACCAACGAGTTGACGACGTCAAATAAACTTCCTAAGGTGAACCTCTCTATGTCTGACATCACGGCGATAGCAGACCCATCCACGCTGAAGACGCTGCACATGCTGCAGCAGCTATGAGCCTTTCGGCGGTAGTTCCAGGAAACTCACGTACTTGTCAAGGCCCGTCAGTATTGACTGGGGTCGACCTGCTGACTACATGGCAGTTGGCCAAAGGGGGTGTTTGTGCCTGGGGCTTTCCTCCTCGTGCCCGAGAGTGTGGTACGTTGCATGTAGTTGAGTGTGGTTGGCTAAGAAAAGAATGAATCACTTTGGAATTTGCCTCACTCAAGACAAGAGCCTCTTCTCCCTCGTTCACTGCTTCTCCTCGTCGTCAAGACTCAACACTATTCGCTGCTACTTCCGGGCACCGCGCTGCTACACTCAAGGCTCGACGCTGTTCGTCTCGGAGCGTAATAACTGCTAGGTTATGAGCCCAAAGCTCTACTGTTGGTGACGAGTCTCTTGAAGTGAAAGCGACGCAAGAAACAAAATGAGCAATGCTGGAGCTGGCAACGTGCAAGGCCAGCCGCAACAACAAGCACAACCGGCCGTTAATCCAGCGCGGGCGAGCAACAAAGCGCCCCGGTTCGAAGGCACGTTTGAGCTCTATCGCGCCGAATTGGAGCTCTATCTGGCAGAGCGCGACTCGTGGGCTGTAGTGAGCGGCGGGGAGACACGCCATGCTACGGATGTGGGCCTGCAACGCCAGTATGACGGGCGAGATCGAATTGCACGTGCGGCTATCCTACGCGGTCTGCGCGGATGCAAGAATGATGATGCTGCCAAGGTGTGTGGAATGGCTACGGCTGCGGAAATGTGGAATACACTGGTGGCGGATAACACCCAACGCGACTTCTCCTACGCGGTACTCCTGCGGCGACAGTTGCATCAAACCTCTCATAATGAGGGCCAATTATTGGCCGAGTACATCACGACAATGACGCAACTTCGGCAAAAGCTGCGCAATATGGGCCCGGACCATGCTATTACGGACAACGACATGGCCCAGTTGCTGCTGATGGGCGTGGCAGTGACGCATCCTGAGTTACTGGACCAGTTCGACCTGCCTACGCGTCAAGGCAACCCACCCACGCTGCTACAAGTGACCAATGCTCTAAGATCCAAGGATGAGCGTACACCCATGGCCGAGCAAGTGGGTGGGACGCGAAATGGAAATGGCAATAACTGCTATTAGCAGTTATTGCGCTCCGAAACGAACAGCGTCGAGCCTTGAGTGTAGCAGCGCGGTGCCCGGAAGTAGCAGCGAATAGTGTAGAGTCTTGACGACGAGGAGAAGCAGTGAACGAGGGAGAAGAGGCTCTTGTCTTGAGTGAGGCAAATTCCAAAGTGATTCATTCTTTTCTTAGCCAACCACACTCAACTACATGCAACGTACCACACTCTCGGGCACGAGGAGGAAAGCCCCAGGCACAAACACCCCCTTTGGCCAACTGCCATGTAGACAGCAGGTCGATCCCAGTCAATACTGACGGGCCTTGACAAGTACGTGAGTTTCCTGGAACTACCGCCGAAAGGCTCATACTGCGAATTGCCCGTAGCAATGTACTCCACTGGCAGTGGCACGTACGGGATCTTCTCGCCCTGATGTCTGCCCACCAAGAGCTTGTTCAGGTACTTGCTACTGACCGTGGCATCTTCGCGGAACTGCACGTCTCGGGCTTCGACAATCTTTCCAGTCCGAAAATTTAGCAGTCTGTAGCCCGTAGTTGAGCGCGCGAATCCCAGCAACAGCGCCGGATCTGCCTTTGGGCTCAACTTGTGCTTTCGCACCGCTTTTGGCACAAACACAAATCCCAGACACCCGCATACCCGAATCTTGCTGATGTCAGGTTTCTTGTTGAAGAGCTTCTCCGACGGAGTTCTGCCCTTGAGTGCCCGTGTTGCCGTCATGTTGTCAATGTCCACCACATACCGCAGTACTTCCGGCCAGAGTTTCTGCGGCAAGTCTGCTGCATGCATCGCGGCGCGCATCTTGTTCACCAGCACACCGTTGAGCTTCTCAACGAGTGCATTCTCTTCAGGGGTGTGCTGGTGAGTAGGCACGAACTTAATCCCATGTAATTTCAGGAACCCTTTGAGCTGGTTGTTCACGAATTCGCCTCCGCCGTCGCTTGTGAACGTCTTGATCTTGTGCCCCTGCGCACGCAGCTCCGACATCAGCTCCATCAAGTTGGCGTTGGAGTCGCTCTTCTGCTTGAGCGGATACACCCATTTATACCGAGATCCCTCGTCTTGGTTAGCTGGAAGTACCGATAGTTGCTCACACCGGGGAGATACTTCTGCATATCACAGACATCCGAACTCAAGCGCTCATAGGTAGTGAGTGTCACCCAGCACAAGCTGCCACTGCGGCACTCCTACAAAGCAAGGGTCAGTTACAGACACCAACGAGTTGACGACGTCAAATAAACTTCCTAAGGTGAACCGCTCTATGTCTGACATCACGGCGATAGCAGACCCATCCACGCTGAAGACGCTGCATATGCTGCAGCAGCTTAAACGAGAGCGTCGACGCGTACCCCAGGAGAAATACATGAAGAAGAAGGCCACGGCTGATGCAGCCCTCGAGAGATACATCCCGCTGCTACGTGACGAAGTTAAGCGACTGGAAGTCCAGCGAGATTGTCTCCTGAGTCCGAAAAAAACTCTGTGGTTGGCGGCAGTCGAGTACTTCCGCATCTTCGGGCACGGGTTATCTGGTCCAGGAGAGCCACTTTGGAGTTCTTGCGAGCGGTGGTGGCGCCGGGCGTGGATATAGGTGCAAGGACTGGATTCAAGGCATTGATGACGAATTGGAGGATGTTCACCCAGTTCTTTCCGGACGTTAGAGTCCAGCTCTCGAGTCTCATTCAGATCACCAAAGACTCACTCATTGCCAGTACCACCACAAGCATCACGATGACAAAACAATCCCTGCAAAACGTGCTCCCACATATGGTCGATGACACCAGAGACGAGAAGCCCCGTCGGGAGCGCATCGTTTCCCAGTTGTTGGGACAGCGCGAGTAGGCGCGTGACTCAGTTGTACGCTCATGCCGACATGGTGTCGCCGCTGCTGCAGTTAGTTGACAGTCTCGATGATGTTGCGGTTATTTTTTGCGACGCTCTCATCACACCCGATTCCAACTTGTGTCGTAGCGACAGCCACGGCACGAAAGAAGACTAAATCCTAGCCGCTTGATTTTTTTTCTCCGCCGAATTTGAAGTCAAAAAGATAAGTTCACATGCGAGATCTCTCGGCTACACTCTTAACAATGGGCTGGTTTGCAGATCCCTTTAGAGCGAAGTAAAACACAGTGAGTCACTGTCAGTGACCATCCTAGGCAGTACGACTTCCTACTGTGAAGTATACAGGACACTCACCCCTCAGGAGGGTGCATCCCCATGGCTCTCACTATGCGGTACCACCTACGCCGAATCCCCACCAGCGCACGCCACAGCCTTCTCCAGCAGCACTTCACGTTCGCGTAGCTGAGCCCAATCTCGGTGACAGTGTCAGCATCCGGCTTCTCCGTCAATAACCACAAGAAGTCCGGGTGGTCGTCGTTCGATCCGTAGAGCCACTCACCGCCGATGATCTCCTCATTGTCGTCCATCTCCAGTAGGTAGTCGTAGTAGGAGGCTCCCCCCGTGAAGTTCGCGATCAGACCCGAGGCGATCAGTCCGTCATCCTTCTCCGACTGCTCGATCCACGACAGACGCGACTTAACGTACACGATGCTCGTGGCGTTCTCGTTCCAGGGGTACGACTCGAGTCCGTAGAAGGTGTTGGCCGCCTCTTTCGTGCTCATGGCCGTTTGCTCGTACACCTTGAACCCAACGACAGGCTGGTTCCAGACCCTGTAGTTGGCTACGTGGTCAACGACGAAGGTCTGTTCAACAGGCCGAGGAGATTGGCAGTGGCGATGTGGAAGAACCCAGGGTTCAGGTCGCGGTACGAGTAGTCTGTATGGCGGCCGAACGCGTCAATGGAATCAGTACCGTAGCCGTCGTAGCGGGACCCTGCGAAGACGAGTGGTAGGTCGTCTATGGCGCCGTCGTAGACCTCCGTAATCAACGCCTGGGCTGGAAAGTCACGCCGTTGAACGTCACGGGGCAATTCGGTTCAGGCTCCAGGATGGCGGCTGAGACCCACGCACAGTCCATAGCGTACCACGTCGGGATGCAGTAGCCTGATGTCTTGTTGGGGCGTATCGCGCAGGCAATGGACTCATCAGCGCATTGATTGTCCGAGGAGCAGTTGGGAAACGTGTTCCTCTAATCGACACCATTCTCGGCTGAGACGTTGTTCATGAACGTGGTGACGTCTAGTCCAAATGCCGTCGCGTACTTCTCGGAAGCGCTCGGCTGGCCCTTGTTCCACTAGAAGTTAATGTTGTCCTGGAAGACGGGCCAAGGGCGGCCGGGCCACGGCGACGGACTGTGGACCGCAGTCGTGGGCATGCTTTTCAGCTTGCGCTCCATCGGTTTGCCGAAATAGTCCTCGATTGCGGCAAGGTCATCACTGTAAATCGACTCGAGCCTGCGGCCGCTACTGGTCGAACCTGAGCTCGAACTCGAGCTTGAGCTTGAGCTTGTCAGCTTGCGATCCATCGCGGTACCTTCGCTGGGCTACAGCATGCGACCGCTACTGCTTGGAGTCGAGCTTTGTGCAGGTGAACTGCCCGTGCTGTGTGACACAGGCGTCCGGGTCGCTGCCGGTGGGGGGCGTATTCTCCGACATGATCCGCTTCCCCACCTTAGTGAACACGGGCTGGGTCGGGGATGCGGATGCGTTCGACATCAGACCCTTGTACTTCACGGGGACGGCTGGTGTTTTGGCGGCCTGGTGCGAATGGGGGTCTTCCGGCACGGTGACGACGCAGTTGCCGTCGTCGTTGAGCGCACTGCCGCGGCCGGGGAAGCACTTGTTGCCGATCTCGTACGAGGTGCACGTGGTGTAAGGGTCGTACTTCAGCGACGTCGCTGTGGTCTGCTGCAGCTGGAGCGCCACGGGGGCGGCTGCAGTAACGAGGTAGGCACGGGGGAAGCACACCATGCCTTCGAGCTGGAGGTTCGTCCTGGGTCCGACGCAAGCTGGCTTTGCTGCTGCGGAGGAAAATGGGGAATGAGCCGAGTCGTAGTTCGATGCGTCGGTTGCCAGCAGGAGTTGGCGCCATACTACCTTCAAGTTGATGAAGTTGAGTCAAAAGTGCTGGTGTGGGATCGCAGTGCATGGGATCGGCTGGAGTACATAAGTAATCACAGGCCACCGCTACACACCGTTTGCTGTCCGAATTCATTGAGACCACAATTCAACTCAACGAATCGTTGGAATACGAAGTTCTAGAGTTGTAAGTATTGAATAGAGGCGGCATTGACAGAGGAGTGCTCTCCGCTGCAGCCCCCCATTTGATTGCAGCATTCGCTGTAGACTCTGTAACACCGAAGCAGTTCTAGAAACAGGTTAGTGGCTATCAGAGGCATTCAGAGCTCATTCGTACATAGTATGTATTACAGGTTCGAAATAGTCATAGGGCACGATAATCACTACTAACGAGAGCTATGCATAGGCTGGGATAGCTAAACAACTTAGTGTGAGCATCTTCACCGCGGCCGCGCCGTCACTATCTCTATCGCCATAGCAGCAATTCAACGAGAAACATAGTCGCGCGCGTTGCACGAAGATGCTCTGAAATCTACGACTTACCTGTTACCTACAATATCTGTGTCAGGTAAATTTGCTTTCCATTACAACGCATCTCCTGCGCCTGCTTCGCAGCCGCAGCATCTGCTACATTGACTTAGTGCCTATCAGGATTTTTTATTTATGAGCTTTTCGCCCGTCGACCATTATCATCTTCTGCTGACGCAAAATTTTCTTTCTTTATTTTTTTAGTAGTCACCTCAGCAACGTAGTACTAGATGCACTTGAGTGCGAGGGGGTTAAAGAGGTGACAGATCGTTCGGGGCGTACGTGTCGGCTGGAGGTGCAGCACTGAAAACGCGCGTTGTACTTCCTTACCTGTCAAGTAATATTAATACATGTAGTTGGATGTGCATCACTTACGGCCTCGCGGCGACAACCTGACATCGTTGATCACCGATGTGTGGACTGGTACGCGGTAAGCCGTCGCTTTCGAGGTATCTCGAGCTTGTGTCGGATTTGAGATGGGGAGCATAGGCGACAATCAGTTAACTTCAGTTACCGGGGCCAGTTTTCCGGCTTCAGTTACCGAGGTGCCGCCTAATTAATCTGTGTTGGGCTGGCCACAGCACTCCCACCGGGGTTACTGCTATCCCAGAAAAAGTACCGATGTCTTACAACTCTAAAACTATAGGCAGTGAAACGCGGGGTTCTAACGCACACCCCAACAATAGGAGTTAACTGCACGTGGCGGTATTGTAACTCGCTTAGCTAAAATGCTCGTCTAGTTAAGATTGCGCGGCAGGTTTGTATGAACGTCCACCGCCTGGTGTGCGATCCAGCATTTGCTGTCTGTAGCTTTTTAAGGCAATATGTTGTATTAATACTGCGGGTTGTTATTCTGTCTACTAATCAGGGGAGAGTCCGAGTGCATTTTGATTAGCTCTATTTGCGGTAAAATGAGAACTCAGTCCAGAACACATACGAGTATCGAAACTCTCAACGAGAGCGATTACATAGTGTTTTTTTCAGGTTCTAATAGATGCAGAATGTAAAAATAACATTACCACCGATACATGTCAAGATTGCAATATCCCCCCGCTAGGCCTTGCTTGGCGTGGTTACACGTACTCGTACGAGCAGGTGCTAGTCAAACAGCTACACACTGTCGAGGTAGTGAAGGCCAGCGACGACCAGAGGAACACTGTCGGTAGCAGCGAAAACGTTCATAAAAAGTGTTCTAAAAGTGCTCTAATTGTCCTAACGTATATTAACCTAATTAAGTAGAAATACCGGTAATTTATTCGGACGAGGGCGAGCGGATGCGAGCGCGAGGCTCACTCGATGCATTCACCGATAGCCAACACCCGCCGATCAGGCGGGGGAGTGTCTGCGCGAGCGAGTGGACGCGAGCGCTGCAACCCGATATATTTTTTTTCTAGACACCGCACCTGGCCGAGCCGAGGACTTAGCGTAAGGCACGAGGGGGTGGGGCAGGCCGCGCAGCGGCGCTCCCCCAGCGAAGCGAGAGAGGGGCGGCCCCCCGAAGTGCCGTCGCTAAGTCCGCAGGTAAGAGCCAACGGGCGAGTGTCCGCCCCCTTAGAGATTTTGGCCATGTTTCTGAGACTGTTCTTCCAGGAAGTGGTCCCGAGTACTGACTGTTAACTGGGAAATGTGCTTACTAAAGTCAAGTTAATATTTTTAGGAAAATTAGGGCAGTTTAGTTCGGTTTTAGGAAGTTTTAACCAGCACCACACCGTCACGGCTAGCGCCAACACGGAGGCCAATAGCACGCACTGCAACGCAGCAGTCTCACGTGCTCGGCTTAAGTACAGTACTATTAATAATATAGCTGAATACTAACTCGTCGGAAAAGTACTGATCAGTAGTTTTCTGGAACTTTCAAATTATTCGTCATCGGATGTCTAATGTGGTTGCCTCATAGGTTGTCTGCCTATCTCGTCCTTAATTGTCGTGTGTCCAGGGTCAGCACTTGACTGGCTCTGAGATTCGCCCCCTTTAGCTTAGCGAGCAGCACGCTCACGAGATGGAGAATGGGTAAACCTGTTGCTACGAAAAGTAATATGTACTTCGTGCAAAATCTGCCCTGAATACACATGTGGATCGAGGACATACAGTATTACTCTTTCCAGCAAGGCGGTTACGCTTTCACCATCTTTTGATTCCTCTGACTCCCCACTCAGGTACAGGTATTAGACAGACGGCTATGGGACTAAGCTCGGCGTGACTAAGCGCTTCGTCTTGATCCGTTGTCGAGGAGTCTGTTACATGTACCACCCCCAGCAAGCTGACACCCAGCAGCAGCACCAAGATACGACCTTACTGTAAAATTATTTATTTATTCTTTCTACACGAAGGATAATGCTGCACGCGGTACGCTGCAGTGTTTGCAGCAGCCAACTACGTGTAGATGTAGCTCGACTTTGCGTAGCCCGGTATTCTTCTTGTAACTTACCACTCATTGAAGAATCTTCGACTACATGTAGTCAACAATTCTTACGGTACTATAATGAGCAGACCTCTACTAATACGGGAAAGGTCAATTTTCCCACTTTTTCAGCAAATATGACCTTTTTTGAAGGTCAAAATATGGGAAATGTGGGCTGTTACTGCACGCTATATATATCAAATAGATAACACTAAAGTGGTTTGCGAAGGTTTTCAAAGCTATATTTCAGGTCCGATTTTGATAAATCGGACCCAGCAATTGCAGCGTTAGTCAAAATTACAGAAACTGTGGAAACCCCGAAGAACATCGCTAATGAAGAAAGCACCGTGGAACGCTTTAGCTCTATAACACTTGAAGTGACAATGACGGAGGCTGGCGACAGGTTTCAGCTTGCTGCTGTGCACAGGCTATTGCAATTTGGGTTAATTGTGTTCATGGCTTCATCTATAGCGTTGTTCGTTTTAACATACCCGATCTCCAAACACCGGCAGAATCTTGGTGTGCGGAAACTCATAAACTCATCGTCAGATTCAGGATTTTGACCGAGAAGTGAGAGGTTCCAAGCTAAAGCGCTGAAACATATATTGGGGTATATTCTGCGTTTGTTGGTGGTGTGGGCGGCTTGTGTTGTTCAATAAAAGAAGTCTTTACGTTCGAGAGAGCAGCAAGAAATGGCAATTAGCGGTCTCATGCAGTGGTAAGTTTACATTCTAGCACATTCTATTAACCCCTTTACTCCGTGTGCTTTTTCTGGGATAGCAGTAACCCCGGAGGGAGTGCTGTGCAGCCCAACACAGATTAATTAAGCGGCACCTCGGTTACTGAAGCCGGTATTACTGAAGCCGAAAAACTGGCCCCGGTAACTGAAGCTAACTGAATATCGCCTATGCTCTCCATCAATCTCAAGTCTCGAGAGTGATGGAGAGCATTTCGAAAATTCCGTATTTCGTCGCATTTGCACACGAGTGCTGCGAGGAATCGTTGCCGAGATCAGCGCTGCTCGCCGGACTTCGGCACCACGTCGCTGATGAGCGATGTTCTTAGCTTACGCTTGTTGCCGTAGCTCACCGATATGTGCCCCAGCAGCTGCGAGCCGACACCGGAACTAGTGCCGACGCCGACATCGTCAACTCAAGGAACGTCAGCTAATCGTGTAGCCGTTAGGCCGACGGTCGGCCTCTCAAGCGACAGCATATATGAAAACTATTTGCCGATCTGGTGTGGCAGCGTGTGGCAGCTCGTCCATCTACAGTACAAGAGCAAGTAATTTAAACTTACTATATTACCTTGAAAACACAGACATGCTCTCTGACGCCCTGAGCTCAAGGAGCGAAGCAAAAGTATCGGATGACATCGTCCGGTTCCTGATTGATCCATAACGGTGCGTGTTTGAAACGCTATCTGCTCATAGCTGCTTCATCTTGCTGGAGCATGTATCCTGGGAGACCAGCTTGCTGGCTTACAAGTACCAGCCTCACAACCCTTAGTTCGTCACGAAATGTATTCCCAGTTACAGGTAACTTCGCAATTAGCGAGAGTGCAAAAACTTCTGAAGAGCAAAATAATTGTTTGCAAGTTTTTAAAAGTAATCATTTCTCACTGAACTATCCTGTATTACCGGCCAGATGCTGCGGCTGCGAAGCAGGCGCAGTAGATGGCCGTAGTTATCGTCCACTAACCGCGCTTGTTGACTCGAATATTGTGTTATATCAAACCTTGTGCTGGCAAAACCGCTATCCACAGACATCTTCTGCGCCTGCTTTGCAGCCGCAGCATCTGCCTGCATTCGACTATTAGAACCTTCCATAGAGTTGTGGCTTAGCCCTCAACGCGCAGTTGCACAAGTAGTCGGCAACTACTGTACCGGACACTAAAGTATATAACGGGTTCTATACTAACGCCAACTAGAAGCACACGCGTTCACTTTACTTACTTCGAACAGTATAGTTTTCGATTGTGTCACATCGGCATACTGCATCTGAGAATCTTTCTTCTAAACTATCTGTCTGAGAACAACCAATGCAGAACTTGCACTTTCAGGATAAAACTAATACTAGTAGAAAAATGGTCTCTCAGACAATGCGCAGCAACCTTGTGAAAACATAGACCTTGTCTACAACGCGCTGAATTCTCGCTGGCGTTACCGGTCAGTGCCCACGAGCTCGGCCAGGACGTTAAGGCTTCGTTTTTTTTACAGCACGCTGCCGCCCTATCACTATCGCCAGACCCTAAAATAAATATATTACGAGGATTGAACGCACCCACAGCTACGTAAATTGTTGTTTTTCGTAATTTTCCCAGAATTGTCGCGTGGCATTACCTCACACAAAATCCTTTAGCTATCCCAGCCTTCGCATAGCTCTCGTTTTTCATCCAAAATGCGTTTGTTTTGCAGGCTTCTACGGACTCGTACTGGGAACACCCGAAGAATGAGGGGTGGACAGCTCCCAACGGATTAATTGGACGCGTAAGCGTAACCTGGCGCAACCTTCGTGCTACACCAGCCAGAAGGATGTCGACCGAGCAGGTTCAACGGCAACTTTCAGCAAGGCAGACTGAGGCAGGAAATGCACGTCAACAGACCCATGCACCAGCTTCAGAAAGTGAACTGCGGCACGCGCGATATTCATGGGTGTGGCCCCGCAGGGGCCACGCCCTTGAATCACGCGGGCCACAGTTCTCCCTTATCATGGCAATTAGCACCGGTACCATCACCAGCGTTTTATACCACTGGTGTTCCCAGCCAAGTCGAAGACGACCTAGTTATTGGGTTCGTGGACAAACTAGTCAATAAATGCGTTAAGTAGGTAGGTAGCTCGCTCGTTCCGGACCAGATAGAATAAATCCTGAAACTGATAAATAGAAGAGAACTGATGCATGCACTTATGCAGCAAGGTATAAAATGCAGTTGCTTCGATGTACCAACAGCTACATATAAAGCAAAAATGACCAGACTATCAACACGGGTGGATAGCTCCAATAAAGCACCTCAATCTAAATTCCTGCTATGAGAACTCTCAAAAATTTCTCCCACATTCAGTGATCGCCAGGATACGGGGAAAACGGGAAAATTCCTGAAATTCCCGTATTGGTAGAGGTCTGGTAATGAGTGACCGAAAGTGAACAGTTTTCTGCGAGGGTTGTGTGTTCGAGTGTATGTCGGCCCACCCGTATCTCCAGGACTAAACTGTACTTGCATTGTTCTCTGTTTTGGTCACCAGTCATGCGTTGTGCTGTTCGTAGAGCGTTGGCCCGAGGAATTCCATAAGTCAGTAAATACTACTGAGATCAAACCAAGCAGCCCCCAGCAGCTCATGACCGCCCCAGCTAACACCTTCACTGCGCTCTCCTACAACATCGGGGGGCTAGCAGGGCTGGTCTCGACCAATGACCGTGTCGGGCCTGTCAAAGAGATCGGCAAGCGCATTGCCGACTGGGACATTGTCAACGTCCAAGAAGACCTGTACTTGCACGCCTTCCTGTACGACGCGGACACCCACGCGTATCGCAGCGAGTCGGACGGCGGAGTGACCTATCGAAGAAACGGAGTGGACGGAGGGAGCGGCCTCAACACGCTGTCGCGCCTCCCGTTCTCCAACACGTCCACGTTCGGGCGAACCAAGTGGGTCGAGTGCAGCAACTTCGACGGCCGCGACTGCGACATATCCAAAGGCTTCTCGCTAGTCGAGATCCAGATTGCCGATGGTGTCAGCCTGGACGTGTACAACCTGCACGCCGATACCGTCTTCACAGCGGAAGACGAGAAGGCACGTGCAGCGAACTTGGCGCAGCTAGGAGACTTTATCGCGGCCAATTCGGCCAGCAACGCTGTGCTGGTCATGGGCGACACCAACACCAAGTACACAAGTGCCGGTGACACGATCCGGGAATTCCTCGACGGTCAAAAGCTCACGGACGCGTGGGTGCAGACCATCCGAAAAGGGAAGGCGCCGGAGAAGGGGTCGCCCGAGCTCAAGTGCGACTTGGCCGCCGTGACGAACGACTGCGAGGTCAGTAACAGAATTCTGTTTCGCGGCAACAACTACATCAACCTCGCAGTGGACACGTGGAACAACGAGCACAAGGCGTTCCTGGCTGCCGACGGCAAGACGCTGTCGAACAACGTGCCGGTCTCGTCCAAGTTTTCGTGGACCCTCAACCCAGACCTCCACCTAAGCAACGCCTACGGTGGACCCCACGCCGTCTGGTTCTCGGATATCGCGCTGGCTGCGCCCGGGCAGACTGTCACCTCAGTCACTATTCGGTCGGGACGATGGTGTCGAGCTGGAAGTGTCGGAACCCACCGCCAGCACGCTCGCTCATGGTGGAGGAGGTGGCAAACCGCACAAGTTGGTGCTGGAGCAGGCTCATCACGTCTATGGAGCTCCACTGGGGCTCCCACAAGGGCAAAACCCGGATTTTCTACCTCAAGTTCTCGACGAACAAGGACCATTTTGTCGAGGGAGGACACCGCACCGCTGCGAGTACTATTGCCAAGGCGCCTGACGGATTCCAGCTCGTCGGGTTTCACGGCCGCTCGGGCGACGAGATCGACGCGCTAGGAGCCATTTTCACGAAGGTGGCGGCCAGTACCTAGTTATGTCGTGGAGCATGCCACAGCATTGTCTCCATTTTCTACTTAGTGAGTCCTAAGTACGCCCGCCAGTCAAACTCAAGATCCTAGCTTGTGTAGGAGCCCCACCCTTTAGATGACGGGTTTGGCATTTGAGGGGCCAGTCGTTAGCTGCTACTAAGCAGCAACAATGATCATCAATTCAAAAGCAAAACAACAAGCAAGCTTGAGTGTGCCGGGGTATATCGAAGCTGGGGCTAAACCACGGGACAAGCTCGGTCTTATTTTAGAGAACTACATGTAGCTGTCAGCACTTTCAACAGCCACATCACTTGACCAGTAATGCTACGACCAAGGAGAGACACGTATATTAGATGCTGAACACAAATTGTATCATGAGGTAGTGTATCGTTTGCGGAGTGCACTATTATAACTGTTGACTCGAACTCCGTTGGCAGGCTAAGCACTCGCCGTGAGCGCTACGCGTTTTGCTGATTGATTCCGTCTGCAGACACCAGGTTGATTGTTTTTCGAGCATTATGTTCACGCTGTCCCAATCTTTTGAGCGCTACTGTAGCGCACACCGGTTCGTTTACATGTTAGACCGTCTCAATTGATGATTATGTAACTACGTTGCAGTTGTCATCAATGGTGCATTGTTGTGCGCTCGTTCAGATCGGCTTGTCCCAACGCGCGATGTTTGATGCCACAATGAACACTTGTAAAGTAATACACACTCTTGGAAGTATCACATGTAGTTAGTCTAGCGTTGGCGCTGGGCTCGATTTCGAACAACAAGTTTCGGCATGATTATGATGTACGCCAGCAGATCTCGAATTCATGCGCACAGGCAATTTGCTGGTTGAGAATCTTACCTTTGAGTCAACGCCCTCGTGTACCCCAGTAGCTACATCGTCGTCACTGCTGTCGCCCTCGTGGCACTGCAACTGCAGCAGATTGCGGCGTCATCACTGCAATTCGACCCGTACACCACGTGTAATTCCTACAACATCGGCGACAAGAACTTCCCCGGCCGCGGCACCGAGATCGAAGACGACGGCAATTGTGTCGTCACTGTGCCCGAGATCCCCGACTCGCTCAAGCACTCTGAAATTTCGGCAGTACTTGTGGCGGACAAGATGTTCCTGTGCATCTGCACTAACTGATGCGATGGGGGAGGGGAGGGAGCATCGTAAAAATCGCCGAAGAGTGGGGCTTCGCCCTCGGACTTGTGAAGCGACGCCCACATCGAGCGTTCAATAACGGTAGTTGCTAGGAAGGTCGAGAGTAACACAATAATCTAGTTTCTATTGATGTTAGCTACGCACTTAGTTTTTCCGAAAGATGGCGTTCACCTCGTCCTGATAAAAGTGTCCTTGACGTTTCTGCCGTTTCTTCTTCTTCTCACGCCGAAGTCGCTGTTGCTCCATCTTCGCGGCTGTCTGGGCCCGAGTAGACTTCTCATCCAATGCAAACTCCAGGTCTTCCACGTGTTCGTAGATAAAATCGGTCAGGGCGTCATAGTCCATTCCGATGGGGATGAGGATACCCATGCCCTGCTCGGGGGCCTCTTCGTCCCAGGAGACCTGCGGCTCCTCCACGTCCGCGTCCGCTGTGATCAGCAGCGTGATCTTGTTCCACACGAGACTGTGCAGACGCAGCTCCATAAAGTTGACCAGCAAGAAGTTGGCGATCCAGTGGAACGCGCTCTTCTTCATGTGCGGGTCCTGAAACTTGGGCAGGAAAAGCCTCGACCGAAGCAGACTCGTCAAGACCGCGTGTTGCGTCGCTGTATCGAGCACAAAAACAAAGAGAGGAAACAATGTTAGAGCACCACGGAAACTCCCCTCATAAGTCCAGCGAGCACTTACTCGGTCCGTCCTCCAGCCCCGTCGTGGTTTCCTGCACGATGTTCTTCTCGCGCGTGAGCATCGCGTGGAAGATTTTATCGAACTGCTCGTGCTCCCGCTTCTTAGCCTTGTTCTTCTCTCCAACACGGATACCGTGCATGTCGGCCTGGTCCGCAACCGTGTCCTCTTCCTCCAGCCACTCGGCCAGCGCCGTCCTCTTGGTCACTTCGCCCTCCTCTTCCACGACCAGCGGCACCTGAGCCAACGCGAACAGGTCCTGCAGGATGCGTCTCGTCGTGCGCTGCCACTCGCGAGCGAAAGGCGCCTGCAATGCAGCCTCTGGGTCCGTCCGAGCACTAACGGACCGTCCAGGATTGGACAGCGTCCGCTTCACCAGTCGACCGGGCACCTCGACGGTGTACTTGACCTCCACGAACCCGTCGACGCGGCTCTGGGCGTCCAAATCGTCCGCGGGGACGTGGAAAACCAATGGGAACCGCAGCGGCTGGTCCTCGATGGATTGCCGACTCTCACTCAGCGCCAGCACCTGCTTGCGGGCGTTGAATGCGTCGTTGTTGCAGCCCAGCGTGGCCAGCTCGAGGAACACGTTGAGGTGCTTGAGGGCCTGCTCGTTCTCCTGCGCCAGAGCCGGCGCTTGGCGTTGTACAGTGTCCGGGTGCAGCCGCAGCAGCAGAGGAGACACATAGGGCGTGAGGTTCAGCCCCTTGGCGCGGCGCGGGCCTGCGGACGTCGACAAGCAGCGGCGCAGCACTAACGGAGCTGCTCGACCCAGCATCATTGATTGAGTGGCTGGGGATTGGCTGAAAAGCAGAATCTGTGACGTGGTACCAAATATGGTGTAAACTTGGTGTGTCGCTGATATGTAGACGAATGTGGACACAGGAGGACCTACGAGCTGTCTGCAACCGACCGGAGGTGGACACAGGAGGACCTACGAGCTGTCTGCAACCGACCGGAGGAGGTTTGCAGTCTGCTTGAGTTGGCTACAGCTGCGACGGCGGCGATCGTCGATGCGTTCTCGTAGCCGCTCGGTCCGCTTGGCCACGACGTCGGTCATGCTCGCTGCTGAGAGCGACGACGAAGCGTAGCTGTCGCCAGCCAGGCTCGGTGGCTGCGCGAACCGCAGCAGACGGAAGGCGTCCGCGGCTGCATACAATCGCGTCTTCTGGCTGCGAGCGCGTCTTTTACTGGTGCTCTTCGCGCGGTGCCACTTCCAGGCTTGCTGCACCAACACGGCGGCGCTCTCTTTGCGCTGGCGGACGTAGCGATAGAAGCGCGCGACGTCCAGCACCGTTTGTTCTCGTGGGGAGAGCTGCAGGGCGTCGATGAGGACGACCCGCAACAGACACGCGATGACCATGCCACCGATGATGCCCCCGATTGCGACGACGATCTTGCCGCCCAGAGTCCACGGGAACGTGTCGCCGTAGCCGACGCCAGTGATGGTGACAATCGTGAGCCAGAATGCGTCGCTAGCGTTCGTCTCCGTCGGATTACTCGCCCTAATTGGTGTGAACAACGCACGCACAAAGGGTTTGCAAAAGCTTTTCATGAAATAATCAAAGTTGGCAACGCACCGTTCAAAGAAGTTCAACGCTGCCGAAGTGCTAAACCAGTCGATCCCCAATAGAGTCAACGCCGACTCGACTGGGAATTTCTGGAAGGAAAACTTGACCGTAAGCCAGATCGATGATAAATCGATCTGATTCATGGAGCCTAAAGCGCACGGCCATGTCAGTAAATTAGTCAGTGCAAGTAACAGAATGCCGCGATACTTACTAATCAAGCGCGCCTCATGCGACAGAGAATTCAAGCCGAAATGGTTTCGCAACACTCGACCAAGCAAATAAATGCGAGTAAAGACCACTACGTCTGTAGTCATAAGTCAGAACGGTGTCAGTAAAATATATAAAAATGAAGATCCAGGCTATTTCGCGTACCCAGTTGATCAAGGCATAAGACGTCGTACTCTCCCCACCGCCAGATTTGACGATCGGCGCTTAGCAGTGGCATGTGCGCCAAACACACTAGCACTTCAAGCAAAAATTGGCTGTGATGCATAAGAAAAAAGGTTAGTTCAGTACTAATCGTCCCCTGTGTTGCATAAGCACACATTCACAAACCTTCGAAGTCCCGAGTACGCACTGAAAAAAGTAGCATCAGGTGGCAATTGCTTCGCCATGGTCTTGATCTTGCACACAATTCCTGGCAGCAAAAAATATATTTTTAACAATCCGTCAGAGTCACAGCGTCCTTCATCGAGCGTTCATCAGGTAGAAGATAGAGAGACGTACGGTAGCGCATAACCAATGCATATACCAGCAACCCCGACGTGCCCGAGAGCACGCCCTTGAGTACGATGAACGGGATCGAGTAGGCGAGAGGATCGGCCGATGAAAACTCTCTCCTCTCCTCCACCAATTGAGCCAACTCGTCCCCAAGCAGCTCTCCCTCCACACTGACACACAATATGCCAATAACCGCCAGTATCAGCATGAAAGTCTCCCACAGCTTCTGCTCCTCGGCCAGCTACAAATAATTATTTTGCATGTTAGATTTATGATGCATCATTTATTGTAAATTATCATAAAAAGCTGAAAATAAGTTTCACCTTGCGACTGCGGTCGAAGCTTTGGATCGTGGCGATGGTTTCTTGCCAGGAAGCGTCATTGGATTGGAATCTGCTTCGTAACTAAATAAAAATCAGAGCTGGTCAATAATTTTATTATTTTTCGAAGGCGATGGACGCTCAGCAGGTGCTCTTTTTAATGGCAAGAGGACCTGGTGCGTGTAGACAGCTTGGCGGGGCGTCGATCTGGCTGCTGGACGTACGTGGACGCCCACGTGCTGCGCGGACTCCGGAGGCGCCATCGCGGATCAGTGATGGGGACCCAAAAGATGAAGTGGGTTCATGTGGGGTGATACTTATGTGGTACATACATCCGTTTAAATACGATCAACTTCAACTTCATGTCAGTTGGTGCAAGAAGATTGCAACATGGAAGAATGCCCGCAGGAGACTGGTGTCATGAAGTGCGTTCTGCACGACCAACTGCGAGGGATGTAGGCGCAAGAAGAAGCAGAAACGATAGGCGGCAAACACCTTAGGCAATGCATTGGACTGGATTGTGTGGTCTCAGTGGTTCAGCAACCAGCGTTAACGCTAAGCTTACCGCGCTACCGTCTAGCATGGCATGTAGCGCGACAGCGGATACTAGCAAGACAGTGTTTGCCACCATGAACCCACCAACCAACACCCCACTTGCAATACAAATTCAGAGTTCATTGCTGACATGGTACTCAAAACCTACACTTGCGGCGAGCAACATCAACTGTACCAGGCCCAAAGAACCGAAGCCACAGTCAACCGATGCCCTCGCCGCTCATACGCACGATTCGATGACTCTCTAAGCCGAGGCCGGGGTGGGGACGCCCGCCTGCACGACGTGCGCGCCGTCACCGATGCGCGTGAGGAAGCTGGCGGGCTTGGGCAGCTCCGAGCCGAACTTGTCCGCGGGGTAGCCGGCATCCAGCGTGTCCATGAGCTTCTGCGCGTGCTGCTGCTGCACGAGCGCCACGATGCAGCCGCCGAAGCCGCCGCCCGTCATGCGCGCGCCGAAGACGCCCTCGCAGCCGCGGGCCGTCTCCACGAGGTAGTCCAGCTCGGGCGTGCTCACCTCGTAGTCGTCGCGCAGAGACGCGTGGCTCTCGAACATGAGCTTGCCGGCCTCGGCGTACTGGCGCGCGCGGATGTGGTCCACGGCGGCCACCGTGCGCTCGTCCTCCGTGATCACGTGGCGCGCGCGGCGGTAGACCACCTCGTCGCCCAGCGCCTCGCGCACCGAGTCGAGCGCGGGCACCGTGGCGTCGCGCAGGTGCGTCATCTGCGGGTGGCCGTGGGTCTGCAGCGCCTTGACGGCCGCCTGGCACTGCAGCACGCGCTCCTTGTACTCGCCGCCGTTGAGCTCGTGCTTGACGTTCGAGTTGCACACGACGATGACGACGTCCGGGTCCTGGAAGGCCACGGCCGTCGGCTCCTTGGTGCGGCAGTCGATGAGCAGCGCGCAGTCCTTCTTGCCGCAGGACGAGATGAACTGGTCCATGATGCCGCACGGCACGTTGCAGTACTCGTGCTCGGCCGCCTGGCACAGCAGCGCCTTCTGGATGGCCGACACGCCCTTGATCTCGAAGAGGCTCTCGAGGAACGTGGCGAAGCCCACCTCGAGCGCCGCCGAGCTGCTCAGGCCGCTGCCGAACGGCACCGTGCTCACGATGGCCGCGTGCACGCCCAGGGGCTCCTTGCGGTTCAGGTGCTTGAGGTACTCGGCCGTCACGCCCTTGGGGTAGTTGCCCCACGACGGCTGCGTCTTGTCCAGCTGCTCCGTGTTGTCGGCCGGGAACTCGAGCACCTGGCCCGGGAAGCTCGCGGACGCCAGCTTGGTGGTGGCCGCCGACTCGGCGGGCGCGCGCACGCCCACGACCACCGTCGTCTTGTCCAGCGCCAGCGGGCACACGAACCCGTCGTTGTAGTCCGTGTGCTCGCCGATGAGGTTCACGCGGCCGGGCGCCGCCGCGATGGTCAGCGCCTCGCGCGGCAGGTTGGCGTACTGCGAGAAGGTCGAGTAGAAGAGCGTCACGGCCTGCTCCACGACGTCGACGTTGTCCGATCCGGCCATGGTTGTGCTTGTGATAGGGTGCTTGTGGGTGGGTGGGTCTTGTTGCTCGCAGAGGAGACAATTGCAAAGTGAGACCAGCGTGGAGAAGCGCTCGGCTCGTTGGAGGCGGGCCACGCGGGACCGCGTTGGTTGAAGCGGATACGTATGTATCTGTAGCCTACAATGTAGGCGCAAGTGCAATGACAGCGACGGCGATGCTGACGCCGAAGCCGAGGGGCTTGGACGCGGGAGCAAAGAGCTGCTGCCGACGTCAACGGTGCTTGGTCAAGTTGAAGAGCCACTGTGGGCGTGTGATACGTCGTCGACAGAATGGTGGGAACGATAATTGGAATATGGCTTGTGATGTGTTTCTGACACTATTGTCTGAAGTTTTATATTCATAATATATTCAATTATTGGTTTATGTCGACCATCTCAATCAATGAACTTGGTGCTCGACTCGGTTGCCTTTGGTCGCTAGACCGGGCTGCGATTCTCGAATGGAAGGTAGATACGTAGCTGTTCTAGTCTTGATAATGCGAACCATTCGTATAGAGCTAAACGAATAGGCAAACACAGTCACTCGTACATCAGCCCACACGCGTAGCGCCACCCCAAAACTGAAGTAGTGAGTCACTACTAGTAGTGATGAGCCTCCCGCAGCCGCAATTGCGCTGCACGAATATCCAAGCAATTGTGCAACTTTTTGAAGACTGCAGTATGACGTTCGTCGAGCAACTGTGTTAGCCGCTCGGCAGAGGTCGGAAAATAAAATATCATATTGTATTTTGGTCTTGGAGTCACAGTAATAATCATTGCAAGACAGGGTCAGCCAATAATACAGTATTTTCACAATTATTGGCAATAAATATATACGGGATTTTCGTAATAAGCTTAGTTTTTGTATGGGCACAAGTGTTGATATTGTATTGGGACAATTTTCCATTGTACAGGAACATCCTAAAGCAATAATAAATTATTCCGTGCTAAAAATGCCATAACTATTGTATTGATATTATTTTTTCCAACCCCTGCCGCTCGGTGCCTAATTATTATTTTAGTTTCAATATTTTTTTGTCAATTACGAAGTACGCTTTTCGCTAGGATATAAAGGGATCAGGCAATGGCAGCCCCCCCCCCTGCAGCGAGCAGGGCCCGCTGCACTACGCGCAGCATGGGGCCGAGTATTTGATAGAGTCGGGCGATCGGGCGTCCCTTTCGAGCCCAGGAAATTAGAGTTCATCCGAATGCCTCCTCAAACACAGCCACTCTTGGAGCATCACCACGAAATACTGAAGTACATCGTAGCCGTACGAACAGCGGAAGTATGAAGTACAGTTGCTACCGTATACCAAATCGGTTCGTTTGCTATGCGTAGATTATTAATAGGGTCGTACACTGATCGGGTCGGTGGATTTGGTCGGGCTCGCCTATACACAATTGTAGTGTCGATCAAACACTGTCGAGAGAGACCGTTTGCAACCGCAGCGAAGCGGAGATCTGCAATGGTCGGCGCGTGGGCCGGAGTAGGTATGTCTAAGTAGGAGTTACTATATTTTTACCGACGCCTTGCCCGCCATGAGCGAAGCGAAATTGGCGGTGCAAACGAGGAGCTCACCCAGGCGAAGCCCGACCAAATCCACCGACCCGACTAGTATACGAGCCCATAACTAGGGCTCCGCGAAGGCTGGGATAGGAGGATTTTGGTATAAACCCCCTCTTTAGTTTTATTGATGACTTTTCTTATGAGATACGGTCATCTCCTGCGCCTGCTTCGCAGCCGCAGCATCTGCCCGAAAATTGTCCTTAAGACTGTAGAAGCCAGATATCAACTGGCAACGCTTTACAACAAATGCGAACCTTGGCTGAGATCTGTTTGCAGCTTGTAGAAGTTTTATACTTGAAAATGCAAATGCTTATTTCTGGTGCTACTACAGTCCGCCTCAATCGTTCTCTTTACTTCAATTCGTTCACTGCTCGAATATACGTACTGAATCATACCAGTGTAAGTAATCCTATTTGGTCTGCGATAGCAGCACTAACGCTGCTTCCTATCCCAGTAAAAGTCTATCTTGCTATGCAAACCGTGACCACACGTGGGGCTGCGATTGCAGCCATTTCGGCAGAATCAGCGGGGGGTAATGAAACCCGCGAGCGCAAAGCTAACGCGCCGAGATCGAACTAAATGATCCTTTCATTTGAACGGGTGCTGTGAACGAATATTCCTTGCTGCGTAACGGTCCGCACAGGTAATCAATGAGGCTGCTGTGAATGAAATTCATTTGTCGTGCAGTGTCAATCGCTTCGAGTTCAATGGCAAATTGCGGTCAGGCCCGACAGTACTTTCATGGTCGCTGCCAAAGCAGAGATACACCACGTGAAAGCTCTCACTGAGTAGATTGTGTGTATGCACATTAGCACCTCGCTCTACTGTACTATTGACACCCAAGGCGGCTAACATGATACATGGGGGGAGCCAGAGCGCTCGGAGGCCCGCATTGGAGCCTGTGACAGGTGTGCCCCGCGCTACGCTCTTGAAGGCAGTAGATACCACGTCGAGACTTCAACAAGGGTATCCAGAGATGACATCTCCCTGTCAACTTCAGAGGGGATGACGCTCGCGGTCTCCAAGCAGGAGTGAAACTCTGCCAAGTTCAAGGACCGATGACATGCCACAGATGGCAAGCTTCGCTACTGTATCCATACAATGGTACGTGGCGACCAACGTACGTACACTCTCCGTTCCTGAAGAGGCGGGTGCTAACAGCGGCAACTTCAGGAAGTTCGTCGTCGACCAAGCTGTCAGTAAGCGCTGACACGCACATTTGCTTCGCTTCGCCGCCAACTTCAAAAACTCATCGTTACTCGCGCCACGCGGCCAGCCGTACCGCACACGAAAGGGAAGCTCAATTGGTGAGCCTGATACTGCCGGCCACCGGCAGCGTAGCTTTGCAGCAGAGCGGCGTTGTGACTGGGGCCCCTTTCGCTCCGGTTCGCAGCACCTTGGTGCTTTTCCCGGCTCTGTGTGGCTTGCGGGCTTGGAGGGGGGCGACTAGCAAAGTGACGGTGTTTGAAGTTGCGCGTGGCGGTTCTTTTCGTCTGCATGCAACAGTGCCATCTATTTTGTCGCCAATCAAAAGCCAACTTGAAGTTTTCGAGCTCACAGAAAACGTGCAATTTCCTGGAGTGTAATTGATTGCGCCATTTGAAATCGGTTAATACGTATTGGTGCTGTCTTTCGAATACATCCCTTCGCAATGTCGCCGATACTGAATTCCAATAATTGCAATTATTGCGAGGAGGATGTACCAGGGGCCTTCAAAAGCGTCCAGCCTGCCTCACTGTCTACGCTATCCCGCCGACAACAAGCATCAAGCGTAGCACGCGCGACGTAGGGCCTTGGTGCCTCCACTCTATCAACGCAGTTGCAGCAAGTGGATTGATCTTGATCACCATCCTTGCCCGCCTCCAATGAGCCAAGCGCTTCTCCGCTCTGGTCTCACTTTGCAATTGTCTCCTCTGCGAGCAACAAGACCCACCCACCCACAAGCACCCTATCACAAGCACAACCATGGCCGGATCGGACAACGTCGACGTCGTGGAGCAGGCCGTGACGCTCTTCTACTCGACCTTCTCGCAGTACGCCAACCTGCCGCGCGAGGCGCTGACCATCGCGGCGGCGCCCGGCCGCGTGAACCTCATCGGCGAGCACACGGACTACAACGACGGGTTCGTGTGCCCGCTGGCGCTGGACAAGACGACGGTGGTCGTGGGCGTGCGCGCGCCCGCCGAGTCGGCGGCCACCACCAAGCTGGCGTCCGCGAGCTTCCCGGGCCAGGTGCTCGAGTTCCCGGCCGACAACACGGAGCAGCTGGACAAGACGCAGCCGTCGTGGGGCAACTACCCCAAGGGCGTGACGGCCGAGTACCTCAAGCACCTGAACCGCAAGGAGCCCCTGGGCGTGCACGCGGCCATCGTGAGCACGGTGCCGTTCGGCAGCGGCCTGAGCAGCTCGGCGGCGCTCGAGGTGGGCTTCGCCACGTTCCTCGAGAGCCTCTTCGAGATCAAGGGCGTGTCGGCCATCCAGAAGGCGCTGCTGTGCCAGGCGGCCGAGCACGAGTACTGCAACGTGCCGTGCGGCATCATGGACCAGTTCATCTCGTCCTGCGGCAAGAAGGACTGCGCGCTGCTCATCGACTGCCGCACCAAGGAGCCGACGGCCGTGGCCTTCCAGGACCCGGACGTCGTCATCGTCGTGTGCAACTCGAACGTCAAGCACGAGCTCAACGGCGGCGAGTACAAGGAGCGCGTGCTGCAGTGCCAGGCGGCCGTCAAGGCGCTGCAGACCCACGGCCACCCGCAGATGACGCACCTGCGCGACGCCACGGTGCCCGCGCTCGACTCGGTGCGCGAGGCGCTGGGCGACGAGGTGGTCTACCGCCGCGCGCGCCACGTGATCACGGAGGACGAGCGCACGGTGGCCGCCGTGGACCACATCCGCGCGCGCCAGTACGCCGAGGCCGGCAAGCTCATGTTCGAGAGCCACGCGTCTCTGCGCGACGACTACGAGGTGAGCACGCCCGAGCTGGACTACCTCGTGGAGACGGCCCGCGGCTGCGAGGGCGTCTTCGGCGCGCGCATGACGGGCGGCGGCTTCGGCGGCTGCATCGTGGCGCTCGTGCAGCAGCAGCACGCGCAGAAGCTCATGGACACGCTGGATGCCGGCTACCCCGCGGACAAGTTCGGCTCGGAGCTGCCCAAGCCCGCCAGCTTCCTCACGCGCATCGGTGACGGCGCGCACGTCGTGCAGGCGGGCGTCCCCACCCCGGCCTCGGCTTAGAGAGTCATCGAATTGTGCGTATGAGCGGCGAGGGCATCGGTTGACTGTGGCTTCGGTTCTTTGGGCCTGGTACAGTTGATGTTGCTCGCCGCAAGTGTAGGTTTTGAGTACCATGTCAGCAATGAACTCTGAATTTGTATTGCAAGTGGGGTGTTGGTTGGTGGGTTCATGGTGGCAAACACTGTCTTGCTAGTATCCGCTGACGCACGGCCAGTTATGGCTCTAGTAGTAGTACAAGGCAACGCGGTGTTTGTTGCGTGTGAGATTTTGATGCAGTCTAGGTTTAACGCAGGCAGGCCACACCGCGGTCTAATGTACGTTTTGCCGAAACACCAATTTGCAGTGCCCAATGTGTTTGCAGCTTACTGTCTCTGTTTTGTGTCGCGTCGACACCCCTCGTAGTTGGCCGTGCAGGACGCAGTGTGTGGTCTCCTGCGTGGCATTCTTCGTTGCGATCTTCTCGCAAAACCTGAAGTTGAAGTTGGTTCCGTATTTAAACAGGTGCACCTACCACACTAACCACACTTCAATTGAGGGCATGCAAAACGCAACGGTGCATCCGATCCGATCCGGGAGACGGCGACCATCATGCTCCTCGCTCTGGTGCCCGTCCTCCTGCTCTACGCAGCCCTCAGCAACTCCGCAACCTACGGGAAGAACGTCACCATCCACGTGTGGGAGAACGGCCTCCCCGTTCTCCCCAGTGTAGGGCAACCCCACTCTACCTCCACCTCCTCAATGCCCTTCCAAGTGCTCCAGTACAACCTCTTCGGACGGCCCTACGAGGTCTCGAGCGACGGCCAGAGCGAGCGGCTGCAGCGCGTGCCCGGGTCTCTGCGCCGCATCTCTCCGGCCATCGACGTCGTGACCTTCGCCGAGGCGGACATCAAGCCGCAGCGGGACGAGATGCTCGCGCAGTTCCTCAAGTTCGGCTTCAACCACTCGACGACAGTGCTGCACGACCCGGACCCGTTCACGAGTCTGCTGAACGGAGGGGTCATGGTCGTGTCCAAGTGGCCCATCCTGCGGGAGGCGCAGCACGTGTACCGCAACGCGTGCCACTACTCGGACTGTCTGGCGGCCAAGGGCGTCAAGTACGCTCGCGTGCTCAAGACGGTGAACGGCACGTCCAAGATTTTCAACGTGTTTGCAACGCACATGCAGGTAGGGGGCGGGGCACATTTTGGTTAGAATACTGTGGGGAGGGGTGTGTATTTAAGTGGACTTGTGGTGGGGGTGCAGGCTTGGTCCACGCCGGAAGGTCGGTCGGATCGGATCCACCAAGCCAAACAGGTAACGTCTTGTATTGTTGCACCTCTGGGATTGCCTTTTGTGTTGAATGGTTAGGCTTTGGTGGTCGCAGATGCGTGAATTTATCGATGCTATGGGGATCCCGCATCACGAGGTGGATTTTTTTTCAATTCGAGAGGCTTCGTTTTTTGTTGAGGTGCTGACTACTACAGCGGCATTGATGTTTTAGCCGCTGGTCTTTGCGGGGGACTTTAACGTGGACAATCACACCTTCGGGGATGAAGTGGCGCACCTGGTCGACTTGCTCCAAGCGCATGAGCCGCGTCAAATCGGCAAGCAGATTTTCACGAGCGAGTACGTTTGTTTCACTGCCGAGCGAAGTGAGAGTTGGTGAACGAACTAACGTGATCGCATAATTTTCATCAGCCCTCACACGAATGTGCTGGTCGGTCGTGACGGAGCTGCCATCAGCAACAAGTGCTCTGCCCAGTACGTCAAGAACTGGGGGCCACCGCAGGTTGGTTTTGATATTGGCATCAACATGTACACCCAGAATTTTCGCTAATGGCTTTATCTTGTTTCGTTACTATGCAGGATGGCGTTTTCCACCCTTCACTACTTACTCGAACGACATGCGGGATGCACTCGGAGGCTACCGAGCCCAATTGGCTCGTGTTCGTCGAGCCCGATACCATGTGCTATTGTCCGTGCTGCCCGTTGGAGTGGCTAGACTATGTCCTCTATGGCAAAGGTAGCTTGATCGCTTCTTGATCATGATGCAGCAGCCTCTCGAACTGACGTATTTCGTGGTGTAGCTCCCTATCAGCAGCCCAGTGCCGTGCCAACGCTCGAAGCCTACGTGAACCAAGTTCCCCATTTCACAGTTGACTGGACGGCTTCGGAGAGCAACATGAAGATGGCGCTGGTTGACCTCTCCGACCACTACCCAGTGCTGGGCAAGTTCGAGTTCCCCGTAACGCGCGGCAAGGGCAAGGATGACGATCCTTTGACGTACCATTTGGACGGCTGCTCCACAGACGACGACTGCCACTTCCGCAACTTTCGCTGCTACTGCAATGGCCCCAATTGCTACTACGAGGGTAACCACACCAATGGCTGGGTCTTAGACTCGGAACACCCAGTCAACCGCAACTGCTTGTACCAGAAGACCTCCTTCCGATGCCTATGTGGCCCGACGTGATTTTTTGTTGAGAGATCGAATACTTATCAAGCAACAAGGTAAACTATGTGGCTGTGTCGTCTTTTGATGCATTTAAGCCTCTCTTTTGTCGTCTTTTAGCTTCGTCGCTCCACCCAACCTACGAGAGCGTGGCGAACGGGTCGTTACCGAAGTTTTGCATTGATGTCTGCCTCGGCGGTGCGTTCATTGGAGCCGCCGTCATGAATGGGGAAGCCTGTGGGCCTCCGAACCCTCCGTACGATGGCATAGCGTTAGTTTGCGGGCCACCGAAGCCCATAGGAGCAGGTGCCATACCGAAAGCTCCAACGCTACCGACCGTGTTGTACATCATCGGTTGGGCGGGGGCCATCCCGCCGTAGAAGCCGCCTGGTGCCTGTGTGGCGTTGTACATTGTTGTCGGGAACGCCATAGGGGGAGGTGTCGGCAGAACCTGAACCTTCTCCTTGGGAGCAAGCTGTCGAGCCTGCTCCAGCGTCTGGTAGCTCTTGGCAGAGCGTTGCACCGGCATCTTGTCTTCAGCTTTCAAGTTGAGGTTGACCATGTTGGAGGACCACAAGTCTCCAGCGTCGGCCTTCTCCTCTTCGGTTGGTGTCGGCTCAAGTGTTGCCTCCACTGGTGGGGAGGTCTCTTCAACTGGGGCAGGCGTGGTGAAGTCCAGCCCAGATAACATCGACGTGATATCTTGCTGCTTAGCAGGCATACTCGGCATGGCAGCGGGCATCGTTGACATGGCTGAAGGAGGCATCGAAGATACCGGGAACCCATCGGAGTCCGTGAAGGCGGGGAACGCGGGACTGGTCGTCGGTGCGGGACTTTGCCACATATCGAAGACGACGGGGGCCTCGGCAACAGATTTGGATGCCTGGCGAGGCGGGGAAGGCGGGGAATTGGGAGACGCCGCCACAGTCCTCGCACGCTGGCGCGACTCGGGGGCTGTCGACGTAAGGCACAGTCGTTAGTGAGAAGTGGGCGCTAACAACTCCAAAGTATGGCGAACGTACAAATGTAGTCGGGTTTCGGGTGGCCACAGGCTTCGCAGATCGGCGCTAGCGGCTTCTCGTTCACGAGCGTGCATGCCGTGCACTCCCAGGGCGAGAAGGAGTTCTCGCGCGACGAGTTGCGGCTGCCCCCGTTGGAGTTGCTGCCGTTGCCGTACCCGCCATTGGAGTAGTTGTACGTGAAGGAGCTGTTGCGGGAACCAGAGCCTCCGGTCGACGGGGTGCGCGTGGCCGACGTCACGACGTTGCCCTGCGGCTTCGTGAACTTGGTGGGGTCCAAACGATCCGGCAAACGACGGAAGGACATGCCGTCCACGATCAAGTCTGCAAGTTGTACGAGTACAAACAAGGTGTAAGTTGTTCAAGTTATGGCAACAGGGCTCCATGATTCAGAATTGTTACTGGTTGGTAAGTTTCGCACCATACATATCGTTGAGGTCCACCGATGGCTTGATGATAATGTGCACGCAGTGGCCTCCTGCGAGGTTGAACACGTAGTCCCAGTCGCCAAAGGAGAGCTGTTTAACAGACAAAGAGAGAGATGAGGGGTCAGATGTCCGGATTCGTATTGGAGACGCTACATAACCAAAGGCGTTGTGTTGAGACTCACCGACTGCGACGTGTACTTGACGATGCCATCGACGCGCAGCACCTTCTTGCCGGACGCGAGCGAGTGCGTGAGCGAGATCTCAAACTCGCGGCCTTCCTCGACCTTGAGGCGCCAGACGACGCGCTTCTTGGAGCTCTCGATGGTCTTGCCCACGTTGGACACGTTGTAGTACAGCGCCGCCGCTCGGGCGTTCGAGGCCTTGACGGTGCCCCACTGGCTCTGCCACGACATGACTGAAGAAGTACGAGCAAAGAAAGCTGTCTGCGGCGTGCGGTGAGGACTTTGGGAACTCTGGGGCAGGGCAGAACGGTCGACGTCGAGTGGCGCTAGGTCTAGTGACCAAGTATAGGGAGGTCGTTACAGCGTTTCTGCTCTAGCGAAACCAACGAGAAAAGGAGAAGCATGGCATGGCACGGCATGGCATGGCACGGCATGGCATGGCGCGTGTTCTTCATTTGATCGAGTATAATACATGAATTGCAGTGCAGCTCAGCTGCTTGGGAAGGATTACCATGAAAGACTTCCACGCGATTGCGGGGCCGAATGGATCATCATCGTTTACAGCCTCAAATCAACTGCCGGCGGAAGTTCTCACTTTTCAAGACCGACCGAGCACCCAAGTCACTCAATCTTCTCTTAATGGGCAACAGCAGCAGCAGCAGCACCGCGAACGACAGTCGATCTCAAGTTCCCGACAACTGGGACGCGTCCTGCATTTCGACGCAGAAGGGCAAAACGGTCGTCGTCACGGGCGCCAATTCGGGCATCGGGTATCACACTGCGCTCGAGTTCGCGCGGAATGGCGCGGATGTGGTCTTGGCCTGCCGCAATGAGGCGAGGGGCAAGGAGGCCGAGAAGAAGATCCGGGAAGCTCTGAAATCGACGCCCGATGCCGGCTCCGTCAAGTTCAAGATGCTGGACGTGAGCAGCCTGGGCAGCGTTCGCAGCTTTGCGGACGAGTTCAAGACGACCCACGACCGACTCGACCTCCTGATCAACAACGCAGGGGTCATGGCCGTGCCCTTCGCGAAGACTGTGGACGGCTACGAGCGGCAGTTCGTCACCAACCACCTCGGCCATTTCTTGCTGACCGCTGAGCTGCTCCCGTTGCTCATGCAGAGCTCTCCCTCTCGAGTGGTGAACGTGGCGAGCTTGGGCCACACAGGAGCTGACATTGAGCGCTTCAAGTGCGGGTCTGGGATCATGCGCACCAACGACCAAGGCTACCGCCCCATGGAAGTATACTCCGAGTCCAAGCTGAGCAACCTGCTCTTTACCTTTGAGCTGGATCGACGACTCCGCGCTCACAGCGAGGCGGGTGTGCTCTCTGTGACCTGCCACCCTGGCTTCACCGACAGCAACCTTGGCGTGGCGCCTGGACTCGAGAACAAGGGGCTCACCGGTTTCCTTTGGCGCATGGGGCAGTACCTGCCACTTACTCAAAGCGCCGCGATGGGGGGCCTCCCCACACTGTACGCTGCTACAGCATCTGATGTCCAGGGTGGCGACTACTACGGCCCGGGGAACTGCTTCGAAATTTGGGGGTTTCCCAAGCGTGTCCAGCCGAAGGGCTTTGCTAAAGATGAAGTGGCCGCGCAGGCGCTTTGGGAGGAGAGCGAAAGGCTGATGAAGGGGAAATTCGACGTCTGAATCATGAATGGATGGCATGGTATGCTAACACCTACCTAGTCGCTAACCTTGATCATCATGCAAAAATCAACTCGGTAGCAATATCTTATGTGGTCCGTTAGCTGTTGTCTATTGATTCAATGCAGTCACTCTTCGACAGATATGTGCTCGAGGATATAGCACGTGAACGGTGGCGTTCTTTTCTCACTCCATAGCGGGCGAACGACTTGTTGTGGCGCCAAGCAGTTCAGTGCATGAACGCTCTGTCTTAACAGACCCCCGTCGTGCAGATCATTCCGACAGCTTTGACATCTTGCCAACGAATACAATAGCCGGATTGATCTGATCCGGTATTGAAGTTGTGTTGATTTTTTATCCTCCGTCGTACTGACAGGTTACAGCTTGGCCCTACATGTGAAGCCCGGGATTGCTGTAGTTTTGGGCCGGGTTCTTAGCGGTATCCACGACTGCGCCGTTTGATTCACGGGAACAGCATATCCGGTGGATACGAACCAACAGTGCTAGGCGCGAGGGTGTTGGAGCTCTTTTCAGCGTTAACGATTTGAGCCAGGCGAAGCACAACCGCGATGGTCACAGCTTGGATAAGCTTTATCGTAGATTCTTGCGGTGCTGTGAGCCGTAGTGGTTAGTCGGAGACGAAATGGCAAGTGAATACTCGAAGCGAGTGCTGGCTAGGTGCATCTGTACGGTTTTCAAATGAGAGTGATCAAGTTAGACTGGCCGCTTCAAATTGTCGAACGTTGCTACCGATTACGTTGCTGCATGCGCTTTCGAAAAGTCGGCGCAAGCCAGCACAAGCGATCGCAGTATGTATTTCCGCTGAGCATAGCGGGCGTTTTACGTTGAGTACTTGAGTGCGTACAGTTCTGTGCGATGCCGCACTTTCAGGGCACAGTGCCCGGCGATTGGCCTATGAATTACGTCATTTGCTAGCCTCTGCGTGATTGAGTGACTACTGCATCGCTGACGTAGTAACATCGGATACACGTAAGCTGAGTAGCAGTATGAAGGTCAAGCAGTTTTATCGATGAAGCAATACTGTCGCTAAGATGATCTGCCCCAGCTTACAAATACACCACCTCATTCTACAGAGGAGGGTAACACCTCGAGTTCGTGGTCGAGCAGTGTGTTCTCGTCCGCGGCGAAGCGGAAGTGTCCCTGCACGCTCTTGCCGCCGAGCACGTGTGGCAGCCAGATGAAGTCGTCCGCCCACATGCTCTTGTACGGGATGTCCGCGGCGTCATACCACTGCGGCTTCATCTCGTCGCTCTCGGACGGCTCGCCGCTGAACTGCCGCGTCAGGAACACATGCACCTCCTGCAGCAGCACCCAACCGCATCGGCCACAAAGGTGAGTGAGACCACCCAGCCCAGCAGCCAGTACATTCCCCCAGTTTATTTCAGCCACGCACCATCACTTCCTTGCCCTCCTCGAACGAGAACAGCAGCACGCCACGCGGCTGCAGGTGCTCCGGCTGCACCGTCACGTTGGCTTCCTCCTGCACCTCGCGCGCCGCGGCCGCCGCAATGCTCGCGTCCGTCGGCTCCACCTTGCCGCCGAAGCCGTTCCACTTGCCCATGCCGAAGCCGCGCTTCTTCAGGCCCAGCAGCACCTGCATCCCGTCACCTCGCGCGGACGCGCCATCGCGCACGAGGAACGCCAGCGTGAGCAGCTTGCGCGGAAGCGGCGGCACGTGCAGCATGCTTGTCAGTGGCTGCCGGAAGATGTGTCGTCACAGTGTAGCCATGTGCGTCACACCTTAAATCAGGCCTCGATACGAACATAGAGCTCGTATCGTGCTGGATATCACAACTAGTAGTGACATTACACTTGAACTCACTAAGAAGGGTACAGATGCTGATGCTAAACCCGACATACAATCTCCCAGTCACCCACTTCAACGGGTGGTATCCTTTTCCGCACTCATTCGCAGATTAGCCACCACGTGCGCACTCGAGAGCGCGAGGAGTGTTGGCCGTCTGCCGCCTCGCCCCCCCCCCCCCCGTCGAGCCAAGCTGCTGCTGTATCTCGCCAACCGCTCGCCCACCATGCTCGGGGTGCTGGGCGTGGCGCTGCTCTCCGTGTGCGTCTCGCTGTCGCTCTGCGTGGTGCCGGCGCTCGCGCGCTTCACGGTCTTCCCGCTGCTCTCGGGGCTCGTGCACAAGTTCGCGGCCGCGTACCTGACCGACAGCATCCAGGTCGAGTACGCCTTCGGCTCCTTCGAGGTGCGCGGCCGCCGGGGCGCCGGCGTGCGCTCGGAGCTGCTGCGCGGCGTCACCATCTCGCTCTTCTTCATCCGCCTGCAGAGCGCCTTTCTCAAGACGCTGGCCTTCGCCAAGCAGGGGCTTGCCCCCGTGGAGCTGCGCAGCGTGAGCGTCAAGAAGGTCGCGATCCACCTGGCCACCACGTGGAAGGTCGTGGTCGAGGTGGAGGGCGTGGCCGTGGACGGCCGCATGGTGGACCCCAACGTCGAGGGCGTCTTCGAGGTGCAGGACGCCGTGGCCATGAAGCTCGTGGACGCCGCCAACTGGCTGAACATGCTGGTGCTGGAGCGCACCAAGACGGAGCTCAGGCAGAAGCAGGAGGAGGAGCGGACGGCCGGCGCGCCGCCCAAGAGCTTTTCGTTTAAAGATCGCGTGCTGCAGCAGATCGCCGCGCAGGTGGACGTCCACGTGAGCAACGTGAGAGTTGCCATCACGGGTCTGACCCCGGGCGTGGCTGCTATCGACGGACACGACGATGAGACCGAGGAGAAGGACGACGAGGACGCTGAAGTGGCCACGACCAGCTCCATCCCCGCTGTACTCAAGCCCACGCGCGTGAGCTTCTCGATGCAGTCGTACGACCTGCTCACGGATGTGCTGCATGACAACGCCGAGGAGGCGATGCAGCTGGTGCTGACGTCGGACGAGATCAAGGTCGAGTACGCCATGAGCATCAAGGGCATGGCCATTTGCGCTGCTACTGTGGAAGACGAGGACGACGAGAAGGCAGCTGTGGAGAAGAAGCAAGACCCACTGAAGGATAATGGCGGCGTGGGCCCCGGCGAGACCCCGTTGTTGTCTTTCCCAGAACTGGACTTGAAGCTGAAGGTGCCACCAATGCCAAGGCTGCTGGGAATTGTGGAGGACATTGCCCCTGTCCCATTGAAGCACCGCCTCGCGCAAGTGGAGCTGACGTCGGCTTCGATCAACAACATCTCAGTCACCCGTGAGCTGCTTGTGGGCGTGCTGCGTGACCTGTTCGTTCCGTACACTGACCACCAAATCTTGGTGCAGTCGGTGCGCGCGTTAGAGCATGATGAAACCGTCCGAAAGCCGCTCTCGCACGAAGACGAAACCTTTTACTTGGACAATTACGACCAAGTGGACACTAACAAGTCGCTGTCGACACAAGAGAAGAAGGACCGCAATGAGAAGCTGCACGCGCTTGAAGCTTCGATGTCGCTGAACAAAATTCTCAGGCTGCGCAGTCGAGCGATGGGGTTGGGCAAGTACTACCGTCGCACTCAGGAGGAACTGTCGCTTGCGGATTACACGGCCATCGTGCAGGAAAACGCTGCCAAGCCAAGCAACATCATGTTTAGAGCCATGCAGATCGCACTGCGCTGGGACAACATGAGCATTGGTTTTGCTGAGCGTGGTCGGCAGGTTGCTGAGATGGTGGTGGTCGGCTTTGGTGTCAATGTGCGCACCTTTGCTATCGCTGAGGGAGAAGAGAAGCAAAAGCTTGATGTCGACATGGTGCTGGGGCAAACTACCTTCGTCGTCAATGCGGGTTCTTCTGCGTTGAGTCCTGTTTCTCCGACAGCGAAGTTGATGTTTGCCGATTTCAGCAAGGTTGCAGCCAACTCGGACGCTCTTACACCGCCACAGATGCTGACAGCTCATGTTAGTCAATATGAAAGTGGGAAGCAGGATGTGCGCGCTGGTGTGAACAACGTCAAGCTAGTGCTTTCGGCGGCCGCGCTAGAGCATTTCTTGTTGTACGTGGATCGCCTGAGTACGAAGACTACCCAAGTGCTGTCAACGTCACGCCCAGCTACGGCATCTGTTGGTCATTCCGAGGCATCTCCCGCACCGGTTCAAGTCGCACAAAGTGAGGTGGAAACGGTGACCAAGGAGGTGTCCATGTCCCCGTTCAGCTTGCTTGGCGGAATGCTGCTGAACCTCGATGTGAACATGAACGACTGCCACATCCTTTTGCTCCCAACTGAATCGTTTTCGAAGTCGCTCTTCACGGATATCAACGTTGAGACGTGGCAAAGCGACTATGTTGTTGATTGCCGCGTGGATATTCCAGCGACACTTACGATTCACATCGAAAGCTCCAAGGTTAAGGAAATGATGGAGCTCAACGTCCACAGCTTCAGTATTGGTGCGCAATACGTTGAAGGTGCTAAGGAGGTGGAACCGGTTTTGGCTCCGACTGCCGTTGTGTTCCAGTTCAAACTGGAACAGGACACCAAGGATCCCTTGATTTGCCACCAGAACGTGATGATGCATATGCCCGACGTCATGCTTGCAGGATCGGACCTCAGTTTGTCGTTGTTGGCATCTTGCGGTGAAGCCCTTGGCAAGATGCAAACAACGACTCCCGACCAAGCTCGACTTCGGATGGAAAGTCTCATGAAGCAAGAAGAAATTCGCCGTCAGGCTGAAGTTGATGCCGTTCTCGATCGCTTGCATCGTCTATTCAACGAGATTGATGCCAACGGGAATGGCCGCATCGAGCTGGGTGAACTGTTGTTACTTCTTCGCCGTGTAAAGGTCGGAGACACTTTGCTGGAAAGCGAGTTAGAGTATTTCGTCCGCGAGCTGTTCAAGGAGATTGACCAGGATGGCAACGGCTTTTTGGAGTTCCAAGAGTTGCGTGTGTACTTGCGCGATGATCTACTGTCGGATGAGGCGGCAGCTTCGGATTCGTCGGCTGGAAATGGCAGCAACGCGCTAAACGGTTTCCTCAACTTGCGTGGCAATGAGTATCACTCATTTGAGGTGATCAACAAAATGTGTGAGACGAAGATTACTTCGACTGAGCAACTCGCCGAATGGATCAAGCGTCCTGCATTCGAAGGAAGATTCTGGGAATTGTTTGCGAGTGAAACCCGCGTCTCGAATCGGTCGTTTGGCGACCAGAACCCCTTGGAAGTGCAGAAGAAGCTGGTTCGACTGTTGAAGAACTACGACGCTGCTAATCTCATCTGGGACGCGTTAGTGTTGCCCGCTATGGAAGATAACTGCACAGATCACGTCATATGTGAGTGGTTGCTGCAACCGTTCACGCACTGCGGTGGAATTAGCGAGTATCAGAGTGCAGCGAAAGTGATCGCCAAGAAGAAACGTGATGGCATCTTCAGTGCTGCCCTGGAAGAGGCTGAACACCTGGTGAGCAAGCTCACACAGAACACAAACCCAGTAAAGAAGCAGCTGCAGTTTACGACGGATGTGAAGATGGGTAACCTGCGGTTCGTTCTTACGGACACAGAGCTTCCTGCTCGATTCTGCCGCGGTGACTTTGTCGTGAAAGATGTGAAGATGTCGATGGAATTGACTGGCAAGGAAATTGACGAGATCGGCCCTGTCGATTGGGTCGGCTTGGCTACCTCTGGCAATTCGGAATGGACGGTGCTGTTCGGGTTCAAGTTGTCGTCGTCATGCTACAGTGACATCGCGAACGATATGGAAAACATTATTGAGCCGTGGGAACTGGTTGCTGGTGTTTCATCTGATGCTGGTGAAAATGGTTTCTCTGTCTTGATGGAGGCTGCCAAGCGCTTCCAGATCAATGTTACTCCGAGCGTCTTGAAGACCTACCGCGCCTTGATGGACGCTCTTGACGGTGAAGCCCAACAGAACGCCCTGCAAAAACACCAGGACAGCTTCCAGAGCACTGCAGCCGCGAAGAAGCACAAAGAAACCGACTGCCTCGTGCAAAACTTTACTGGCTGCAAGGTCGTTCTGAAGCTGAATGGCAGCGACGAAACAATCACAGTCGAAGCTCACAATCGCGCTCATATCGAAAATGGAGCTCTCAAGGACGGTGAGGCTACGCTGGACTCGCTTGAAATTGACCAGTGGGGAACGAGCAAGTCTGCCGTTAAGTTGCCGTCGTTTGGAAATGTCAGCGTTGGTGTGAGCACGGCTGAAGCAGCTCCGTCAACGTTGTTTGTCACAGTGTTTTCGCGCCTGGAAAACCCGAAGCGTCAGCTGATCGTTCTGCGTTCGAACACCTACTTCTGCAACCACAGTTCTGAGTGTTACGAAGTGAAGTACTTGAGTCTCGGTAGCGAGGGAAGGAAGGCTGTGGAGTCTCCCACCATCAAGCTGCGGCCCAACGAGCGCATTTCGTTGCCACTCTCGCTTCTGATGGGTATCACCGAGTTTTACGCCCGTCCAGAGAATTACGAACACTGGATTGTAAAAACGTCGCTGAACAACGACGTGCTAACATCCACCGAGGCCATCAAGGAGCTGGATGAACATGAAGCCGAGCGTGAGGCGAAAAAGAAGCAGCGCCGAGGTGGTACGATTGTTTATGGCGAGACTGAGGAAACATGCACGAAAATTGTCAAGCAGTTGACGCCAAACATGATTGTGCGTCGCTGGTATCTGCGCTCGCACTTCGAGTGGGAATTGGCCCTCTTGCCTCCGTTTGTGGTGCGCAACTCGCTGCCGTATGAAATGGAATACCGTTTTATCGAGTACAAGTCTAGCTCGTCGAGGGACATGAAAACTGAATACGCAAAGGTGGAAAGACTACTGCAAAGCGAGACTTCGTTGGAGCTATCCGACGGAGTATTGAGTGGTGTCGTGGAATCGGGCCACGATACCGAGGTGTCCGGTGTGTCTGGGGGCTATCCTGGATACCTCTCCGTTCGTCTGGTTGCTAAGAAACACAGTACAGGCAAGCACGTAGCATCACCATGGTCAAAACCGCTCTTGATGATGATTCACAAGGGTGTGGAGCAGTTCACAACGTCTCGCGAAAGCGTAGACGCCGACACTGGGCTCAAGTTCAACATTGACCGAATCACGCTTCCTGGTTACCCTCGGCTCGTGCGGTTTTCGAGCCCCTACTGGATTGTGGACAACACCTCGCTTGCTTTCGACTTTGCATCAACCGAGCCTGGTGCGAAGCGAAGTTCTTTCAAGGCCATGGGCGTGTGCTCACCGTTCAGTTACCCAATCATGACATCGCTGTCGCAAGACCGTTTGAGTTTGAAGCCACGTGCAAATCTCAATCATCGCCCCGAAGCATGGGGGGCGCTTGGCAATATGCCGGAGACGGCATACAAGTCTTCTTCCGTGTCAGAACATGCCGTGAAGAACGCTGACTGGTCGGAGCCCGTTAACACGACCGCAATCAACACGATGGGCGAGGTTGTGTGTGGTCCTAGCGTCTTTAGCGTGAAGATGGAAGGTTTATACGGTCTGTTCGAGCCGGGTGTCTCGGTTACATTGAGTCCGCGATACTTCGTACAGAACCGTTTGAACCAGAAGCTGTACATTCAGAGCTTTGCATCACACGACAATGACCCGCAAAAGGTCGACGACATGTTCCACAAGCGAAGTGCAGAGGAGGTAAAGCAGTTACATTTGTCGCTGGAGGATGGTCAAACGACACCCCTGTACCACTTTGGGTCTTTGAAGAAGGGTGAATCAATCGAGCAGAGCCAGCGTTACGTATCGTTCTCATTCTCCGAGGAATGGGGCACCGATGCTGACAAGAAGAACTGGTCGTTTGCAATCCCGATCAACACGGCGGGAGACCTTTACCTTCAGGTCTACTCCTCTGTGCGCCAACGTTATCTGATTTGCCAAGCAAGTGTTCAAGTCGTGGACATGTACGTGTATGTGGTTCTGACGGACGTATCTTGCGCTCCACCGTACCGAATTGAAAATTACACGCCCTTCACGGTGGACTGCGCGCAGCTGGGTGAGTCCTCCATCTTCAGCAGCGGACAAAAAGCTATGGCTGTCACGATTAAATCGGGTGCATGGCATGCATTTGCCTGGTTCAATCCGTTGTCAAAGGAGCGCCACATTGAGCTACGCCTCTCGCACTTGGACGCCCCCAAGACCCAGACGAAGAAGTACGACATCGACTATGTGGGGTACCTGGATCCTATTACTATGTGGGTCTCGCGAGATGGCGAAAAGCCGCGTCCTGTTGAATTGACTGTCCAAGTTGTCGTCGAGGAGAGTACACGTGTGCTTAAAATCGCGGAAAGGGAGCTTGAACTGAGCCTCCTAGAGAACCAGGACTCGGAGGGAGAGGGCGATTTCCAGCATCGGCGGATGCTTTATGCGTCTTCGTTCGATATCGCCTTCGATGGTTTTGGTTTCTCCTTGCTGGATGGATTCCCGCAAGAAGTGTTCTTCTCGTCGGTGGATGTCATTAAGGTGCAAAAGGCGCCTGCCTCACTGGAGTGGACGTTCTCCGTGTTGCATTGCCAGGTGGACAACATGTTAGCGACTGCCAAGTTCCCTGTTATCATGAACCCAGTAAACGCCGGTTATAGTGACAAGTCGGTCGGCAAGGAGCCAACGCCATTCGTGAAGTTGGTGCTTGATGCTGATCTGGAAGCGCGCATGGGAACGTACAAGCTGCTCGAGTTCAGCTTGAGTGACCTTGCGGTGAAGGTGGATATCGATTATTTGGTCAACCTTGTGAAGCTGCTTGAGCCGTATCTGGTGTCCGATGCTACGATGGCTCACCGCTCGCGCTTGACGCTAGAGCGTACACTTCAACGCCGCGCGCCTCCAGTGCCTGTCATGCTGGTGACGGAGGAAGGCGGCATCCAGACGGATCTGGTGTACTTTGACATCTTGCGTATTTCTTCCCTGTCGGTGGATTTGGAGTATTCGATCACGCGTAAAGACATTGTATCGTCTACGGGCGGTGGCCACTCGGTGATCTTTGGCTTCCTGAGCCAAGTCGTCGGTCTTATCGGATCAAACCTCAGCGGCTCGCCGACATTCAGTTTCAGCGAGATCGTAATTGTGCGCTGTTTCTCCACGAAACAGCGCCTGCAGAGCCAGCTTGTCGCGAACTACGTCCAGCAGGGTGTCATGCAGGCGTACCGCCTTGTCGGTAGTGCGGACATCATCGGCAATCCCATCGGTCTCGTGGAAGACTTGGGTTCTGGCGTTGTCGAGTTCCTGAAGATCACGAAGGGTGAGCTGACGGGAGATGCCCAAACGCGTGGTGAGGGAGTGAAGGTACTGGGCAAAACCATTGTGAAATCGGGCGCATCTTCTGTCGCGAAGATTACGGGCTCGCTTGACAAGTTTGTTGGCGAGTTTGCCGATGACAGCAGTGCCAGTGCATCGGGCGGTAACGATTCATCTTCGAACGACAATGCCGGCCTCAAGTTTGCAAAGGATCTCGGTCGCGGATTCACTGGAATTTTCACGAAGCCGGTGGAAGGCGCGATGAAGGGCGGCGTAACCGGACTTGTGCAGGGCACGGTACAGGGCATTGCAGGCCCTGGTGTCGTTTTGCTAAAGGGACTTACGTCTACGTCCCACAGTCTTGCGCTGGGTGTTCAGTCGACAGTCGTGGATCGCTCCCCGTTTGGCGGCCGCCGTCGCAAGCCGAAGCTTGTCGAGAACGGCAAGCTAATCGCAGAGTTCGACGAAACCCACTACAAGCCCACATTGTTGAATCTGGAAGTGCTGGGTGCGAATGGTCTGGACTGTGACAAGTCGTGCGACCCGCTGTGTGTGGCGCGTGTGGACGGTGTGGATGTGATGAAGACTGCAGTGATCTACAACACAGTCAACCCGGTGTGGAAGGAGAAGACGCAGCTGGCGCTCACGGGTGACGAGAACGAAGTGCAGTTCGTTGTGAAGGATTCGTACGGAGGCACGGTAGCGAAGACCGTTGGCAAGTGCATTCTGAGTATGGCACAACTGCAGGACGACTTCAAGCCGCCCGAGTATTCGTCGGACCTGGCTCAGTGGGTGCACACGCAAGTGAAGCCTAGCAACACGAAGAAAAACGTGAGTCATGTGATTGAAGAGAAGGACTACCCACTTGTCATGCTGAAGAAGAACAGCTCCAAGGCAACCCACGCAGCGTCGTTGGGCGACGAGAAGCACCAGGTTCTTGTTACGGTGCTTGCGTTGCGTGATATGGTGGTCACGAGCTCGACGGGTGGTGGCGTACTTGGCCTGGGCAACCTAGGAAGCCGTACGCCGAACATTTCCCCGTACATCTCTGTGCACGTGGGCAAGGACGCCAACCGCACGAACACTGCCAAGATGTCGTTCACGAAGAATCAGAAGAAGGAGCAGGTGGGCAACGCCTCGTGGGGAGAGAGCTTCACGTTCCCGTTGACCGCGAAGGAGCTGCACCGCAGCGGCGCCGACTCGAGGCTAGTCGTTTCCCTCAAGGACAAGAGCATGCTCGTGGACGCACGCCTCGGCTCTGCGACGTTGGAGATCGATGCGTCCCGGATCAACGCGCCAGCATCGACTGAGGAGCTGGTTCTAAAGGACCAGTCGGGTCAGCTGGTCGGCTATCTCACCGTGAAGATCGAGGTTACGGGCTCTGCGACGTCGTCCCGGTCGCTGTCCATCCGCTCGATTACCTCGGCCGGTGACATGGACAACCTGCCGCCCGACGCCGTCAAGGCCGGCTCTATCCGAGTGTCCTGCGTCTTCGAGTAAGCCATCTCTGATTATTTTTGCATGTAAGTGCTGTAGCATCTATTCGTAGCACAACCCAATACCCTTTTGCCAGCCACGAGGTGTTTTGCAAAGGCTTTTTACGATGTCCTCACAGGCAATGGTGTCTACGAGCTTCGTGCTATGAATCAAGTAAACTTTCCGACTTTGATGCAATCGTTTTCATGCTAGCTGTAAGTTATTGTGGACTGCTGTGAGGTTGTCGGCAACCAAGAACTGCCATGTCCAAGCATGAGAGGCTAACATTCCTCAGCTAAAGTATCGGTTGGCACAGGCGACACACTTTACCCGCGTGACTTGACTCGGATCGATCAGAGAATTGTAGTCATTTGTGTAGGTCATTGAATATCTCCACAAAGGTTTTCTTCCTCACTTCGATCTCTCATTTCCAATGAATAACCATGCATTTGTTGTTGTTTTCGACAAGTATGTCACCACTCTTAAGACCATTGCGCCCACTGACTCTTTGGAAGAGATGAGCGCGGCGGTGAGTTGAGAATGGTATCGCTCTAGCAAGTGAAAAAAATTGGACTTTTCTACTGGCGAAGAAAAGAACAGAGTGTATCTTGCAACAATGGAATCGGGGGCAGGTACCCATATGCACAGAGAGAGAGACTCGTGACAGACATGTACGACCGCCGCATCAGACTTGAACGGACGGCGCCAGAGCAAGCGACGCAGCAGTGCATGCGGCTTCCGGACGCAGGGAATGCACTTCCCCACGCCTTCGCACCGCAACGCTCGCTTTCTGCTGCATACTATACCCACTCGCACACGTGGGAGGGTGCAAGCGGGCTGTTGGATGAGCACGCCACGTAGGGCACACACAGCTTTCTATCGTCTCGGCGTCGAATTGGCAACTGACCTGCCGGAAGCCGCATCGGCACTTGACACAAATGACTGGTGCAGGCTCGACGGCGCTGATGTGTTGCGCGTGGTGTGTCGTACTAAAGTCACAACGTTCCCGCAACATTCCCTTTCATGTGGCGTACACAAAGTGAGCTTTTTCGGAACCAGAAAGGTGGTGGGACCAGTCAGGCAGGTCTCACCTTGATGAGACGGAGTCGTAACGGAGCAGCCTGAAGGGAAGGAGGTGCATTGGCCAAGCGAGGCACAGCGAAGAGAGTCAGGAAAGCATGACGACCACCAACAGCTCGGAGCCCGGGGGGCGCCCGGCCATCCGCACGCGCTTCGACTCGCGCGACGAGAGCCACCGCCTGCACCTGGTGCCGCCGTCCTCGGCCGACCGCTCGCCGCTCAAGTCGTGGCGCAACCTCCCGAGCCCGCTGGGCGAGCACCACCTGCTGGAGAGCCAGCGCGAGTACGTGGAGATCGAGGAGCAGGCGCGCAGGCAGGGGCGCTCCAAGGCGCGCACCATCAACCACATCACGCTCGGCTTCATCGCCTACTTCGCCGTGGCCGCCGGGCCGTTCGGCGTCGAGGATGCGGTGAGAGCCGCGGGCGCGTACCCCGTTCTGCTGGCGGTCGTGCTGCTGCCGTTCACGTGGGGGCTGCCACAGGCTCTGATGGTGAGTTGGGGTTGAGAGGGCCTGGCTGTAGTTGAAGCTCGATGGACGGACATAAGGGGCTGACTATTGTTGTGAATTGGTGGTTGCAGACGGCAGAGCTCAGCTCGATGATAGACGAGAACGGGGGCTACATTCTGTGGGTGCGCCGCGGACTGGGCCAGTACGCGGGCTGGGTGAATGCCTTCAACAGCATCGCCAGCAACGTCTGCGACCTGCCCACGTACCCCGTGCTGTTCTGCAGCTACGTCGAGGCGTTCTTGGCGTCGGGTTATGGCTACACGCTGTCGGGCACGGAGCAGTGGCTGGTCAAGTGCTCGGCGCTGCTGCTGGTGTTCACGTCGAACGCCGTGGGCATGCGCGCGGTGGCGATGGCGTCAGTGCTGATGTCGCTCTTCGTACTCGCGCCGTTTGTGTTGGAGCCTTTGTCCATTGAGACCTTCAACCTCGCAACGTGGGGCAGCGTGGCGCCGCAGATCGACTGGTCGCTGTTCCTGTCGACGATTCTGTGGAACTATCAAGGTGTGTGATGCAACGCAGAAGTACGATGTGATGGGGTGCTGCTCGTGACTGACGTGGGTGTATGATGTACTGCAGGCTGGGACTCACTTGGCTGCGTCGCTGGCGAAGTCAAGGACGGTGGCAGAACCTACCCGATTGCCATCGTGATCGCGATGGGTCTTATTACTATTAACTACGCCTTCCCAGGTATGATGCACACCTGTAGTGGGCAGCTAGCTCTGAGGTCTCATAGACTCACATCTCTTCTCTGTAATTATATTCATTTGTAGTTGGTGCTGGCATCATGGTGCAATCGGACTTTTCGCAGTGGCACGAAGGCTCTCTGGAGACCATCGCCATGGCAATCGCTCCGTGGCTGGGCGTGTGGGTTGGTATGGCTGCAGTCGTTGCGACCCTGGGCGAGTTCAACGTCGTGATGGCGTGCAGCTCTCGAGCGTTGTGGGCGACGGCGGACTACAAGATGCTTCCCTCCTTCCTCTCTATCGAGTGGAAGCGCTTTGGAACGCCCATTGCGGCGGTGATCTTCCAGACCATGACCACCGGCGTGCTCATGAACTTCTCGTTCGAGTTCTTGGTGGTGCTTGACACCTTCTTCAACAAGTACGTGGCTGTTTTGCGCATTTCCTCTGATGCTGCGTGCACTATTTTCACTAACCGATTGAATGTTGGATTTACAGTCTCACGCTGCTGCTCGAGTTCTTTGCGTTCCTGCGTCTCAAGTACATCGAGAAGGACACCGAGCGTCCGTTCGTGGTGCCGTTCGGCAACACCGGCGCGTGGGCGATCACGCTACCCAAGATCTTGGTGCTGTCCGGTGTGCTGCTCGCGCAGAAACGCCACGTGTGGGTGACCTGCGGCCTGTTCAACCTCTTCGTGTCCAGCGCGTATTTGGTGTGGCGCCGCTTCCAGCCGGCTCCTATGGCGACGTACGGGTCCTCCACGACTTCATACGGAACTGGCGAATTGTCTTAGCGCGTGAACGAACCCAGCACTAGCATTTCCCTACTAACTCAAATTCGAATTATAAAGTGCAAAGATGGTTGAACGGTAGAATAGCATGAATTTCGATCTGCCGTAGAAGAAACTTACTTCCATTCAATCACCTTGGCATATAGGCTCACGGTTTCTTTGGCCGCAATTAACAGGTATCTTGTAGCGAAGGTTGCGCTTCTCCGAAGTTGTTGCGTTGGCTCCAGCAGTGACAGCACAGCAAAAGTGATCACAGTCTGGAAAATCTTCATAGGTGCTAGGATTGTTGTGGCTGACGCGTGGGGTGGTGGTGGTTGTGGGGGGTCAAATTAAAGAATGAACTCGTATCAAATTGAGCAGCGCGGCAATGAGCGCAGCACAAACTGCACGCGCCATTAAGACCCGTAATCAATAAATTTTGATCGCTGCTTTGAAAGTGAAAGCTCCTTTACGTCGGGCGGGTATTGAGAAAATGGTCTGTGGAACTGCATGATTTGTGTGCATGTACGACGTGCGCGACGCGTTCACGCGTTGATCTAGCTGTGGTGGCGGCATGCAGGAAAGTCGCTCAAGAGAAATCCAGGGACAACGTAGATGATGCAAATTCTGTAAACGCGGTCCCCAATTGTTGTTCGCTTCGTCGGCCTCGCTGAAACTGGTATGCGAGTACGACTATGGCAACTGACACATTCGGGCACTTCAATATTTGTAGCGAAAGCCAAGGCACTTGGACTCCCAACCTAGGAGTTTGCTAGCCGTTCCTGGTGGCATTCGACGTCTGCCACAATAGCCACAGAGACCCCCACGCATTTTTGAATCCCCAGGAGGAGAGCCCAATTTTGAAGCAGGCGTGAAGGCCCGGCGGAGCTACGTGTATATAATACATATACCTGGCCTTCATTGAACAGCGTGGGCGAAGGCCCAGAACATGCGCTTCTTCGACGACGACGGCAGCAGCAGCAGCTTCTCGCTGGACTGGATCGCCACGCGCCCAGCCAACTGACGAGCCATCATCTGCTAGCATTACCGTAGCCGAGGCAGGTAGGTAAGCAGGTGAAGGCCCAGCGCAGAAGACGTGCTACATAGTGTTCACGCAAACACTAACTGTATATAACACTAGTGTTTGCAAGCTGTTTGCTAGTGTGTTGTGAATATGGTTTGCATGTTTGTGGAGTTTGGCATTTTTTTTAAAAACTACTTAAGTATTTATCTTGAACTAAAAAGGGTTGAAGCTCTTGTCACTTGTCGGAAGCTGCCTTGCACGCGAAGGTCTTCTTCGTTACACCAACCATGATCTCTTCAAAATAAGCAGCACTAGATTACTCTTGCTACGCCGTTGTGCGTACGTGGATTCTGGACTCGACAACGGCTGCTACTTACTTGTGAGTAGACTTCACTGACTTCTGAGTAATTCCACATAATGCGACTTAAGAAAGATGCCACGTCCAGCATCGCCACCTTGTACCAGGCCAGAGGAGGATACAATGTGAATGCACCTGAGGAAGTGACGCATCGATCCGCGGACATGAGTAAGCTAATAGAGAGTTCAAGCGCCATCTAGCAGAAAAAAAAGATAATTTGCCCTGAAGGGTTTGTAGCACGTTATTTTTGTTCGTGAATGGCATCCCAATAAGCAACGTCTTTAGAGTTTAGTCAATAGTTCCAAGTTGACGCAGCGCACGAGTTTAAATGAAGTTTACGTACTCGGAAGTCCGGGCACAGTACTAATTCCTCGAAAGTCCGTGAAATGTACTCAAAAGTAAGGATGACCCCTCGAACAGTAGCCATTAATTTGATCTGCTAGTGATAGAGCAGCAAACATACAAACGCGTTTGCAAACAACACGAACTGTAAGTAAGTGTGTTGTGAAAATCACGAACATGTTTGCGGAGTACACTACTTACTGCTACCGGTACCTACGCAGGTGTGCTCGGAAATCTCGTCGTGCAGCAGCAAGCACGAGTTGCAGCCGCACAGGGGCGGCGATGTGAAGCGCGAGCCGTGTGAGGAGAGCGCAGGCGTGGGCAGCGGGAACCCAGTTCAGCTTGCTCGTGTCTTCCTTGTGCGTTCGCTGTTGGTCTTACAATTGCAGAATGGTCCCAGCTTACTGTTAGCTGCACACAATCACCAAGAAATACTTTCATCCTTTTCTATTCTGTCCAGGAGGACATTCAAGCTCTTGGACCAAAAATTGTGGCCTCAGTTTAGTCCTCCAGACCAAATTTTAAGCGTCACACAATTGAGGCACACAGTTCTCCATTGGTCTCATCGACGTCTCTCGGCAGGACCATGTCGACGTGTCCGCAGTGCTACACGGGCACGTGCAAGCGCCACCGGGGCCAGGACCACGGCCGCTCCATGGTCAAGAGCGCGAACGCCGAGTCGACGCTGCAGAAGATGTACGAGCAGCTCGTGGGCTCCAAGCTGCAGAAGCTGCAGGCCGAGGCCGAGCGAGACCCGTCCAAGCAGCACACCAGGGACTTCCGCAAGCAGCTGGACGCGTCGCGCGACAAGTCGATGAAGAAGTCGCACAAGTCGCGATCCAAGCTGGCCAAGGCGGACGTGACGGGCAGCGGCCTGAACCCGCAGGCGCTGGCCGCCATCTACGGCGCCGACTCGGACGACTCGGACCAGGAGGACGAGGAGCGCCGCAAGAGGCGGAAGAAGAAGCACAAGCACTCGTCGTCGTCCAGCAGGAAGAGGAAGCACAGGTCCAGCGACAGTGAGAGTGACTCGGACTCGGACTCGAGTGGCTACAGCAGCGACGACTCGCGCCGTCGACACAAGAGGTCTTCCAGGAAGCACAGCCACCACAAGAAGAGCCACAAGAAGAAGCACAAGCGCAGCAGGACCGACAGCGAGTAGAGGCATCACCCCCCCCCACCTCGGCTGCTACTGGGCTTGCTTGACCATAAAGTAGAGCTTAATTCAGTTTTGGTTTTGATTAGAATGGAGTTATGGGGAGTGAGTATCTATCTGGCCACCTGGAGCCCTTCAATTGATTCGAAGGCCAGCGACGGCCTTAGTCCATTGCAAATAAAGAGGAGGGTGCGGCAACTTAGGCCTCGTTGAGGATGGTCGTCTTGACGATGCGGCCCGTGACCACGTACGGGTCCATGTTGGACGCCGGGCGACGGTCCTCGAAGTAGCCCTTGCCCTCGGCCTCCGCCACGCGCGGGATGCGGATCGACGCGCCGCGGTTGGCCACGCCGTACGAGAACGTGTCCATGCTGGCCGTCTCGTGGCGGCCCGTCAGGCGGCGCTCGTTGCCCGTGCCGTACGCCGCGATGTGCTCCTTGTGCTTGAGCTTCATCTTCTCGATGGCCTCGATGATCTTGGCCATGCCGCCCTCCTCGCGCATCGCCTTGGTCGAGTAGTTGGTGTGGCAGCCGGCGCCGTTCCAGTCGCCCGGGATCGGCTTGGGGTCCCACGACACGTTCACGCCGAAGTCCTCGCACACGCGCAGCAGGATGTAGCGCGACATCCACAGGTGGTCGCCCGACTCGATGCCCGTGCACGGACCCACCTGGTACTCCCACTGGCCGGGCATCACCTCGGCGTTGATGCCGGAGATGTTGATGCCCGCGTACAGCGACGCGCGGTAGTGCGCGTCCACGATGAGGCGGCCGAACACCGAGTGCGCGCCGGCGCCGCAGTAGTACGGGCCCTGCGGGCCGGGGAAGCCGCCCTTGGGCCAGCCGTACGGCGTCACGCCGTCCTTCTCGAACAGCGTGTACTCCTGCTCGATGCCGAACCACGGCTCCTCGCCCTTGGCCGCCTCCATCACGCGGGCCGCGTCGGCGCGCGTGTTGTTGGCGATGGGCGTCATGTCGGGCTTCAGGCAGTCGCACAGCACCAGGATGTGCTTGCCGCGGCGGAACGGGTCCTTGAAGATGGCCACGGGGCGCAGCAGCACCTCCGAGTCCTCGCCCGGAGCCTGGCCCGTGCTCGAGCCGTCGAAGTTCCACACCGGCAGGTCGGCGATCGACTTGACGTCCTTGGTCAGCGTCTTGGTCTTGCAGCGCAGGTCCTGGCCCGAGCCGCCGATCCACACGTACTCGGCGAGCGTGACGCTGCCGGTGTCGAGCGTCATGTACTGGTCGTAGACGGCGCGGTCGAGCTTGCTCATGGTGGTGTAGGAGGAAGAAGTGAAGGCTTGGAGGCTTGGAGCTTGGGCTGCTGGAAGGCAAATTGCACAATGACCACACGAATGCCGGTGCCGGTGCGCCGGCACGGCCCGGGATCCTTTGGCCGGCAGTAGAAAGGGTGCGGTTTTGGATTTCGACGGTGCTCATTGGAGGAAACTGGGCGCGGACAGCCACTTCAACTTGCGCGTGCCAATCATTGCGCGGCACATACGTGGCGAGGGTCTCTGCGCCGGGCTTGGCTCGATTTGCCTTTGCATGGCTCGAGGCGAGTCTGCTCGTTGCGCGTTCGTGCCGCCAAGACGCCGGCAAGTTGGTTCGCCACCTTGATGATGTCCAGGCTGCTTGGTGCCGACTGAAGATTGTGATTCAAAGCGCGCGCGCTCTTCCGGATCGCCCAAGCCAGCTTGCGATAGATCGTACAGTAGAGATTCTCGCGCGCAGGAGAAGCCCCAGCCGCCGCCGAACACGCCGAGCGCTACTCGGAGACACGTCATGGATGTTGCGGAGCGCGCCGCCGCGGCCAGCGTCCAGAGGATTCTGCAATGTCGCGACCGCCGCAGATGGTGCCTTCGTTTGTGCAATCTGCAGTGTGAGGCTGCTGCCTGCAGCGCAAGGCGGGCGAGCAAGCAGAAGCAGCTCTTGGGGGTGGGTCCAAAGTCTCCGCTACAGTACCAATGTCTCCGCTGCCGAGCCTGCAGGCGCTCGAGCCTTCGGCTCCGCCGTCATCCAGCTCACCGTGGAGTCAGTCCCAGGCCGGACTCACGTGTTTTCAAGCTCTGCATAACAAGGGCGACCAGCTTCAGTTTCGGAGCTGAGTCGCGCGTTGTCTCAAACGGATCGGTGCCGGTGAGCACCGGAGCGCGCGCGCGTCAGTTGCGCGACTGCCGCGCGCACCGCCAGCGCCAAGCAGCACAGCAAATTTCCTTGCGGCCGCCGGCGCTGCGGGCCACAGCCTGCACGTCGGCGTCCAATCTGCCTCCACCCAGCGAGCACATCTAAACAGCAAGCCGGTGCTCGGCAGACTGCGTGCAGTCCTGCACCGCAACAAAAGCAACGACGCAAAGCCGGGCCGCGACTTTTTTATTGGCGTGACGCACAGCGCGTCGGCTCTGACATAGACTGCACCATCTGAGAATGGATTCTCGCAGGCAAGTTGAAGTCCGCTCCCACTCTGATTTTGCAACGCTAGCACACGTATACTGGGACCAAGTGAAAAAGGTGTAGCCATTTGCCGACACCCGAGAGGACGCAAGCCCTAGCGTCAAGTAAGCGGGTTGCAACTTTGCTAATAAGGCAACTAGTGCGTGACTCATCGCCGCGTGGCTTTGAGCATTGATGATTTTGGCGTTTCAACACGAGGATGGATGGCTATGCTGCGGCGGTGTCCACATGTACATCTAGCTCTGGGGTTGTTTTCGCATTCCGGCAGGCGACAATGCACAAACAGCGCTATGAGATGGGTCATTACGCTGTTCCAAGCGACTCAGACGCACCGAAGACAATCAAAATCGGGACAGACACGACCTCCGCCGTCTGCCGAGCTGCAGATCGCCATTTCGCGACCCCAACGATTATGCCGCGCTGTCAAGTTGCCCGCGTAACGTTTGGAGTAGTCGCGCTGCTTCCTTAGTCGCTGCTCGTGTCGAGACGGCTCGTCCTTAGGGAGAGCCTATCAAGCCAAGGCTCACTTTAGACCTTAGCCACACCTTAGGTTCACTATGGTCCTCAAACGTATTAATTCTCACAGTCTCCCGTTTCTTTCCGACCGTGACGTCAAGGGGAGGGCAGACCAGCTCAACGAAACGAGGCCCGTCTCCAAGGTACACTTGATTTGCGTATGCTATCCCCCACGTCGCCCCTCTCCTCCCATGGTGGTCAGTCCCCAAGCTCCGATCTTTCGCTTCCGCTTCCGCCGGCGCAGGCAGCGTCATTGCCCGATTTGCCTTCGACAAGCAAGTTCCAAGCCTCCCCCCACTCCCCCCCAGCACCATGAGCAAGCTCGACCGCGCCGTCTACGACCAGTACATGACGCTCGACACCGGCAGCGTCACGCTCGCCGAGTACGTGTGGATCGGCGGCTCGGGCCAGGACCTGCGCTGCAAGACCAAGACGCTGACCAAGGACGTCAAGTCGATCGCCGACCTGCCGGTGTGGAACTTCGACGGCTCGAGCACGGGCCAGGCTCCGGGCGAGGACTCGGAGGTGCTGCTGCGCCCCGTGGCCATCTTCAAGGACCCGTTCCGCCGCGGCAAGCACATCCTGGTGCTGTGCGACTGCCTGAAGCCCGACATGACGCCCATCGCCAACAACACGCGCGCCGACGCGGCCCGCGTGATGGAGGCGGCCAAGGGCGAGGAGCCGTGGTTCGGCATCGAGCAGGAGTACACGCTGTTCGAGAAGGACGGCGTGACGCCGTACGGCTGGCCCAAGGGCGGCTTCCCCGGCCCGCAGGGCCCGTACTACTGCGGCGCCGGCGCGCACTCGGTGTTCGGCCGCCTCATCGTGGACGCGCACTACCGCGCGTCGCTGTACGCGGGCATCAACATCTCCGGCATCAACGCCGAGGTGATGCCCGGCCAGTGGGAGTACCAGGTGGGTCCGTGCACGGGCATCGAGTCGGGCGACCACCTGTGGATGTCGCGCTACATCCTGCTGCGCGTGTGCGAGGACTTCGGCGTGAACGTGTCGTGGGACCCCAAGCCGATCCCGGGCGACTGGAACGGCGCCGGCTGCCACACCAACTACTCGACCAAGGCGATGCGCGAGGAGGGCGGCATGGCCAAGATCATCGAGGCCATCGAGAAGATGAAGCTCAAGCACAAGGAGCACATCGCGGCGTACGGCACGGGCAACGAGCGCCGCCTGACGGGCCGCCACGAGACGGCCAGCATGGACACGTTCTCGTACGGCGTGGCCAACCGCGGCGCGTCGATCCGCATCCCGCGCGTGGCGGAGGCCGAGGGCAAGGGCTACTTCGAGGACCGTCGCCCGGCGTCCAACATGGACCCGTACGTGGTCACGGGCCGCATCGTCAAGACGACCATCCTCAACGAGGCCTAAGTTGTCGAGAAGCAGTCGGCGCAGCAGTTAACGTCTGCGGTGCAAGCCTCTCGTTATTTGTAGTGGAGTAGAGCTCCAGGAGCAGCTCGTGGTGCTTCCTATATATGCTTATTGAGAAGAATAAAGTACTTCTTTGAGAGCTTCGTAGTGTGCTGTCGCTCCTAGCAACCTGTTCGGTTGCAATGGCGGTGTTGTGATGGTCTTTGTCAAAGCGGTGACCTCCACGTTACGCATGATTGACAAGCTACGCGGCAGATGTCGTTGCGCTTGCAGAAGATAACGACGGCTTCGCTAGCAAAGAGGCTCAAACCTCCATTGGAATCCGAGCACTCACCGTGTCCATCGGTTTATCGGTCCCAGCCTCATCCATGGTTGTGATGGGATGAGATGCAAATGCAAAAAGCGAGCTAAGCTGAAGTTGACATCATATTTGCATGTCGTGGCATTGTAGACGCTGCGCCAGTGTTGATCAAGTCTAAAGTGGTAAGGCGGTGCAACTACTGTACTGTACGTACTTCTACTCCTCGCGCCAAATGGCGTCCGACATCTTGGCCACATCGACCATCTCGGCTGCGTCGTGAACGCGCAGAATGTCAGCTCCTTGCTCGATGGCAGCGCAGCACGTGGCGGCGGTGCCCCAAGCACGGTCCTTCGGGTCTGGACGCCCACAGATCTCGCCAATGAAGCCCTTGCGAGAGGACCCCACAAGCATCGGCAGGTCATGGCACGCCTGCTTCACCGTCGATAGCTTCCGCAGCAGCTTCAGGTTCAAGACGCGCGCTTTGGCAAAGCCAATGCCCGGGTCCACGATGATGTTCCAGCGGAAGATCCCCGCGGCCTCCGCAGCGGCCACACGCTCCTTCAGCACTTCTTCCACTTCAGTCACCACGTCGTCGTACTCCTTGAGCCCAGTCATCGTTTGGGGCGTGCCCCGCATGTGCATCAGCACGATCGGAACCCGCAGCTTGGCAACCGTCGCGAACATGTCTGGGTCCTTCAACCCGGCCGAGATGTCGTTCACAATGTTCGCTCCCGCTTCAATAGCTTGCCGGGCCACTTCTGCCTTGGTCGTGTCGATGGAGATGGCCACCTCGCTCTGCTCACGGATGCCTCGGATCACGGGCAGCACTCGCTGCAGCTCCTCCTCCTGCGTCACGGGCTTGGCCCCGGGGCGACTGGACTCCCCGCCGATATCGATGATGTCCACTCCCGCACGCTCCATCTCCAGGGCCTTTTGCACGGCAGCTGTGGCTGTGTCCAGCTCGGCGCCGTCGCTGAAGCTGTCGGGCGTGACGTTGACGATGCCCATGACGAAGGTCTTGCTGCCCACGGCCCATGGCGCGGCCTTGTGCGCCGGCAGCATGGGCACCGGGGCCACGTAGCGCTGCTCGCCGGCCTGCAGTCGGTCGTACAGCGTCCGCATGGACTGGCCCAGAACTGGGTGCAGCAGCTCCGGGGCCAGGTCGCACAGCGGGGCCAGCACGAAGTCGCGCTCGATGATGCGCTCGTGCGGGACGATGAGCGGCCCGTCGGCCGTGTCCACGGCCAGCTGCTGGTCGTCGTACAGCAGGATGTCCACGTCGATGAGGCGCGGGCCCCAGCGCAGCGACGGCGTGCGGCCGATGTCGCGCTCGATGGCCTTGAAGGCGCCCAGCAGCTCGGCGGGCGCCAGCGTCGTGTGCAGCCGCGCCACGAGGTTCAGGAAGACCGGCTGGTCCTCCACGTACTGCGGCGCCGTGGCGTACAGGCGCGACGTGGCCTCCACGGGCCCCACCGTGGCGCTCAGCATGGCCAGCGCATGCTCCAGGTTGGCCACCTTGTCGCCGAGGTTCGTGCCCAGCGCCGCGTACACCCGCGCCGACCGAGCCATGTTGGTGTGATCCAGGGGACGTGTGTCACCCACATAAACCAGATGGTTCCGCTTCGACCAGATCTCCGCACATCGGTCACTCTTCAATCTGCCGCCGAGCCGTCATGACGGACCTGCTGCCGTCCGGCCTGCCGTCCGTGGCCGACGCGTGGTCCAGCGTGTCGGACGCCGTGTGCAGCCTGCCCGTGGTGTCCGAGGCGCTGGCCGCGCTGCCGGAGCTGCCCTTCGGCGTGCCCACCAAGTTCCTGGCCGTGGCCGGCGCCGCCGCGCTCGGCTACTACGTGGACCAGAAGCTGCTCATCTCGTCGGACCTGTACCACTCGGGCATGCAGGCCGTGGCGCTGCTGCAGGCCAAGCGCTACGCGCGCAACGGCACGCTGGTGCCGGACCTGTTCGAGCAGAGCGTGGCCAAGTGGCCGCACAAGCCCTGCATGCAGTTCGGCCACCGCGTGCTGAGCTTCCGCGAGGCCGACGAAGCGGCCAACCGCGTTGCCCGCTGGGGCCTGCAGCACGGCCTCCAGGTCGGCCAGACCGTGGCCTTGCTCATGGAGAACCGGCCCGAGTTCGTGATCGTGTGGCTCGGGCTGGCCAAGATCGGCGTCGTCACGGCCCTGCTGAACACGCACCTGCAGCTGGACGGCCTGGTGCACTGCGCCAAGATCGCGCACACCAAGTTTATGATCGTGGGCCAGGAGCTGGCCGGCAAGCTCGAGCAAGTGGCTGGCCAGCTGCAGGACATGGACTTCTACATCTACGGAGACGGTAGGAACAGCGCGGAGCCTGGCTACTATGCGGCCAAGTGGACTAATGCTAGGCCGTTGTTGTGGTCTTTTGAGCAGGGAATTTGACTGCTCAAGCTGCGGCCGAGTTCCTACCGAGGGCCTTCTCGCTGGACGAGGAGCTCAAGAAGATGGACACGGAGCGGCCGCCGGAGTCCATTCGCAGGGACGCCAAGATCTCGACGTCGGACATGGCGCTGCTCATCTACACGAGCGGCACAACCGGTTTGCCCAAGGCCGCTCGGGTCAACCACTTCAGCATCATTCTGCGCTCGCTGGCCTTCAAGTACTCGATGCATTTGTCCATGTACGACCGACTGTACTGCGCGCTGCCGCTCTACCACACGTCCGGAGGCAACTTGGCAGTCGGTATGATGATCTTCTCGGGCGCGACGCTGTGCATCTCGCGGCGGTTCTCGACCACCAAGTTCTGGGACGAAGTGCGCGCGTACGACTGCACGGTGATCCAGTACATCGGTGAGATGTGCCGATACCTGATGAATGCGCCGGCCAAGGCGAACGACAAGGAGAACCACGTGCGCGCAGCTTTCGGAAATGGCCTGCGGCCCGATGTGTGGGCCCCGTTCCAGGAACGCTTCGGTATTCCGTCCGTGTACGAGTTTTACGGGTCGACAGAGGGGCCAATGGGCATGCTGAACGCGTGCACGACCAAGGCGGACCAGGGCCACCTCGGCCGTCGCGGGTTTATTAACAACGTGGTCACTGGTGTGGCAATCGTCCGCTACGACGTCGAGAAGGACGACTACATCCGCAACAAGAAGGGCTTCCTCCAGTGCTGTGCCATTAATGAACCAGGTGAGTTGATCGTCAAAGTGAACCGGAAGGACCCCGCGCGAGGATTCCAGGGCTACTACAAGAACACGAAGGAGTCCAGCAAGAAGGTGCTGACCGATGTGTTCAAGAAGGGCGACATGTACTTCCGGACGGGCGACTTGTTCAAGGAGGACGAGCGGCACTGCTGGCACTTTGTCGACCGGGTGGGCGATACCTTCCGCTGGAAGGGGGAGAATGTGGCCACCAATGAAGTGGCCGAGGCCGTGTCCAAGTTCCCGGGGCTGAGAGAGATCTGCATCGACGGCGTCGAGGTGCCGGGCAACGAGGGCCGCGCCTGCATGGCCGCTATGGTGTTCGACGGGAAGTCGTTTGACTTGACCGAGTTCGCGCAGTTCGTCAAGCAGCGACTACCATCGTACGCGATGCCTCTGTTCATCCGAAAGCTGGAGACGATGTCCGTCACCGGCACCATGAAGCAGGAGAAGGCCAAGCTCCGCAAGGAGGGAATGGACCCGTCCAAGATATCGGATCGTCTGTGGGTCTTCAACCGAGCCAAGGACAAATACGAGGAGCTTACAAGCGCGAACTATCATCAAGTGATCACCAACTCGCGTCTCTAAAAGAAGCCGCGTTGACTCATCTCGTGGCCAGACACTATTACTTCATCAGCACGAAGGTGCCTCTCAATCCGTTTTAACTAACTCAATAACCTTTTGTTTGTTTGTTTTTTAAAGGGATGGATGGACCATGAGCTACTTTTTCAAGGAATAACCAGCTTGTTTTGTATTCATGCGTTGTTGTCGTACCAGGTCCGGTGAAGCTAGAAGAGAGGGCGTTCAGCGATACATGTAGGCAACTACGTGGACTAATCGTCCCAGTCGTCGTGCACAAAGTTGGCGTCTGCAGCAACACCTCCGCTCCCTACAGCAGCCTATAAGGATCAAGTTCGCAAGAGGTTAGCATTGATCACATGGTGCGAGTGGATACAAGAGATAGAGCCGTACCGGATATGAAGACTTGGACGCGGGTGCTGACGACGTAGGCTCCTCTTCTTCGGCGTCCCAGTCGTCATGGACGAAGTTGTTGTCGGCTGCGACGCTGGATACTGGAGCTTTGGGGTCATCACGGGCGGCCGCGTTCTTCGCTGGTGGTGGGGCTGGTTGATCGTTGTCCTCCTCGTCCGAGTCGAAGTAGTCGGAGGTCACGCGCTTACTGGGAGGTTTGGCCGCTGGAATTCGTTCGGGGTTCATCTGCTCCAGTTCGTCACGAGAAGTGTCTTCGTCAAGCGCGTTGGTGGAGGTTGTGACAGGCTCACGAGGACTCTCGTCCCCTTCCGGATCTTCCTCCTTCTTCTCGTAGTGGTAGGCGTCGTCTTCCTCCTCCTCTTCGCTGTCGGAGATGACGTTCTTGCACTGGGCCCCGATGTCTCCTTCGAAGGACGAGCCGGACTTGATCTGAGCTACGAGCAAGCTGCGCGTGCTGCTGTTGGTCGAGGGGCGAGGACTGTCGGCTCGGTCGTCTTCGCTGCTGTCGTCGTCGCTGTGCTCGTACTCACTGGGGCGATTGCTGGGCTCAGGCTGTCGAGCTGCTCTGGCGCTCGCTCTCTCCTCCTCTCGCTCTCGGGGTGAACGGCGGGAAGACTCGCGTTCTTCACGTTGTTCTCGTCTTGGTTCGGCGCGCTGCTTGGGCGACGGAGAGCGGCGCTTCCGTGAGTCACGATCGCGATCGTCGTAGTCGTCTCTGGGGCTGTGTCCACGGCTGCGATCACGGCCATGGGACCGTTCACGCTCTCGACGACGATTTTCCCTGTCACTGTCTTCTCGCTGTCGGTTCGACCGTGCGGATCGACTTCCTCGCTCGCGGTCGTCGTCTTCCACGGGGCGACGATCACGCTCTCGCTCTCGCTCTCGGTCGCGATCCGATCGCTGTCGCTGTTTGCGTTGCGCTCGGTCTTCGGCCTCCTTTTCGTCCGCCTGCTTGGTCTCTCGCTGGGATCGACGGGGAGTGCGTTCTTGCCTCGGCTCGGCCACTGCAGGCGTGGTCTGGACCACAGCGGTCGCAGACTTGGGCGGAGGATTGCAGAGCTTGTAGAGGCTGTCCGACCACAGGCGGTGCTCGACCGCCGTCTCCCCTTTCAGTCGAAGCGTGCGTGACGGAGACACGATCTCAATCATCTCCTGCAACAACACAAAGGCAGCTAACTATGAGCGGCCTGGAGCCTGCAACAAACTCTGATGCAGTTGAGGCTCACCCGACGGCAGTAGATGCCGCTGACGTCTTCGACGTAGAGCCAACCGCGAGGGTCTTTAGCCGTTCTACACAGTTTAAAGGGAGGAGCAGGATGAGGAGACTGGGGTCAAGATGTACACTCAAGGTTGGTTGACGGACGCACTTGCTGGTGGAGTAGGAGATGACGAGCTTCTTCTCGGAGCCGGGGCCCGGCACGAAGCCGACTTTGAACCAGCGGCGGTTCATGTTCTTGCCGAAGAAGCTGGGGTTGCTGTTGATCTTGATCATCCAGCCCTCCAGCATGGAGATGTCCACGCCGTTCACCAGCATGATGTTGGGCGGACCGCTTGGGTAGGTTCTTCCAGCTCTGCCAAATTTGAGTGAGGGCTCCACTGCCGTGCAAAGTGGAGAAGCGTAACGAACGAGTCGTGGAGACTACTGCAAGTGCTCCGAGTGTTTTTAGCCTGGAAACTGACGAGTTCGTCCAAACCGCTACCCGAATTTACGAATTCACTGCATGAACCAGCGCTTCGTAGTCATGAATTTCAAGGTAAGCTTACGATGTATTCATCATGTACAGTCAGCGAATGCTTGGCGATTGTTACTGGAATTTGGCGCTGATTGAGACCACATCAGCCCAAACGCGATGGGATCGGACTTGCGGTTGTATGTATCCAGTGTGGAGCATGTATCTGTCGATTGATCAACTTGAACAAGCTATAGATGCCATAGGAGCAAACAAAGCCCAAACACCAGAGCTCGCAATCAGCGAAACTCGGGTACCCACACCCACCCAGGGTGCCCGGCCAGACGATTTCGCCCACCCGGCGGGTAAAATTGGGTACCCGTACCCGAACCCACCTGACGGTAACCCCATCCGAACTCGGGTGTACCGGTAATTTACCCGGTTCGGGTACCCGATTGCGAATATTTGTCTTCGTAGCAACGCGCTACGGTGACACGAAGTTTGCTACATGTTAGATCACCCACAAGTTGTACTTCCCCCGACCTTCAGTACTTGGAAGTGTCAACACATATAAAAGCAAAATTATCCTTCGTAAAAAAACCCAACTCAAGTGAAGCCAGGATCGCAGCGAAAATACAGCAGTCTCTCATCATATGAAATCCCTTCATGTGCTACCGTACGTGTAGCTGCATTCACAAGTTGCGTGCGATTCGCAACCTTCGAATGCGAGCGCGAACGGACTACACCGACAATGCAGGTGCAAAGTGAAGGGCTTCGTACGGGTTAGTGTACAGTATCGGACGTTGGCACAAGCCCCGATTGCCGCCCAGTCTTTCCACCAGTCATCACCATTTACAATAGATTTGCTTCTCCTTCTGCTCTTCAGGCGAGCGAAATATGATGTGTGGTATTGCTGCTCGGTCTCACAATAGAGGGAAAACGTCAAAAGGTGTATGAATTTGAAACGTTTTGTCAAAAGCGGTTAACTCGTGTCATTAGGTGTATGCTAGGTTGTCGGTATGACAGTATGTGTATGTGGTTCCAAGCGCACTAAGGTGCATCATAAAGCTGCATCAGCAACGAATGCGGTGACTGGTGTGTGGGCTTAGATCCAAATCCATAAAACCCGGGGTTAGGAAGGCTTCTACCTGATGCAACTAGCAGCGAACAGCGTCAACTAATAATAGCATATAGAGCAACTGTACTCGACAACTTCGCTATTGTGGCTACAAGGAACTACCAACGCAAACCGCAAGCGTCTATAGCATGGCTGTACTAGGTAGGTTTTGCATCTGAATTTCGGTGGTGAAGGAGCTCTAGTGAGAGCCCCCAACCGGGGGAGAGTGTAGGTATTGTAGAACTGTGGCAACGCTGAGGCCTGGCTACAATGGATAACGACGTTCATTGTAGTCCCTCAGTCGTACAATTCGCTATCGAAGTCATGGGCACCACGAACCGGACGAGCGTGTCGTTAATAAACTACTGTGCTTGGAAGCTCGATCCTGGGTCTGTATGACCCGACCTCGGCCGAAATACCGCGGCAACCAAAACGTGTGTCAGTACGTGTATGATGAGACATGACGCGACGTGACGCCCACGACCACAACACCTATTGACAAACGTTTTCCCAACGCATGCACCTTTTGACGTTTCCCCACAATAGACAGTGCCGCCTCCACCGCACCCGAGGGAGGCACTCATTGTTCAATTCGACCACATTCGACAGAAGCCGAAGCATTGAATCGACATGAAACTCGTCTACGCCGTGCTCGTCGCTGCTGTGCTGAGCATGGCCCAAGTCTGCGTCAAGGCCGAGGAAAGCGCTGCTGAAACCGGCCCCGGTATTCTCCCGCCCCCGAACAAGCATTGGAACTCGCACCCCGATTGCAGAGGCAGCGTGTACAACCGCAATTGCTACCACCTGAGACAGTGAGCTGAGCGCTTCAGCCTCCATTCAAGAGATCAGGATGGAGGGTCGAGCAAGCGTGATGACGTATCGGTAGTGTACACGGATGTCCGTAGAAGAAAAAGAAGAAAAAGAAGAAAAACATGTTTTGGCCTGCGTGTGCTTCAGTAAATCTGCTACGTTATGAATAATTCCGAAGTATTGGCCCATTCTGCGTTATCACGTGGCTACCAAGGACATCATACACAAGAAACCTTACCTTCGAATCCGTTTACCATTTTCGGCGGCAGGATTTCTGCTAGCCGAATACTTTTAAGTAAGGCGTTCTGCAGATTGTTGAGAAGATCGAGTTCTCCCCTTGAGAAGTTGAGCTAGTTCCAAAACCCTCGGGCTGATCAATAATTTAAAACTTTTTTATTTTGTTTGGTTACTGCCAGGTATCACACCACACGGAGATGGAGCCATATTAACTCATTGCAAGCAGGCGCAACTTGGATCGACGCTAGCGACGAAGTTGGTAGCGGCACCCGCGGTTGTACGCGCCGCGACAGTCCGGGGTTTCGGGAATAGGCTTCGCGGCCACACTGTTCGCGGGCATGGGGGCTGAGCGTCTGGTGGAACTTGCGGCGTCGCCGACTTGAACCGCGCACAGCGCAACAGCAATGACCAGGAAAACTTGAACGAGCTTCATTCTTGACTGACAATGTGCGCTTTGGCCCGGGTCTTGGTTTGTTTATTCTTCGAAGAAAATAGGGAATGAGCTCTACAGTAGAGACACTGCAGCTCGATTATAATGCTTACGGGTCATCACTACTAATCTTGACTGATTATGGATAAACTATCCGAAAATAAGCTGCACAGATTAGATTCTTACCTAATAGCTTTATCCCCGCACGACTCCCTACAAATTCACATAAGTCAGAATTACCGATCGTTCCCAATAGCAAAACTACCACGCTGTGGCTGGGATTCGGGGGGGGGGGGAGGGCAGAAGCAAATAACACTACCCTGACAGAGCAGTCATGGTTTCTGCTTGTGCCAACCGCGTGGACAAAGCTATAAACCCGTATGCTAGGGACATTCAAGGCAACATTGAGCTGGGATTTATATAGCGGCTACGAGTGCCTTAGTCTAGTGAGAACCGATCCTGGAGAGATTTCGCAGGCCGATCACGAAAGATCAGCTGTCCGCCCTGTACTTCTTTAAAAGTGCTCAGCGGTGTATTTGCTATTAAAATAGCACATACACCGCTGAGCACAGACAACCAGGATAAATCACACGTAATTGTGGCCGGCCAGTTGGCACACCAAATACCGACGGAGCAGATTCAAATCCATTGCAAATGCATAGCCTCTTGCAGATTTCCACTGCCACATCGCGAAGTGCGCCTAGAAAATCGAAAGGGTGTTATGACATTTTAGATATTTGCAGTCGATCCAAATCGCTGCTATCCATCGCGGGTGGTACGTTAGCAACTGAACAACTGCTGGGTGACATTACAAAAAAAACTTTTCCCATCGCATATCCTACGTTAATCAAAACCTTGTCAACATTATGAAAATGTAACAAATCGCAACCTACTAGAACAACGTTCGGTGCCGCAATTTGAGATTTCCTGGAACTACCAATCCCACAATTGCCGTTTGCTCTGTTTGTGTATGTTCAACTTATTGTAGAGGCTAGATACATCGAAGTATCCTTTTTTACGCACAGGTATCGACTCTGTGATACGGTGTAGTGTTCTGGACCGACATCATGTAGCACCGTCGTGTCGACCATGTGCTAAATGTGCTATCGACGGGAGAGCTTACCGTACTAGTCTTGGTCAATCCTGCGAGTAGGCGTAGAATGATATAACAAGCTCACAGAATTACCTGCGCTTTCACTGCAGTGATCTGTTTGCTCTCGTAGAATCGCTCCCAGATATTTGTTCTCAGCTAAAATATAATTGGTGCTTTTTGGTATTTACTGACGAAGACTATCAACTCGTCGAGTGCGTAGAAAAAGAAGACAACGTACAGTAAGTGGGCTATGCAAACGAGCTCTCATGTCTCCAAGCAATTCAGACACCACTGAAAGTACGAGGCTCTCAAGCCCAAGAATATTTCAGAATTCAAGTCTCGCCGATGTAAGTTTTTTAAGGTAAACACAAATGCTATATCGTAAAATTCGATACAGTGTAGGGTACAGTGCATGTAATACAGTATACCGAGTCGGCGATAACACATGCTATGTTACGTTACCAGCCCAACGCACGTGATACTTTACACGTGCCGTACCGACTTTCTGTCTATGGGTTGAGCAGCACGCCTTGCTGTTCTCTGAAATTTATTTCAGAGTTAAGGAGCGATTGGAATCCCTGGTCTGATTAATCCCTCAGCCCATACCTGACCAACTTGATTCATCGACATCAAACAGTATCTGGAGGATTTAATACAAACAATAGGTTAAGCTAGAGTGGAAAAACAGAAGTCGCATACCCCGATTAAGATGATATTTTAGGTGAATGTTACCTGCGGCGGTAGGTACCTCAAAAAGATACATTCGAGCGACCTGAGCCGAGAATTTATGTTAACCGATCAGAATCTATCGATAGAAAAATAAATTACCGGGGTGGGTGCATGGTCTTAGCGCTAAACATCAATCGGATTGATAGACAGAGTATGACTTCACCGTTTGCTGTGATGCCTTCATTGTTCGCTCACTTTCGATTTCGCGCTCGATCACTTACCCAGAAGTATTTTCTCACGCCTGCATTAAGACAACTACCACTACAGGACCACATATTTTCGAGAACTCATCACAAAACTAAATCACTACCCGTCTTAAGCAGTTAGCTACGACGCCAAATTGGAACAGTCAGTAGCTAGCTACGGCTGACCGATGGTGACGCTCGGTCTCTCTACGGTATTTTTTAAGGCGGCAGATTTGCACCGGCAACGCTGTGAGCTCGATGACCAAGATCTTGCAAGATGAAGCAACTGCCAGCACGGATGCCAGCCACAGACGCCAGACCTTCCGTCCGCGCATGGGACGCGGTAGGAAACCCCCGATTGTGCAGATGTGCCAATTCGGGGACTGGTGGTCCGGGGGTTCGTAGTTCGCAGGGGTGAAAATATATCGATAGGATATCCGACAAGACGGACACACCGGCCAAACCATTCTACACAAACAGCACTACGACTCAACGAAGGCTGCCATAGGGAGATTTTGGAATACGTGTACTTCGAAAATTATTTTAGTATTTTGAGTTAGGACGTACTTCTTTTACGATTTATCGGCATCTCCTGCAGCTGCTTCGTAGCCGCAGCATTTGCCCCGTGCGCACTTCAAAGCATATAGAAAATTGAAAATTACTCAAGACCTCGCTGGCACGGCAGTAAAATGGTGTGTCGCTCGAAAGTCGTGAGAATGTCGTTCGCGCCTGGGCCGCCTAACGACCGTTCTTCGACTCTTCGAACTGCAAATACTAGCGCACCTGCAACACCCTTGATCAGACTGGCAAACCACAAGCAAACAGGTAAGAACCGCGGCTCCAGGTACAAGACATATCGCTAATACATGGCAGAATAGATAATTCCACGCATAGCTATTCTACATTTACACAATGGGCGTATATTTCTTCATCTCGCACAACTGTAGTAAACACAATGAGACCGAGCATATAGAAAACCTCAAATTTCAGAGCTTCTTGGGCCGCAGGCACGACTTTGTTTCTCTATGTACAGTACAGTATTCACACTGTACATGTACTATCAACTGTCTGCTCAGAGCACCAGTCGGACCTCCAGTAACAAATTTCGTGCCAAACTCGCCGAACGCTGCAACCTCGCACGCGAACTTGCAGTAATATAATACCACCCCAGAACTACATCTAATCTGCTTGACAATTTTTGTGCTTGACGGTAACGAAAACGGCGGATCTATTGTACGTGGCCTCGACATCACAAAATGCGTTAGATCTGCTGCCTGTCCTCAGTCACCCCCTGTTCGCGTTTGTGGGCAAGATTTCGGTATTAGAATCAATCTGCTCCTTCGCTACAAACTCTGACGTTCATTCTTCAATTCGACCCCGTGGACCCAAGTCCAAGCGTTTGATCCCACATGAAGCTCTTCCGCGCCGTACTCGTCGCTGCCGTGATCTGTATGGCCCGAACCATCGTCAAGGCCGAGGAAAATGCTGCCGAAACGGATCACGTCCACCCGCCGCCGAACAAGAACTGGAACTCCCACCCCGAGTGCAGAGGAAGCGTGTACGACCGCGCGTGCAGTCACTAAAACCTGCGTGCCAAGATCTGCACCTCACTCAAATTCAGAGCAGTCTCTAATGTTTCCCCGTAATACGTTAGCATTTGGTGTTCCGCACGAGCCCGCATCCTCTTCTTTGTACGATTTGAGCTTGTGCTATGTTGATGACTTCCTGCCGACGATAACACTTGACGCCTTCGACAACTTCGCAGAATGGCCGGGTCAGCAAAACACAAATTGGCGTATGTAGTTTGCGGTGTTGCGCAGGTAGGAATGATGTGGTTAGCGATTAGCGATGAATGTCTGACAGCCATATAAACTTGAGCGAAGCGGCGCCAAATGGCCTGCGCCGCAGCGTGCTACGTTGGCACGACTTCTCAGACATCAGCATACACGTTAGATCTGCAGTCGCCTGTTCTCATACTGCGAGCGTGTACAGTGCCTCGAGGCCGACCATTAGATCTTTGCGTTCGACTTACATGTCTTGCATGTAACCTGATCATACTTGCGTTACAAAACACAAACCAGTAGTGCATTGTAGTACCAGGAACAGATTGCATGTTTCCGTAAAGAACATACTTCGAAGTAGTATAGTTCTTGGGCTATCTCATCAGACTCTGAACCTCGCTGGGTCGTTCGTATACATACCTACACACACGGCTTCAAAATATGACCGTTTTTTCTTGAAGTACGAATTACTACTTGCCCGACCAAGTTGATTTTCTGGTTGGTACTTGTATTAACTACGCTCGTGAGTTGATTCTAGCTCGGATACAAAATGACTCTCTATTACATGTAAAGTTTACGTTAGTAAAACGAATACCAGTACCTGCGTATTGTCTAGATATATCGTTTCTCGGTGTTATTGAGGTTGGCAGCCGCCAAAAGACTCGAGCCAACACAGCAGCCGTTTGCAGGGCGCGTACTTATGTATAACGGGAGGGTTCGCAGAAATGTTTGTTAGCGTTCATTACAGGAAGCGTTACGGGGCCTGGTCTGACCTACACAACACGGTTGTGCCTCGCGAGCTTAGTGGTGGCAACCACGGAAGTACACGCTTCTTCCGCAGCCAGAGCGGGAATTCCAGTCTTTGTTCGGGGGTGGCAAAACTCCAGGTCCGACTTCGGCAACGTCGGCCCTGGCTCTGACGATGGTTTGGGTCACGCACATAACGGCAGCGACGAGCACGACGCGGATGAGCTTTATCTCGACTGCAGGGATACTTGAGCTTCTGTCGGATGTTAGCGATGAATCAAATTGGATAATGAACCAGCAAGGCAACAACAACGTCGTGTGCACAAAGCAACAGGGGATTACTGGCAGATTAACGTATTTGGTGATGTCGCTGCGTACAGACAGAAGACCGGACGATCCAAACAAGTGCTAGATGCGCAAACTGGTTCCTGTGTAGTTCGACCGCACCAATTCGGAAAAAAATGATTTCTCCATGCCTTTTGGGATCCTAACTGCAGTAGCAATTGCGCATCTGCATGTAACTCGTGCAATTTTCTAGTTTCAGCGGGAAATTTGGCCGAAATCGATGTCATTTACTAAGCTCCTCAGATTTGACACAAACAATGGTTGATACTCGTATCGTGACAAGCATACTGAGGGTGTGTTCCGCATCCAGCTTAAAAATATTATAGCAATTGCCATAATACACGTGTGTATATGGCTTACTAGTGGTACAACATTACACGAGTACTACATGTTGCGTTGTCATGGCATCTACCTTTGCGAGTAAGGTTAGGATGAACCAGTTTTATTTCTAGAATTTAAAGCCACGCGAATCGAAAAGTGCAGTCATAACCTAAGAAAAAACGCGACCGAAAGTTAGTAAAGTTCAGCGGCGCGAGATAATTTTTCAGTAAACTCGCAGAGTGCCCTGCACAGCCAAAACGTTAGTGTTATCTGCACCCATTCACGCTGCTTGTCAGCTACAAAGCGTAGTTGCTGGACCCCAGCATGCGTTTGAAGATAGAAAGAAACAACAATAGGCTACAAATTCTACATCATAACTTTCTTGAAGCGTCTGAGCGAATCTTTATCCACTCATTGTTCTAGTTTGGCCATGAGGGATAACTTATTCGTGTACTTACAATACTTTTTTGAAGTGCTCGAGTAACAATTTTATTAAAAAAGCATACACGCGCACACAGCCATCTTCACCCTCCCCAGTAGCGCGAATGGACTACAGACTGTACTGTACATCACAGTGTAATACAATACCGCATACAGTACAATACACCTGCATTACGTAACATTTACGTTGGCACGAGTCCTGAGTCTTTTCGCTGTCTATCAAAGCAAACGATAGGCTTGCTTTCCCTTCTGTCCGTCAGGGGACCTTCTCAATAACATGCGACCATGCATAGAGCGGAGATACGAATCGTGTCATTTGATATGTTTAGTATTCGCTATGATAGACGGTGCGTGTGTTGCCTCCTTCCTTCCTTCTGGCATTCATTTAGCAATTTGACCTTATCGACAGCGTCAAAACGAAGATAAGTCTAACTATCAAACCGAGATGAAGCTCTTCCACGTTGTTCTCGCCGCTGCTGTACTGTACATGATCCAAGTCGGCGTCGAGGCCGAGGAAAGCGCTGCCGAAACTGGCCCCGGCATTCTGCCGCCTCCGAACAAGAACTGGGACTCCCACCCTGATTGCAGAGGCGGCCGATTCAACCGCAATTGCCATCACCTGAGACAGCGAGGTGCGCTTCCGACTCAAACCAAGAGCTCAGGATGAAGGACAAGCATGTGTGGCGACTATCGATAGCATACACGGATATCGGTAGCTCTAGAAATCAATACCACGCTTGGTATTACGGTTGTGAACTTTCGAACACAAGAAAAACTAGACTGTAATTTTCCGTGGGGTCGCTGCGTAGACGACCCCTTCAATATTTCCAAGAAGAACAGCGCAACTGGGCTTCGGTGGAACTTGCTACAATTAGAACGAAACTTGATCGATGCGCTACTTTGCAGCATAAATCTCAACCAACGGACAATAACTAACTTATAGGTGTAACCAGTACGAAGGAGTAAAGCTCTCGAGCGAAAGAACACCTTGATGGCACGAATACAATAGGACGGGTTACAAAGCAGCAAAGTGTCAGCAGCTAGGTAGTGGGGTTCCAAGCAGCTCGAGTTCAGGTTGTTCATATACTTACCCATCCCGCCGAATTTGGTCACAAGCTAGATGAAGGAACTCATTATGAGAGCAGCTCTTCAACGTTAGTAGTTAATGAAAGTGTGTTTTCGCACCATGTAAACTTGGGGGTAAAGCGTGGCTAAAAGTAGCTTCATGGTCTAAAGGTGATCAATCATCTTGTTCAGTAACTCTGGCTTTGTGATCTATGGCTTCCAAGTGTTACGCCTTGGTGAAGTTATGGGAGTCGCTCCAGGTGGAGCTGCATGACCGATACTCGGGTGAACGCGTGATCAACTTGGAGAAATACACTCGGGAGAAGAGCTGGCTCCGCGCCATCGCTGTGCTCGTGGCTACTCCACTTCCCTGCCTAATAGTGACGTTGTCTATCGATCTTCTACCTTTATCAGACCCCTCATTGGGTATCAAGGCCAATGGATCCTTCATTGTACGAGAATACTACGCGTACCTGGGGATGACGTTCCTCGCTCTAAGCCAGTTCCGAGCCGGGGTCCGATGCCTCCCGTACCCCATGACGCGAATTTTCAGGGATACAATCCTAATTTCCTGTCTAACTATCGGCATTTTCTATGGCTTCGTCCACCTCATTGGATTTCCGCTGCCCTTCACGACGCTGACGATTGTGCCGTCCTGGGCGTCGCTGACTGTCGTCTTCATGGTTTTCCAATGGGCGAAGAAGGCACGAGAGACGCCTGGAGCTGGCCGAATGCTCTTCGGCATGTTCAAATTGTGGCTGTGCGACTTCGCGTTGGTCTTCACGTACCCGCCCTATTTCCACATCTTCACGACGTTAGGCAGCAAGGAGCAAATGGTGTTCACTGTGCTGCTCCCGGTTATCAAACTGCTGATGCGGAATTTATTTTCGCGTGCGGTGAATCATCTCGGGGACGAAATTCCGGAGCTTGTCGTGTTCAACGCCGACGTCTTCGGCTCGCTGTTCGTGTCGTACTGTATGCAGAGCGCTCCATCAGTCTGGACAACAGTCGAGGTGATGGTGGCGGATATCGTGATGATGGGGCTGGCACTTCGCGATATTGAGCTCGAGTGGGTTTGGGAGAATTGGAGAGTCAAATTGAAGATGAAAACTCAAAAGCCAACCACCACCGCGCAGTAACGTTCATTAACGAACAGCATCGGAGGCCGACCGCCATCCAGCGAGCGAGTACTTTAATCCTAGAGGAGCGTACACCCACCGTCACGCACATGTCGCCCATTCTTGAGCTCGAACGCGTAACACTTTACCGGCAGCAACCACGAGAAGGACCCATGACGGCGCAGATTGACCAGAAGAAGACGCAGTCAGTTGCTGTCATTGCCACGAAGACCCCTTCAAATACGCACATGTTATCGCTACAAGCGGCGAAGAAGCTGTTTGATCGAAACCGCGTCCAACCTATCGTTAATATTCGCGAAGTTCCACGTGAAAGGGGGAACAGGGATAACAAACAGGGTATACCGAAGACAATGCGCTACATTCGGAAGGTGCGGCGAATATTGTACATGGCCGAATTCCTACTTTTGATTAACTACGTCGAAGTTATTATCCCTCTCGTCTTCTGTAAGTCCTGCACTTACTTTCAGTTTGCAATGATAAATATCTAACGCCATTTCCACCACAGTCATCTACTTGATCGCCACGTTTTATCTGCCGAACCGAGAATACTACGCTGTTTACAACGGAATGGACGAGAGCCGACTCATTCAGACGCTGAACAATGTCATGATCTACTGTTTACTGCAGCTGATGTCGCTGCTAGTGCTGATATTCACGCTTAAACGCATGATGAGACTTTCCCCAATCCAGCAAATCGCATTCGTACTGGAGAAACAAGTGGCGTGGGTACAGATGAGTCTGGTCTTCTGGCTGTTCTACAGCGTCCAAGGCTCGCTGGTGCATCTCGGTGAGTAAATTCTCACCACCGTTGACGCCAGTTACATCAATGACACACCTAACTCTTGTCTTTGGATACACAGGCTACGATTACACGTTTAAGTTCGCGTGGCTTACGGAGTCAGCAAATGGTAGCGACAGTACTGGTTAAGAAACTCACGGTAGGCTGGCCGGCGCCCGCCACACCGATGTTGTAGTGCTCGCTTCAATTTTTATACTTCATCACATTTTGTACTGTAAGTGTTAAGTGAATTTATTCTACTGCCGGTTGACGCTAAACCCGAAGGCTCTGAGAGCCACGCGAACTTGAAAGAGTAACCGTAACCTGTAAGCCAAGCCACAGAGTGGTGAGACTAATACTTAGCAGATAATGTCATAATGCATGCGTGTCAACCAACCCAAGTGACGTAGTGAGCCTTGTACATTGTAGAAGACCAGACACATTTGCACCCAGTCGACTTGGTGTTGCAGAACAAACGCAATCTGCTGGATGGGCGAGTGGCCGATCATGCGCTTGAGCATCACGATCATGAGCACCATTGAAAAGAACTGTAGGAGGCAGTATAGCAGCACGTTGTCCAGCGTCTGAAGTAGTTGAGGCTGGTCCATATCGTCGTAAATGGGGTAGAAGTTCCGATTAGGCAACTGATACGTCGCCACGAGGTAGATTGTTGTTGTAAACACACACTCAGCCCTTTAATGGTGCAGCAACAGGTTTGGGTACGAACACGTACTCACAGAAGACGAGAGGGATAACGATCTCGACATAGTTGAGAAGAAGAGAGAACTCAGCCATGTATAGTAGTCGTCGAACCTTGAGAGAGTAGGCTACCGACAGTCGGCTTGGCGACTCAGCAACCTGATGAGAATCTGGGTGAATGCGGATTGTTGCGTGAATAGGTGGCGGGGCCAGCGTGTTTGCCTTCACGGTAGCTCCTGTGATACCCTTTTCCCCCGCCTGTGGGCCCAACCCAATCGCTTGAGGGCTTTGTTCTACCACGCTAACCCCAAATGGTCCTGGGTAGACACCAAGAATCTGAGGGATTTCTGGTCCTCTTTCTTGCTGGATCAGTACAGACGCACGCTCTAATGTTGTCAGTCGCCGTCCTTTTGTGCTGGTGCATACAAATGCGTTATGATTCCCAGTCTCGATTCGTCCCTCTAGCATCTCCAATTCCTTTCGAGCGGCATCAATTTCTCGCAGCGAAATCCCCATGAAAAGGATGTCAAAAGCCATAATTGCCAGCGTCATCCACGACGAAGGAGAATTTTGCATACAGTACGCGACATTGAGTGCCCCAAACACATCCGCGTGGCAAAACCACCAAGCTTGGGGTCTCGTCGCCGAGATGACATACTGCCCGCGAAAAGAGATTACGCGTTGCCAGCTTTATCACTGGTAAGAGCAGCCCAAACGCCATTTTGCCGTTAAAATTCGAGATTGTCGTGAAAACGTAAAAGTACGGCGGATGAACACGAGCAGAAACTCACCGAGCCACAGCTTCATAGTACCAATAAGCATCTCCCTTGCCCCAGGCGTTGAGTAAATTTTACCCCTCCATTGAACTGCCAGAGCTGTGGTCACCAGCGCAGCCCACACTGGGCTAAGTTCATGAGCGGTAGCGGGAAGCCGACAATCAGCACCAGGCCGTACAAAATCCCGACGCTTAGAGCTGATATAAGGAGGGAGTCTCGGGCAAGTTGTCTTGTGGGGTACGGGAGAACTTGCACACCTTTGCGGAATTGGTGGAAGGCGATCGACGTCATTGCCATATAAGCGTAAAATTCACGTACGAAGAGGAGTCGATTGGCTTGGACCCCTTCGGAAGGCGCAGCGAGGGGTATTACGTCGATGAGAAGCGTCACAACCAAGCACGGCACCAGAGTAGCCACTGTGATAGTCATTGCGTGAAGCCAACTCGTCTCGCGCGCATACCTGGCCAGGTGTTGAACGCGATGCGACGAGTAGCAACCGTGCAGCTTCACTTGCGTCGCCCTCCACACTTGGACGATCAGGAACCCAGGGGTCTCAGCAAGGGGAGGACGCTGGTTGATGCTAAATTCGACCATAATAATCTCAAACAACGAACACTGCAAATACACTTGCTGACGTGATCAGGGATTGACAGTAGTTTGTTTTGAACTACTATCCAGTTGATACCAATATTAAAATGATGCTCAAAATACTATAGTAGCTAGTATTTTGGGACGAGGAGCCACCTAATACTACTGCAGTAACTAGTAGCTCAGATATGGCACATTTATTAATGCTGACTACTGTCACGCACTTGAAGAAATTTAGCGGTGTGTGTCAATCTTTCGGCTTCCAAATGAGGTCTGGCCACATTCCCATTTAGTACAGATGAAGATTTACGACCTGCAGGACCACTGATCCAACCACCGTACACAACATTGCTACACTGGCTTTGGTCCCGCATACAGCAAACCCCGATCCCCTGAAGTGGCCAAAATTGCTTTGGTGGCGTGAGCTTAATTTCCCCTTCGAAGCAGAGGTCGGAAAAAATAGTGCAATACAATAAATAATCAGTTTTTTCAATATTAATTTTTATTATTGGGCTACATTGGTCCCCGTACAATATTAAATTGGCCCAATTATTGACAATAAATTCCATAAAAGTGCCTTGGCTGGACTCCTATAGTTTTTGTACAAAGCTCCCTGTTGATGGCGTCATCTCCAGCCTCCGATGACATCAAAAACGGCGTTAACCACACCACATTTCGCCCAAGGCAAATGACTGGCTTGGAGACGTGCTCCAACCAACTCCGCAGCCTGCAAATACGGCTCCACTGGCAGTTCATATCTGCATTTCCACAGGATAGCAATGGTCGCCAACAAGCAACTCGCCGCCTTCTTCTACACCTCGCGTGGTCAAGGCCTCTTCAGCTGCAACTTATGTAACAGCGTGCGCAAACAGTTGGCTGGGTCAGGTTACTCCAATCTGGTGGCACACCTGGCATCGAAGCACGCTGGCTACGAGGCAACGTACGCATCGCTCCAGGCCAGCTCGGACCGACCTCTTCAAGCGTTCGGCTTCGTCGCAGAGGAAGCCAGCCATCTCTTCCAATGGGTCCGTTGGATCATCGAACGCAACATGCCCGTCCACGAAGTCGAAGATGCACTAACTCGGGCCATCAGCAAGCTCCGACCTGTGACCGCCAAGGCCGTCAAGAAGTGCATGGAGGGGATCGCAATTGAAGTCGGCGAGAAGCTGGGGAAAGAGATGGGAACGCTCTTCGCCCTGATGTTTGACGGCTGGACCCACGCTGGCATTCACTATGTTGCTCTCTACGCCGTCTACGAGACAGCTGGTAAGCTGCGCATACCGCTACTTGGTATGTCTCCCCTTGAAGATGGCGATCAGATGGCAGACGCCCACATCAAGCTGTTCAAGAACATCCTGGATGTGTACGACAAGACCAGCGACATGGTGGGGTTTCTGGTGGGGGACAACTGCGCAACTAACCAGTCCATTGCAACCAAGATTGGTATCCCCCTCGTCGGCTGCGCCAGTCATCGTTTCAACCTGGCTGTGAACAAGTTCATGGAGCCGTATGACGACTTACTGGGCGAAGTCAACAACCTTAGGGTGGAACTTCGTCATGAAAACAACCGTGCCGAGCTGAAGAAGTACACCGATCTCGTCCCTATCAAGCGGAACGTCACGCGTTGGTCCTCGACGCTTACAATGGTGGAGAGGTAGATTCGTATTCGCGCAGAGATCAAGAAGGTCGACGCCGTGGAGGAAATGGTCGCAACCGGCGGGAAACACCGGAAGTTGGTCGCGCTGTTTGAGCACCTCAAGAAGTTCGAGAGCGTCTGTAAGCGGCTTCAGCGCGAGGACATCGATATGGGAGAGGTACGCCTGATGTTCGACTCCCTCATCGCGGAGTACCCTGTCATGTCAAAGCATCTGAAGTCGACCGCCAAGATCGCCCATACGCCTGCATTCGAATCGGGTGTTGTCAAGGTCATCTCTGGCACGGCTCTATCGTCCGCGGAGACAGCAGCTTTGAAGCGGTTCAAGCAGGCACAACCCACAGGAAAGAAGCGCAAGGAGCGGGAAGAAGACTACGCGATGATGTTGCTCCAAGTCAAGGGAAAGAAGAGGAAACAAGCGCCAAGTACCACACGTTACATGCCGCTCGTGAAAATGGTTCCTCCGACGTCAAACACGGTCGAGCGGCTTTTCTCTCAGTGCAAGCTGGTATTGTGACGGGGCACACAGCACTTCTTAACAGAGGAAGCAGGAGTATACAAACTCCAAGTGAACAGCCGTTCACGTGTCCCTGGTCTGAAGGGGACGACTTGACTTGAAAAGCGGTAGATCTAAGACTGAATGTATTTATAGGTTGGTACAGATTTGGCCTGCATACAAATCCTAAGTTCCCTATAGTTTGTGTCATACAAAATGTATCTGTTGGCTCTGAGGCCACTTGGGTCACTATCCAGGGGAGTGACCGATGTAGCCATCCCGGAATAGTGACAGGGTCACTATTCCATGTAACCCCGTTACATCCTCCCCCACTTAGATTCGATCTTATCGACCAATCATAGCGAGGTTACGCCGCCGACTCACATTTCACTCGCAAAGTCGAAATCCATCGACAACGGCGCGAGCTCTGGCGCATCGCCCCCCGGGACTCACAGAGCAACCGGCGCATCACCGAGCAAGCCGCAGGGTCTCCACGTCGACCGGAAGCATGCCTCCAAAGCGCAGTGCGCGCAGTGCGAAAGCACCTCCGAAACCGCGGGCCGTAGGGCCGAAGACCAGGGCGGCCAAGGCCAAGGACGAGTCGTCCGCGCTGATGGAGGCCACGAAGGCGGCCGAGGTGGTGCGCTCTCGTAGCAGCACGCCGGAGAGTGGCCGTCAGGCCGGGGCTCGGAGCAAGTCTCCTGACGCCGCGCAAGGCAAGGAGGAGAGTCCTCGGGGCCATAAAAGCCCGGCTCGCGACTGGGAAGCCGCCGTCTTTGACTGCACGATGGTCCAGTACTCCGGTGAGAGTTCACCCGACGACGAGAACGTCTCGGAGGGCAGCACGCACGCTGCCGAAGGCACGGAGCTGGCGGCAGGCGACATGACCAACGCCTCGGCCGACGCAAAGGCCTCGTCAGAGAAGGAGGCGGAGGACGCCGAGTCCGGCTCAGGCGACAGCAAGCAGTCGCACGACGAAGTCGCCATGGCCGACGCTGGGGTCGTGGCCGAGAATTCGTCGAGCGACGCGGGTTCCGAGCCCAAGGCGGTGTCGCCACCCAAGCATCTGACGCTGGCAAAAGGTCGTGAGCGCGCCCAAGCGTCGAAGGCGGCTGTCGCTGCGAAGACCGAAGAGGCCTGCGTCCCGTTTCCAGGTCGCCTCGCGGTCCCAGCTCCAAGCTGTTCAGCGACTCGGAGTCTGAGGACGAGGAGCGTGCCGTCCATGAGCCCAAGGAGCTCTCCAACGACCTCGACGAGCAGCAGGAGCAGTACCACGCTGCTCGTTCGGGGGCACACACCAGGCAGTCGGCTTCCGCGACTGCTGTCGAGTCTTCGTCAGGCGGTAGTGCCACGTATCCGCAGGGCTACTTCCCGCCCGAGCCTGGCACTGGTGCGCCGCACCCGGCTCCTCGTGGCCTTATCGGCGGGTACACCTCGAGGGGTTCCTATGAACGTGCTCTCGTTGAGAAGGAGCCACTCTTTCTTGGCGACATAGAAGCCGCCCGGTGTGTGCTACTAGCACCACACAAGCTCACACTGAAGGAGTTCACCACGCTTCGCAAGAAGCCGGAGGACAAGGGTGGACTCCATCCTGTGTGGGGTTACCACTGGGTCAAGCCGAATGAGAACATGACCTGGAACGAGGTGGAAGACCGCTTCTGGCGCTACGTCCAGCGCAAAGGATATTCCGACCAAGAGTTCAAAGAACTCCGTGAGGATCGCACTCTGTCCGCTATCCTGGACTTGCGCGAGCTCCGCATCGAGTTCGCTCAACTCGTGAGCAAGCGCAAGCTCCACTCGAAGATGGACGAGCTGAAAGCAAGAGGCGAGAGCCAAAGCTCGTGAAGAGCGTGGGCGTGGTGCGACTACGTCTGCTACCGTGCCCCTGGTATCGGCCAAGAAGCCAAGGACTACTTACGAAGCTGCCGCTGCTTCTCGTCCCATATCGCACCAGCCTTCGGGCAGTCTGCCTGGAGCTGCTCAACGGGCTCCCACGAGTTATCCGACTCAGGGTAACCCCTCCACTTCACGAGCAGCTGGTGCTTGCCATGGAGCCGCCGCTCCCGGACGACTCGTTCAACGTGGTAGTGGATCTGCCCATTACGATCAAGGAGGGCCGGCGGTGGCCTCGCACGGCCATGACTACGAGCCTGAGGCGACGCAGCCGTATACTGGGGGCCCGAGTCAGGTGGTGGCCCTGCAGCAAGAGGAGATTCGTCTTCTCCGGGACCGTGTGTACGTCCTCGAGATCGCGCTTGGCGTCGGCCTTGGTGGCGAGGCTGCCACTCGTGCTGGCCAGCCTGGTGCCGTGGAGCGGCTCCGTGAGGATGTTGCCTAGCTCTATCAAGAAAATCGCAGTCTCCATGGCCGTGTGGATCGTCGAGCCGACCTGTCGTCTTACGACTCGCTGCGAAACCAGCTCGCTGGCCTTCGGGTCGAGCTTCATGGTCACGCGCCGTATCCGGAGCAGCAGCAGCCCCACTCGTATCAGGCCCAGTTTGGTCAGGGCTCGTACGGGGCCCCTGCGTATGCTGCTCCGATGTACGCCGCTCCGTCGTACGACCAGCGCGCGTGTCAGGCGCCTTACCGCGACTCGACGCCGCGCTTCGAGGAGCTACGCTCTTCTCCACCGGGCCACCCACCGCTTCCTGCGGGGCAGCCAGAGCCAGAGGGTCATGGTACCTCTTAAGACGATCCACGTAAAACGTCGGGTGAGTCGTCATCGACTTGGGCAAGTCTATGGTGTACGCCGCGCCATGCCGGCTGAGGACCGTGAAGGGTCCAATGAAGCGGTGCTTCAGCTTGTTGCTCTCGACCGAGCTAACAGTGTTTAGCGGTAGGTTTTTATAGTATCTAGGAGAACTAAATCCCCAACCTTACACACGTTCATGTTTCCTCTTCCATCTCGGTCAGAGTACTCCTTCTTTTTATCTTGGGCTTGCGCCATGGTGTCTCGCACCCTGCTGATTATGTTCAGCCTGTCTTCGGCAAACGAGGACAGTTGCTTCCGCAAGGTGGCTGGACTCACGTCCGAGACTTGGGAGGAAAAGGTTTTCCGAGCCTCTCCCCCACTTAGGACCGAAGCCCCGGTACTGCCTCATAATATGAGCGGCACCTGAGGGTGGCGCAACCCGTTCAGGTAAAAGGGCGTAAAGCCCGTCGATGCATGTACCGCATTGTTGAGCCGCGGGTCTCGATCAGAGACAATGGTCTCGGGCAGACCGTGGTGTCGGAAGACACAGTCCATGAACAGGCGAGCGACCTCGTCGCCAGTGACGGTGCCACGAACTGGAGCAAAGTGGACCATCTTGCTCAGACGGCACACGAAGGCAACAACACCAGTGTTGCCACGGTCATCGGCCGGAAGTCCGAAGACAAAGTCGAGACTCATCGACTTCCAGCAGTCCGCTGGGACCGGCAGGCTCTGCAATGGTGCCGAGGCGTGACCGGCAGGCTTCACGCGCTGGCACGTCTCGCCCGTACGGACGTAGGTGGCGACCCACTTGTACATGTGACGCCACCAAAACATCTGCGAGACAGACGCGTACGTCGTCTCACGGCCGAGATGGCCACTGGATGGAGCGTCGTGCGCCTCCATCAGGATGTCGTACTTGAGATCCTCGTCGTTGGGCACGACAATACGGGGAGGATCCTCGGGCTCGACCCTATAGTGGAGCAAACCGTCAGCCCACTCATAGCGGTGCAGCCTTGCACGTTGTCGGGGCGTCACTCGGCCTTGGCTTCCGAGCCAGCGGCCAAGAACCGCACAAGAGGTTCGAGACTGGCATCGTCTCGGTACCCCAGCCTGATTCGATCATACAGATCCGTCGTGACCCGACTAATATGAGCAAGCTCGTAGTCGGGTCGGCGCGACAGCGCGTCGAAAAGCACGTTCAACTTGCCCGGCTTGTACTCGACACGGAAGTTGTATTCCGCGAAGAATGACAGCCAACGCGCCATCCGCTGTGAGAGATGCGGCGTGTTGACGGCAGTCCGCAAGGACGCGTGGTCTGTATAAACGACAAAGGGCGTCGAGCGCAGGAGGTGCACTCGGAACTTGACAAGAGCGTACTTCATGGCAAGTAGCTCCTTGTCGTGGACTGGATAGTTCCGTTCGGCTGCCTTGAGCTGCCTGGACTGGAACGAGATGACCCGTTCGCGGCCTTCATCGTCGGCCTGCAATAGCGCACAGCCAATTGCGTAGTCAGACGCATCACAGACTACGCTGAAAGGCTTCGTCTCGTCCGGCAATGCCAGGACTGGCGCGCGCTGTAAGCTCGCTTTGATGTCGTTAAAAGCATCTTGATGGCGACGCTCCCAGCGCCAGTCGACATCCTTCTTCAGGAGATCCGACAAGGGCCGTGCCAGCTCGGCGTAGCCTGCACTATACTTGTGCAGGTAGTTGGCGAGGCCCAACCACTGTCGTAGGTCCTTCTGCGACCGAGGTGGCGGCCAAGCCGCGATGGTTTTCACCTTCTCCGGGTCCGTCCGGACCCCGGCGCTGCTGACGAAGCAGCCCAGGACCTTGATCTCCTCAGCTGCGAACACACACTTGTTGATGTTGGCGTACAGCTTGTTCGCCCGCATGACTTCGAACACACGTCGAAGGTGCTGGAGATGTACCTCCATGACCGTCTGGCCTGCCTCGGCACGGCTGTGGACGAAGATGTCGTCAAAGTACGTCTGTGTGAACGCACGCAAAGGTCGGAACAGTTGTGTGACCAAGCGATTGAACGTTGCCGGGGCGTTAGAAAGCCCCTGAGGCATGACCAGCCACTCCCAGAGCATACCGCTCGGCGTGCTCACAGCCGTGAGTGGGATGTCGCTTTCGCGCATCAGAATCTGGTAGTATCCGTCCACCAGGTCCAGCGCGCTATACAGCGTGCAGCCGGCCATGTTGTTGAGCAACACGTCCTTGCGCGGGATCGGTGTCTGCGCAGGCACTGTCGCGCTGTTCAGCTTGTTATAAGCATGAACCAGACGCCACTTTCCGTTCGGTTTGCGAACACAGAAGGTAGGCGTCGAGTGCGGGGACTTCGACTCCCGCACCATGCCTGCCTTCGCCTTGGCGGCAAAGAAGGCATCAATGACTTCACACTGCTCCCGGGGAAGAAGCCATTGCCTCGTGACACAGTACTTCGTGCCCGGCACGAGATCGATCTCGTGCCTGATTCCCCTGTCCGGAGGGAGATTGGACGGTGGATCCTTGGACACCGCGTCCTCAAACTCCTTCCCCAAGGGGTACACCGGGTCCCGGGGGTTCTTAAGAATCTCAGAGCGCGCGCTGTCTCTGGAACTCCTCCAGGACTTCCTGGTCCATGACCGAGGACGAGTTCAACTCGGCCGACGTGGACTCCGGTCGGAGGAGAACCAACTCTGCGATCTCTCCGGCCTTTAGCTCGGCCAAGAAGTCCTCCATGGCGAGCTCCTCAAGGTTCCGCAACTCTGAAACCTCGGGCAGAGCTGTAAGCTCGACAGCTCCTGTCTTGACCCGACTACCGGTCACGCCGTCGAAGATGTGATAACACTCTTCGGCGGCTGGAGCCTTGGCTGGAGGCTCGGAGTCGCTGGCGACCGGCGTCGTCGGCCACACGCCTAGGCCCGGCTTACGACGTGACCCTCGGGTGTCTTCGTCTCGTGGCGCCGCCTTGACGGCACCACCGACCTTCTCGATCTCGTGCGGAACTACGTTACCCGCCTTGTCTTTGAGCGGAACTTGGTTACCCGCCTTGTTCTTGAGCGGAACTTGGTTACCCGCCTTGCTGGGTGGAACTATGTTACCCACCTCGCCGTGTGGAACTTGGTTACTCACACCAGGAGCGCTTCCAGCGACTCCCGCATGAGTTATGGTCTGAGTGACCTCCTGTGGAACTATGTTACCCACATCGGAAGCGCCTGCAGTGCCTTCCTCATCAGTTACGGTCTGAGTGACCTCGCGTGGAACTTGGTTACCCACGCCAACGCCAGCGGCACCTTCTCCAGCAGCCCTTGCTGCCTGCGGTTCTTCGTTACCCGCGTGTGGACCTACGTTACCCACCTGGTAGGTGCTGTCCGGCACCTCCACTCTCAGGCCTTGTCCGGCCCGGTCGGAGTCATCGTCAGTCTCGACGGATCCCAAGACAGAGACTCTCAGGGGCTAAGTCCCCATGGCGTGCGCCACCCGCACGCCCCTCATGAAGACTTAGTGTTTCCCCAGTAGGGCGCCCCGCCCCTACTGGTGTCCAGCGTTCCCCTGGTTCCTGGGGCGCGGCTTCTGCCAGCGACCCTAGAGCCAAAGGGCTTCGAAGAGAACTTCTTCTTCAGTCCTCCCGCGGGACAAGCACGTTTCATGTGCCCAAGCTTGCCACAGCCGTAGTAGCGAATGTCGCTCTGCTCGGCCATGCCCAGATCCATGGGAACCGGCCCGTTGATCGCTCCATTGCCGGAGTTACCATTAGGCGCACCGCCAGAGGCAGGGTTGCTCTGCCATACCGTGGCGGGGGTACGAGCCTGCTTGTGGCTGTACTCCTCCTGGAGGGCGATCTGAATCGCCTCCTCCATAGTGTTTGCTTGCACACGGAACAGTTGCGTGCGGGCAGGACCGACACGCAGACCGTCCATGAACACGGTCACCTTGATGTGTTCAGGCAGGGGGTTCCCCACCAAAGAGGCAGTAAGCACTCGCATCTCCTGGATGTACTCATGCAGCTCGCGCCTTCCTTGTTTGAAGGCGAGGAAGCGCGAACGCTGGCGGTACTCGTAGTTCGCCGGAAGAAACGCGGCCCGCAGCTGCTCGCACAGCTGGGACCATGATGCGAAGCATCCAGGCGTCGTCGCTTCGCGCGTATACGCCCAACTCTTAGCGCGACCACTAAGGTTGGAGAGCGCAAAGGCGACACGGAGTCGCTCGTCCGAGACGAGAGCCGCGTCCATCGCGAGCTCAACCTCTCGAACCCAGAAGTGAAGGTTTTCTCCTTCCTTCCCTTCGAAGGGTTGAACCTTCAGCCGCAGGGGCTTCGGTTGCACCGGCTTCGGCGCGGCCACAGTGGCCTGCAGCCCTTGAACGTGGGCGATGAGCCCTCGCTCGTAGGTGTCGAACGCGTTGATACGCTCAACCTGCTCAGCCGGCGTCGCGGCCGCTAAGCTACGCAGGGCATCTGTCCCAAAGATGCCTGCCATCTTACGAACGGACTCGTACTGCGAGTCGTTCAGATGGGGAAACTCCGTACGATCCATCTTGGCTCACTCGATGAGACCACAGAGGATTCAGGTAGTCCAATCTACCCGCGTAGGCGTAGGATTGACTACAAGTGCTACCAAGTGTGACGGGGCACACAGCACTTCTTAACAGAGGAAGCAGGAGTATACAAACTCCAAGTGAACAGCCGTTCACGTGTCCCTGTTCTGAAGGGGACGACTTGACTTGAAAAGCGGTAGATCTAAGACTGAATGTATTTATAGGTTGGTACAGATTTGGCCTGCATACAAATCCTAAGTTCCCTATAGTTTGTGTCATACAAAATGTATCTGTTGGCTCTGAGGCCACTTGGGTCACTATCCAGGGGAGTGACCGATGTAGCCATCCCGGAATAGTGACAGGATCACTATTCCATGTAACCCCGTTACAGGTATTGACACCGCAGCGTCGATCCATGCTTCCGGCCAACTTCGAGCAGCTGGCGTTTCTCCGGGTCAACCGCGGCATGTGGGACGTTTGCACAGTAGCCCGAGTTAGCAAGCAGCAGGGTAGCTAAACTAGCAGAGGCATTGATAGTGGGGAGCGTTCTAGCTACATAACTCAATAAGACCATCCCTAACATTGAAGTTTACACTCCTCATATTTTTAGAATTTTTTTAAAATTATGCCACGACACTAATACTGTATTTTCAATCCAAGTCAAATCGTAGTTATGTAACCAAGTATGTCCGCTTTTCAACGCAGGTATTCCCAGCCTCGACAGAGGCATATTGATGAAAAAGATGCATTTCATATCGAGCGTATGCCTATCTTGACCTGTATCCCCCTCTAAAAAGATATGGTCGGCCCGAAATAAATAATTATAGATCAATCCTTGTTTATCCTCAACATATCTTTGATAAGTGTAAAAATATACTGCTTGAAATACTCCTACAATAGCTAGCCAATTAGCACACACTTCAACACACGTCTACCTTAGATTCTTGGCTTAGCTAGCTATGCACTTGGGAAAAACAAAGATGCCGAAGAAGGGCAAGAGGCTCAAGCAAATTGCCGCTCTCGCGGCAGCTAAGCGGGCACGCGACCGGCAGGCACGCCACCAAGCTGTTCCAGCCCCTCTTGAAGTTCTCCGACAAGAAGCGCTGTCGACGCCATGGTGCTGTCCACGTCCAGCCGTGGACGAGAGTGATACGTCTTCGTTAGAAGACAACTCATCCGACTTCGGCGAAGGTCCCAATCTCTACACAGTAGACGCGATCTACGCGAAAAAAAACTAATCCAGCAGGTGCCGCTTATTATTTTGTTGGCTGGGTGGGCTATGCGGAGCTAACATGGCAGCCCGCAGTTGACCTACCTCAAGATCTCATCAGTGAGTTTGAACGTGCTTAGCTTGGTGTAAGCTGGCCGGTCGATTACCGAGCGGTGATTCCAATTGGGATTCCTACCGGCAGTGGCAGGGGTAGACTTGCTAGGCGCACCATATAAATTGCAATATAAATTGTGTGGATGCCTGCTTTTGGTGACGAGACTACTGGCAATCCGCGATTGTATGTACAAATGCAGCTGCGATACTACTGCTGCAGTATTCTCGAAAGAACGCGAGTCTATCTACTGCCCACTTTCATTTAATGTCGATCCTGCTTCATGCGATAACCACGCAAACTGGAAGCTGTAATCGTAGCCTACCAGGAACAGTCAGAGAACGACAAGACAAGTCAGTACTAGTATCTCTTGCCGTTGGAATGGAGTGCGACCTACCCAAGTGCTGTAGCGAGCTCTGGACATTGTACAACAGCCAGAAGATGAGGCTGATCTGCACGTAATCGACTTGCTTTTCCAGCACAAAGGCGATTTGCTGGATCGGGGACGACCCCAGCATGCGCTTTAGCATGAAGGTTAACAGCACCAACGACACGGATTGCAGTAAGCAGTAAAAGGCCACGTTGGCCAGTGTCTCGATGAGTTGGCCCTGGTCGATTCCGTCGTAGATCGCGTAATAGTCGCGGTTGGGAGGTGGCAACTAAGTAGATACCTCCAATACAGCAGCACACTCGATTAGAGATAGAGTAATCAGTAAGGATTCTTACACAGTACGTACAGAAGACGAGCGGGATGATGACTTCGACGTAGTTGAGGAGGAGCAGAAACTCCGCCATGTAGAGCAGTCGCCGCACCTTGCGCGTATACTTCAGCCTATCTTGAGAGCTCAGGGTTCGGCTCTCCGTGTCACGGGCGTCTCCTTTCAACTCTTTAACGATCCCCTTAACTTCCGGACTCTTCGCCGTGGGGTAAATACGACCACTTTCTTCAAACGCCTTGCGGAATTCCTTGGCAATCGTCGTGACGGACGATGTAAACGTTTTCTTCGCCGTGAGCGTGGCGAGTTTGGGCCCTTCCCGCTCTTGCTCGGCATCCAGCTGCAATATTTTAAGCTCCAGCAGTTGAGACGACCGAGAGGCCTCAGCGTGTGTCTGTGACTCCCTCTCGAGGAGAATACTCGCTCTCTCGATCGTGGTGGGCATTCGACCCCCTAGACTGATATAACCAACGGTGCCGTGGTGGCTGCTCCACATGTAGCTGTCGTCCACTTTGCGCTCGAGTTCGCCCAGCCCTTTGCGCGCTGTCTCGATATCCCGCAGTGACAGACCGATGAGGAAGATGTCAACCACCATGAGCTCCATCGTCGTCCAAAACGAGGGCGAGCTCTGCATGCAGTAGGCCACGAACAGCGACCCAAACACGTCCGCATTGAAGATGACGAGCCCAGGCGTCTCGTCGCCTAGATGACCGACAGGCGTGCGAACAGATTCCTCATGAAGATCTTGATCACTGGCAACAACAGCGTGAACGCCATCTGAGCCTGGCTCGTCAGTGAGGTGAAGATGTAAAAGTACGGAGGGTAGATGAAGCCCAGCAAGAAGTCGCAGATCCACAACTTCACCATGTCGATGAGCATCGTCACGGCCTTCGGGTTGTGTAGCAGATACCTCCCCCACTGAATGCCCATGGGAATAAGCGTCAGAGTCAGCCAAGCAGGGACGACCACAAGTGTCGTGAACGGCACGGGGAAGCCAATCCACAAGATGGCCCCACAGAGAACCCCAACCGTCAGTGCCGACACGATGAGCGTGTCTCGAATGACTCGCTTGGTCGGGTAGGCGAGCTCTGTACGCACCCCCGTGCGGAACTGGTGGATGGCCAGGAACGTCATCACTATGAAGCAGTAGAACTCCCGCAGCAAAAACAGTTTGTTGTTCATGATGCCCTCCGATGGGTGGGCCAGTGGCACGAAGTCGATTAGAAGCGTGACTATCAAGCATGGCACTGGAATCCCCACGACGACTGCAACGGCCCGCACCCAAGTCGTGTCACGGATGTACTTGGCCAGATCGATGACTCTACCGGTCGAGCAGGTGCCCGAAGTTCCACCTGCGTGGCCTCCCAGATTTCAAGCAGAGACGAACGCTTACGAACCATTTTGGAGGGATGCGTTGGCTAAAACAAGACTGAACGCCAATGACCGACGGAGACTTTCGAGTCAGGCTCAAAATATCGTTTTTAGGCTCATTTTTAGGATGGATTATCAGATGGTACACTGTACCAATGTGCCTACATACTCGTACTTTAGGGCTTTTAGGCATTTCACTAGGGTACTAGTAACGGATGGCGCCGACGGAGCGGAAGCGGCAGCGCGCGGCCAGCGACGACGCGGCATCCAGAGCGTCGGCCAAGCGGCCAGCGCCTGGCCAAGAGGATGCAGAAGCCTCGGGCGACTCGGCCGTGGACGTCGAGCTGGCCAGCATCAACGACCTGCTGCAGCAGGAGGAGACGTCCCAAAAGCGTGCGTAACTCGTGGCATTTCATCGTTAAAACACACTTTATCGCATTTTAACGCTTTTACTGCTAATAGAGACCTGGCAGATCGGCAAGCGGGTCAAGAGGCTGCTGGAGAGCAACGAGGCCCTGCCCGTAGCCAAGCAGCTGGACGCGTACTTCCTCTGGGGCACGGCGCTGGCCCGCCTGGCCTCGCTGAACGAGGACCCGACGCTGGCCGACGCCGCGGCCGACAAGTTCCAGCAAATGTTGAAGTTGAGCCAGGCGGACGCGGCCAACGAGGACGCGGCCGACGCCGCGCTGGGGCCCGTGGGCTTCTCGCTCTGGGGGTCGTCGCTGCTCATCGTGGCCACGGAGACGCGCGGCCGGCCGCTGCTGGACCAGGCGCTGGCCAAGTTCGAGCGGGCCGTGCAGGTGGACGGCGGCACGACGTTCGAGACGCGCTTCCAGTTCGCCAAGGCGCTCAAGGAGGGCGGAGACCTCGTGGCCTTTCTGGAGCAGGAGGACGCGGGCCAGGAGCAGGCCAAGAACGAGTACTACAGGAGGGCGCTGCAGGTGTGCGCCAAGCTGGAGGAGATCTACAAGGCCGAGGTGGCCAAGCAGAAGGAGGAGCAGGAGGTTGAGAAGAAGAAGGAGCAGGAGGAGGAAGAAGATGAAGAGGATGATGATAAGGTGACGGCGGCCGACTTTGCCGAGGCGAAGCTGCTCGAGGCCGTGCTGCAGGGCCTGCTGGAGGACGCCAAGAGTGCGGAGGACCTCTACCGCACGCTGGCGCTGTACAAGGAAGCTATTGGTAGGTTGAGCAGTAAGTTCGCCCAGAATTTCAGGCGCCTGACAGCTTTGTTTCTTTGCGCAGAGCTGAACCAGGACAGTGCCGAGGCGCTGATGGAGATGACCAACTATCTAGCTGCCAGGTGCTTGGCCAGGGAGAGTCTGGGGGCCAAGCCGACGGCCGAAGAGTGGACCAAGCTGTTTGACGACTTAGAAGCTCAGTACAAGCGCTTGTTGGCCGAGGCCGGCTTCGACCTGAAGGAGTGCCACGAGATCTGCCACCGTAAAGACACTCATGACCAAGAGGAGCCCGCGGAGGAGGAGATTGATGAGCGAGTCCCGCACCTGCTCAACACGCTGGGCAAGGGACTTGCGGCCTTTGTGCGCTCGTTCCCCGAGCTTGGAAACGAAGCGGCTGAACCTAGCAAGAAGCAGCAAAAGCGGAAGAAATCGAGCGGAGGCGCTCGCTTCACGCATGCGGTGGAGGTGTTGCGCTCCGCCCACCACTTCCACGACAAGCTCGGCGGCTACTACCTTGCGTGCTTGTACGCGTCCCCTGCATTCGAACACGAAGAGGTAAGCTCACTTTGTTCTATCATGCAAGCGTTGTCACTTTTACTAACGGAATTTTGGTTGACTTCGCAGCAATGCCGTACATGGCTCGAGACTGCGGATAGCTACGGCTCATTAGAGGACGAGTTCGACGTCCAGGAGTTCACCACGATGCACGAGAAGGACTGGTTTAAGCGCCTGGCCCAGCCTCCGAAACAAATAGACGAAATTGACGGTAAAGACCACGCCAATGCTGAGGATGACGACGATGAGTAGCTATAGAGTAAGCCGCTTGACTCGTCGATCGCAGAATGAAACGTGTTCAATCGACGGGATGCGCTCAATTGCTCACCTTTCTCAAGGGCATTCGTTGTTTGGTGGCAGGATTCGAGAAAATACAGCGGCGGAGGCGGACAAGATCGAGCAGTTTAAATTTTTGAGTTTCAGGCGAGCGTACTTTCCGACTGGTGGCTTTCAAAGACTTCAATTGCGGCGGCGAGCTCATTGTAGAAAGCCCTCGGCAGTGCAGACTCGCTCTTCCTGAAGTCTACCTGTGGCGGCAAGACAAGCATGAGCTGGCAGGACGACAGGAGCGACGCGGACGGGTACGAGTGGATCTGCACCTTCTTGAGCGGCTACGACGGCGACCTGATCGAGTTCGAGCTGGGCGAGGACGGCCAGCACTTCTTCGACAGCATGGACCCGCTCCCAGCCCAGGCCACGCCGAGCAGGCTGCGCGCCCAGGACGTCTGCAGCCCGTCACCGCAGCTGCTAACGCCGTTCGTCCTCAGCGTCGTGGCGGGGCTGCAAGGAACGCTACCGGACAGCGAGTCGCGAGCGGGGACGCCTCCATCGTCATCCTGTGTGAAGGGCAAGGAGGGTCAGTCTGCTGCGTTGGACGTGCTGGAGCTCCGTTCTCGAAGCTTTCGCCGTGCAGCGACCACCCCTCGCAACCGCCGCCGAAGCATTCGTCACCCCATGACTGCAGCCCCGCAAGGCGCGCCACAAGATCAAGCCCCGACTCGAAGCAGCGCGAAGGCAGACTCCAGCTCGAGCTCGCGCCAGAAGATCAACCGCCGACTCTTCTAGCCGATTCATGACCAGTTCACGTCCAAGACCAGCCGCCTCGAGCTCAAGTGTAAAGTGTTGTAGAGAGTGAATGTGTAGTAGCAGCCCGCCCGAGAACAAGAAGCAGTCACTGTTGTTGTACACAACAAACGAGTCTAGCTCTGATAACACGAATATGATTCAGGAGCGTATCATTCATCTTGTGTAGCCACTTTCAGACCGTGCATTTGTAGCACCACGCAGATTCCATGCCAATATGGGTTTGCCTGAGGGCTTCGAGGGGTTAAAGCTAACCCCTGACTCCGCCTTGGATTTATTCTTGTTCACGTTGACTCAATTTCAACTACCCCCTAAAAATACAAAAGGAAGTACGAAATTGTTCATCCGTATCGGTGCCTTCCACACCAACACATCCATTACGATCACACATTTAGGGTGTCGGGAGGCTTAACGCACCAACGCGTGATCCGAAAGACAATGCAACCGCAGCAACTCGCCCAACTGTGGGAGGCCGCGCAAGTCGAGCTACAAGGCAGGTACTCCAACAAGCGCGTCCTCGAGCTATCACGATATACGCGCAACACCAGTTCGCTTCGAGCTCTGGCTGTCGTTCTCGCATCCCCACTGCCCTGTTTGATCGTGACATTTCTCTTCGACGCGTTGCCCCTCGCAGATCCATCCGAGGGCGTCGCGGCCAACAAAAACTTTTTCATCCGGGAATTTTTCAGCCTTTTGATGACGACCTGCATGGTAATCCACCAATTCCGCAGAGGGATGCACGATGCGCTTCCGTATCGTTTCAAGCCATTTGTTCGCGATTCTCTCGTGGTGTCGACTTTGACTATTGGGAGTGTCGCTCATCATCGGGTTTCCTGTACCATTCAGTTCATTGGTGATCCTCCCCGGTTGGTCTATGATCACGTTATTCGCAATGGCAATTCAATGGGCAGTGCCGGCTCGAGACAACCCCTCAGCCAAACCAATGCTAATCGGCATGTGCAAACTGATGGTGTGCGACGCGTTGCTGATCTTCATTTACCCTCCGTACTACCACATCTTCACAACTCTGTAAGTAAAAGCCCAGACCGCCTTCTCGTTTCTACTCCCCGTGATCAAGCTGCTCTTGCGAAACCTCTTTGCCCGAGCTGTGCGTCATTTAGGCGACGAGACGCCTGAGGTCGTGGTGTTTAATGCGGACGCGTTCGGCTCGCTGTTTGTGTCGTACTGTATGCAGAGCTCGCCGTCCATGTATTCAACGATCGTGATCATTGTTGCAGATGCTCTGTTAATTGCGTTGTGCTTGCGCGATATTCTGCGTTGCCGCAAGAGGCTCGAGGAACTAGAGGGCCAAATTGACCGTGGACCAGTCTGGAAAACCTGTCACGGGACGGCGGGGTTCAAACTACTAAGCGGTCGCAAACCGACCACGTTAGAACGCGCGAACATCCTCGTGGAATTGGCTGAGCCCTGTTACTTTACGAGTTTGCAGTCCACAAAACCCCGAGCAGCAAAGATCCTGCCTTTCACTACGCACCAGCAGCGACTAGGACCCAGAGTTTCCGATCTTGGTAGTGTCAAAGGGATGGGCAATGGGGTTGGCGGAGGTTCCGAGTCCACAAGGGAGTTTGCAGTCTTTTCAGGCAACTCGCGAACTTCAACTGCATGGCTGGGGAAGAACACGGTTGTCCCAGAAGCTCCAGAGTCTTCCAGCTCCAAGACCAGGATAAGTTATATGCTCAAGGTGCAGCGGTTGCTGTATATGGCAGAATTTCTTCTGCTGCTCAACTATATCGAGGTGGTGATTCCTCAACATTTTGGTACGTTCTCAACAAGGTTTTTGGCATGATTCCGTAATTTACTCTTGTTAACATCATATCTTGTTAGCGATCTATCTGATTGTTACGTACCATCTTCCGAACCGCGACTACTACGAAGTCTTCATCAATATGAGCGAAAGCCAGCTCTACGAAGCGCTGTATAAGCTTCTTGTCTACTGGTTCCTTCAGCTTCTCTCACTACTGTGTTTGGATATCCTACTGCGGCGTATCCTGGGGCTGTGCCCAGTCCGACTTCTCGCGTTCGTCTTCGAGAAACAGGGCGACTTCGTGCAGATTCATCTGACCTACTGGCTCTGTTACAACGCACAGTGCGCGCTGAAACATATAGGTAAGTGTGTATTAACCTCTACAGTAGCTATTCCGTATAGTAGCTAAGTGGCGCGTACGTGTGTGTGTGTGTGGTGACAGGATACGATTACACGTTTCATTTTGCGTGGCTGTCCAACAAGTAGAGGTGCCATGGCAAAGGGAACGCCGACTCCAACTTACTCAGTTGGCTTGCCAAGTGTATGGAGCTACCAAAGTCTGGGCAGCTCTTGCATAGCGCATCGATCACTTTGCGACAGGACCCACCGATTCCCTGCATGCGAGGATAATAACCTGACGTTAGCTTGAAACAATCCCATGATCTATAAAAGTTAACAATGGCGATCATTAACCGACACGGTATGCTTACCTCACGGATCCGCATCAGGAATTTATTCCCCTAGTCTCGCTTAAACGCTCATAAAAACTACTACTAAAAATAAAAATCAAGTATGTGCTGGCGGTCCTCCGCGCACCTGACAAGGTTTGCAGACCTCAACACGCCAAGTTCATATCAACAGAATGCAACCTCAGCAAGTGGCCAAACTCTGGGAGGCCACGCAAGTCGAGCTTCAGGGAAGTTACTCCAACAAGCGCGTCGTCGACCTAGCCAAGTACACCCGAGAAACCAACTTGCTTCGAGCCTGGGTTGTCGTTGTCGCAAGCCCACTGCCGTCTTTGCTGGTGACGTTTTTAATCGACTCCATCCCCCTCGCTGATCCATCCGAGGGCGTCGCGGCCAACATGGCATTCTTTGTCCGGCACTACTTGTGTATTTTGATGACGACCAGCATGGTTATTCACCAATTCCGTAGAGGAATGTATTATCTGCTCCCGTATCCCACGAAGCCTTTTGTCCGAGATTCGCTGGTGGTGTCGGCCTTTACTACTGGGAGTCTCTATGTACTCTCGCTCGTCATCGGATTTCCAGTACCGTTCAGCTCGTTGGTTATTCTCCCGGGCTGGACTACGATTACTGTAGCCGTGATGGCAGTTCAATGGGCGAGTAGGATTCGAGAGACGCCCTCCGCCGTTGTGATGCTGATTGGTATGGCCAAATTGATGGTGTGCAAGGTATTCATGATCTCCGTTTACCCTCTCTACTACCATATCTTCACGACATTGACTGAGAAATCTCAAACGGCGTTCACAATGCTGCTCCCGCTGATCAAACTTCTCATGCGCAACCTCTTTGCTCGAGCTGTTCGTCACCTGGGCGACGAGACGCCCGAACTTGTGATCTTTAACGCGGACGCGTTCGGCTCGCTCTTCGTGTCGTACTGCATGCAGAGTTTGCCCTCGATTTGGTCGACTATGGTCATCATTGCAGCCGATGCGATCCTGATCGCGCTGTCGTTGCGTGATATCCTGCGTAACTGCGAAGGGCTCGAGGTGCTCGAGCACCAAATCGACAATGGGCCCATCTGGAGGCACTGGCGTGGAACGCTGGGGTTTAAACTACTTGGCGGTCGCAAACCCACTACGTTGGAGCGCGCGGGTATCCTGTTGGAACGAGGCGAGACGAAGAACTCACCACCAGCCAATCCTCGATCGGCTGTGCCCTTGGGTCCTACACAACAACCATTGCGGCTTGAAAGTGTTCAGAATCTGGGAACAGAATCTGTTGCATCAGCAGCTCCCAGAAGCGATTCCGCCTTCTTGCCAAACATTCCTCGAATATCGACAGCATGGACGCGTCAGAGTACCGTTCACCCAGCAGAAACTAACGATTTTCGTGCCCGAAAGTCAAAACCAAGGACGCCGATCACGACAAAATACACCCACAAGGTCCAACGGCTGCTGTACATGGCAGAATTTCTACTTCTGCTCAACTATATCGAGGTGGTGATTCCTCAACATTTTGGTACGTTCTCAACAAGGTTTTTGGCATGATTCCGTAATTTACTCTTGTTAACATCATATCTTGTTAGCGATCTATCTGATTGTTACGTACCATCTTCCGAACCGCGACTACTACGAAGTCTTCATCAATATGAGCGAAAGCCAGCTCTACGAAACGCTGTATAAGCTTCTTGTCTACTGGTTCCTTCAGCTTCTCTCACTACTGTGTTTGGATATCCTACTGCGGCGTATCCTGGGGCTGTCCCCAGTCCGACTTCTCGCGTTCGTCTTCGAGAAACAGGGCGACTTCGTGCAGATTCATCTGACCTACTGGCTCTGTTACAACGCACAGTGCGCGCTGAAACATATAGGTAAGTGTGTATTAACCTCTACAGTAGCTATTCCGTATAGTAGCTAAGTGGCGCGTACGTGTGTGTGTGTGTGTGTGTGGTGACAGGATACGATTACACGTTTCATTTTGCGTGGCTGTTTAACAAGTAGACGATGTCGTGACATAATCCACTTCGTATTAAATAATGCAAGGATCCGAGCAGCGACCACCTCGAAATAAAGAGTTGGTTCGCCTGGAGTTGGCACTTCCATTGCTACAAAATAGCGAAGATATGGATAGCATCTACATGTTGTAAAACGACGAAACATGTTCAAGCAACGACAGCTCGCGTACACGACGAAGCGAGTAAATACCGTTGCTAGAAAGCGTTCCGTGGTGCACCCGACTTGGCTAACGCAAAATGTAGCGCAACACTCATAGATGAACTTGATCTCTTGAGAAGCTTCTGAAACTGAAGACTATGCAAGAATGTCAACCTTATCCAATTCATGTCGAGAGCAATCGACACGATTGGCCCCCGTGTGTGGTGCTAAGTGTTGTGGCAGGCAGATCCATACACCCAAAAACGAAGCGACTGTGAAGTACTTAGCAGAAGATTTTTTTTTAAATGAAGCTATGAATCTGTAATGCAAGGAAAAATCGTTTTGCAACAAATTCCGAGGTGCATGTAGTGCCGCTGTAGGTCGTGGATTCACGAATTCGCTTTGTTGAAGTCGTAGCAGCTAAGAACGACGCCTGTGCCCCTCTCGTCAAAGTTGCCCTTTGTGACAGACTCTGGAGTCTCGCCTTGCTTCAGCCACTGTTTGAACTGCAGGTTCTGTAAATTCGCGAGTGCCTTGTCGGACTTACGGAAAACCATTGAAGGTGGATAATACAGGCAAAGAGCATGCAGCCGGTCCCTTTAACAGTAAAATCTACGTTTCTGGTCCTAGAGAAGTTTTAAAATGAATTCAGCTATGCTGGCAACCCAATTGCTCGCAGCGGGCATGAACAAAGGCGGCAAGGCTGCAAACACGTGCGGCATGTTCGAATGCACATCGAGTCGAACGTCTACACCTTCGGAACGTGCTTTGGTGTAGAGACGCTTAGCTTGGTCATGCAACAGATCCTTCTCTCCCGTCTGAACGAAAATCGGCGGGAAGTCTTGCATGTCGAAGTTCAGGCTGCATATCTCCTCCGTGATACTGCCACTGGAAACGCTAAAGTCGCGAATACCAGCCAGAAGTGGCGTCTGCACGAAGCAGTCCTTTGAAATGTCCTCTTTGCTGGGCCAATTGATCATAGGGCTGGCGCACACTGCTCCGAGCGGAAGTTCTACTCCGGCGTCTTTCAAGCGATGAAGCGTCGACAGCACAAGTCCGGCCCCAGCACTGTCACCAGCCAAGATAATATTCTTTGGCGACACTAGCCACTCCTTGATCAGATAATTGTACATCGCGACTGCGTCCTCCATTGGTGCAGGGAAATTATGCTCCGGAAGTTTGCGGTAATCTGCGAGTAAGCATCTCGAATGAAACCCGCGGTGCTCCCTCGTAGTCACGATCTTGCTGCTTCAACAGAGCACGCAGTTGATGCATAAGGCGGCTGCAAAAATCAAGGTAGAACCGTGGGCAGAGGACAGCGTAGCCCCCGCCATGGAAGTATAGCCCAACGATCCGCCTCGTGTCTTGGCCAGCAACATTCGTACAACTCGAAGTGAGCCACAGGTGACGCAGCCCCAGGTGGTGAAAACTTCGCACTTTCGTCCCGTGCAGGAAACCGGAAACCCAACCGATGATTCCCCCAGAATCTCTGTATTTCTTCGCATGATCTGAGCCTTCGGCAAGCGCACAATGTTCTCCCCTTTGGCTGTTAAAGCCGCCGCGACGACAGCCTGGAAACAGTCGAAAATGACGGCCCATTCGGGGATTCGAGGCTTGAATCCACGTGCCACGCAGGCGACAAAAGCTCGACAACCCGCCGCACAGACCATGGAACCTGACCGACTTCATCTTGCTCTGACCGCGTATCGGAGAATGCCTCGGTAATGAACAAACTGCAGCAACCATTGAGGAAGCCTGCGAGTGAAACAGTAAATTTAGAGATCCAAGTCCGATAGACAGATCTTGGTGCAAGGATGGATAAAGCTAAATGGGCAATAAACATGACGCGCTGAGGCCTGAACAAGTTCTCGGTTTTTGTAAGTATCTTGCCGTTATTACTACGCGCCTGCTGATTCCTTTTGTTGTTTCCTGGTTGTTGGATTCACGGTATTTCCAGCCGCCTTGGAGTTGTGTACTACGCGGCTGTACATACAATTGGCAGCAAACCTCGCCAGCCATTGAATTCCCACGTTAGCGCTCGGTAATATGACGGCAGGGAGCTCGTGAAGACGTGCGGCATATCTTCGTGCACATCGAGCTCCCAGTTTGAGGCTCCGTCAATCTCCTTTGCCTTCTCGACCAACGTTTGGGCTTGTGGAAGTAGGTAATCGCGCTCTCCAGCCTGTACAAACACTGGTGGAAGCTCGCTCAAGTCGTGGTCTGGATTTAGAGCCGACGACGAACGCCTCCATGCTGCGCGAGCTTCAGGTGTCGACAGATAACTCTGTCCAATAGCTTGCATCATTGGCTTGGACAGAATGCAGTACTCTGCATCGACGTCCTCTCCCTCGCAGAGAGTTGCAATATCAACCACGGGGCACGCCAAAATCGCAGCAAGTGGCAGGCGAGAAGTCCCTCTCTCGCGGCGAAGATGCAGCATCGTTGCCAACACCAGCTCTGCTCCCGTACAGTCCCCCGAATGATCTGCTCTGGCCGAAGGTTCTCATGGCTCAAAAGATAGTCGTACATCGCCAGCACGTCCTTTTCCGCGGCTGGGTGCCGATGCTCCGGCGCCTTGCGATAGTTGACGAGAAACGCATCCACTCCCACCGCCATGTCGACTTCCAGCTTCTCGTTCATCTGCCGCATGCTCTCACCAGCCAGAGTGACGCAGAAATCAATGTGGAACCGCGGGCTCAGCGCTGCGTATCCCCCACCGTGCACGTACATGACCACGAACCGGTTCTTCCTTGCCCTTTGCTCCCTTTTGGCCCTTAGCCAGAGATGCTCCAACCCGTTCACCGTCACCCCTTCCATAGTGCCGTGGCACCAGCACGCCACCCAGCCCCTCAGCGTCCCAACCACTTCACTCTGTCGCCGGATGTAGCGAGCGTGTCGTTCTAACACGATCCGATGGCCAAAGGTCCGAGTGCACACCCGCATGGCGGCAGTCAGGAGCTCGAACTGCAACGTCCACGAGGGGAGTAACGGCTGTGCCCCCCTCGATCTGTAGTCACCATAAGCCCGAGTCACGGCCAGCAACGCGTTGGATGTAAGCTTCCAGGCCTCCCACGGCGTCGCGCAGAATCCGGCGAAGAGCAGCATCCACACAACCGACAAGAGGGCGACGATAGCGACAGCCCACGCGAACAACTGAGGGTGGAGAATGGCGAGGGAGAGTAGAAGGACGGCCCCGAGCATGGAGGAGTGGCCAACGCAGCCGTCAAGCAGCTCGAGCGTGGGGGGTGTCATACGGAATCGAATCCGTTGGTCGGTTTCGGAGATTTTGGTAAGATATCGGTCAATAAAAACGTGCATACCAATCAAAATCTGTTTTAACATTAAAATGAAGAGAACATGGACAAGTCTAAATGTCTGTCTAAATTGATTGAATTTAACACCAAGAATGTTATTGTTAATGAAAACAGACTTGAAATTGCACCTACAAATTCATGACGACACCTTTTCACAAACAACGAATAATGGCTGCGATCCTCATTCGACGTCGTCTTCAGAAGGCTGGAGCTGCTCCTGGAAGTTGTACGGGTATTCGGTGCGTCGTCGCCTGCACCTGCCGCGCAATGAAGGCGGCGAACCTCTGGACGCCCACGGATGACTGCGGCATCATGAAGTGCGGGAAGAGCGTGAACACGTGGGGCATGCGCGCGTGCACGTCCAGCTCCACCTGCACCCCGTCGGACCGGGCGTTCCGGGCGAGCGCCAGCGACTGGCGATGCAGAATGTCGAACTCCGCGGCCTGCACGAAGAGCGGGGGCAGGCCGCGCAGATCCGTCTGCAGCATGGCCCCCTCTCGCCACGACGACGACGACGAGGGGGCCGCGTGCACGCAGAAGTCCCGGATGGCGTCCAGCATGGACTTGGAGATGAAGCAGTGCTCCGACACGGCCACGTCGGCCGACAGGTCCGCGTACGGGCAGTTGCACAGCGCGGCCAGCGGCATCTCCCGCCTGGCCCGCCGCAGTCTCAGCAGCGTGGCCAGCACGAGGCCTCCGCCCGCGCTGTCGCCCGCCAGCACGATGTTGCCAGGCGAGACCTTCTCCACCGAGACGAGGTAGTCGAACATGGCCATGGCGTCGTCCAGAGGCGCGGGGAAGCGCACCTCGGGCAGCTTCCGGTAGTTGGCCAGCAGCACCTGCACGTCCACTGCCTCGGCCCGGAGCTGGCTCTGGACCTGAGTCAGTAGACGACAGGCGAACTCGACGAAGAAGCGCGGGCTGAAGAGCGCGTAGCCCCCGCCGTGGTAGTACAGCACCATGACTCGGCGTCGCTGTTGTGGTGGATTCTCCCCTTCCTCCTCTTTCGAGTCCGTTCTGCCGCCCTTTGAGCGCAGCCACAGGTGCTCGAGTCCGTTGTGCCGGAAGCTCTCGAGCTGCGCGCCGTGCTGCCAGCAGGCCGCGGCCCCCAGCAGCCGCCCGATGAGCTCGAAGTTGCGCCGGAACGCCAGCGCGTTGGGCATCTTGAGGATGTGGCCGCCGTTGCGCTGACCCGCGGCCAACGCGATGGCCTGGAACCACTCGTACCAGAGCGTCCACTCCGGGAACTTGGGCCGCAGCCCGCGCGTGACGAACTGCAGCACGGCGGCGTTGGCGGCCGAGCCCACGTGGGCCGTCAGCGCGCACACGTCGCCGAACGAGAGGCAGAAGGGCCGCAGCAGCTCGTGCACGCCCAGCAGCAGCAACAGTTTGAGCAGCACCACGACGTGCGCGAGGCCGAGCCACTGCAGGTGCGTCGCGTTCACCCACAGCGAGATGGCGGCCACCGTCAGGAACACGGGAAGCGTGTAGGCCGCGCCGTAGCCCGACGCTCGGCCGCTCGCGAACTGGTGCACGTGCTTGCGGACGCGCTGCATGGCTCGAACTGGGGAACGTTTGAAGACTTGAGTAGCTCGAAGCGACTTGAGGAATGAGCGAGTGGTTGGGTGGCGGATCGAAGGCGTCGCGGGCCGAAGATCGCGTGTCCCTCCGAGCGCCGCCATATCCGAAAGTGGCCGACGCGTGACGCCTCGGCATCAAAGTCCAACATGGCGAGAGCTTGAAGTGAGCCGGAGTGCAGCTGGCCGACGGTGCATCAATAGCGGCGACCTTGCCGCTGGAAGACAGCGGCGGCCTCGGTGGGCTCCCTCCCCACATCTAGTGGCGTGTTGAGGCCAGCTCTGCACGAAGCAGACATCAGTGGGAGGTTGCGAGTCGAGTTTGCGTCGACGATCACTGTGGTGATCGACGGTGGCACTCGATCGTGTTTACTGACTGGCGTTGATGGCGCTAGGCTCGGTGCAGTGGTCTCAGCTAAGCTCGCTGGCTTCAGCCGCCAAGTAGAGGATTAATATACCGAGTAGAAGCGCAAACGCGCGAGAACTGTGATGATAACAATGTGTTTGACGGTGGGCACCAACATCAATTTGGAGTTAGAGAAGGCCGAAGGTTCGGCGGTGGTGGCGACACCTTACTCGCGGCGCAAATGGTGGTGAGGGCGGCCTCTGTTCAGATCGTTGAGGCAGGGGTCCTGCCTTTTGTTGTATTCCTTGTTGGGATCTGGGACGGCGCTCGCTTGAGCGATGCACAGCACAAGAACCACACTAGTGACGTGGATGAGCTTCATTTTGTTGGTCAGCTTTGTGTGAGCTTCGGAGGGAGTTGGCGTGTCCGTGAGAGCGAAAATCTGGAAGTGGGAGCCGATAGAGAGAGTACGAAGAGGTTCACAAAACCCAACTAACTCTTCATCAGAGTACTGCAGTACGTATAGGCATCGCGAGAGCAGATCCGGGCGGTGATCGTTGGCAGATCGCTCGCTGACGGCGGTGAAGGTGCAAAAGACAACCAACATCCCAGTAACTTAGGGAAATGATCCGCGCCAAGGGGTATGTGTAAGCAATAAATCTGTTTTGACGAAGTCTTGTCGACAACTAACCTTTCATGTACCAGTATTTATCTTTTCCACTGGTGTGTCATACACGGTGTATATACACCGTGTATGTACTGAGGGGCGATTCGTTTTCGCCCTCTTGTGTTGCGCTGTCTCGCTGACATGAAGAAGCAGATCATCATTGAAGTGCGACCGATTGTGTGGCCATACGGCCCGATAACAGCACGTGACCACGTTTGCTAACGTTGCCCGTTCGCTTGTCGTTTGTTGACCGATGGTACTAGTATTGTGAATTCCGGTCAAAATTTCCAAATCGCGGCGGTTTGGAGACCCCGTTCCAATCGCCAAATACAAAACTCAAGTCATTTGCCCAATCTCCGGGCCCAAACAATATGGTCCAAGCGCCCGCATGTCAAGGCCAATACGTTCTTAAACGGGTGCCTATAACCAATCCTAGTGGCCCGGAGATTGGCCGGAGATTTGGCTCGGGCGGTTCAACAAACCGCCCATGGAAATTTTGAACAGAACACACAATACACTGTGTCAATGTTTGCACCCTTTACATAGTGGTACATAGTACCAACTACCTCAGGAAACGGATGATCTGATACAAAAGGTCCCTTCAAAGCTGTTAGTCAAGGAGTAACTATGCTGTATAGTCTGTACCAGTGTAGTTTTGCTAGAACCAACCATCTAAACTCTGCTACTGGTAGTGCGCCATCTCTAATCTAACTCACTTCGTCTTTTGACGACTCCTCCACACTCCTCTCCTCCTAGTCTCTCCGTTAACCTCGCAACAGGTTATGAGCCCAAGCCAAGCCTCCAGCGACGACTTCCCCAGACTCGTCGGAGCCGACAACTTCGACGTCTGGAAGGCTCGCGTGGGCGCAGCCCTCGACTACTCGGCTTCGTGACGAAGCCCGAGTACGATGGTGTCTCCGAGGACGACAGCGAGGACACCGGGAGCGACATGTCCGACGCCGACGACCCGCTGAAGACCACGCCGGCAAAGACGGCTGAGATCGACTCCGACGCCGTCGACTACGACGAGAGTGACGACGATGACAAGCCCCAATCAGGCTCTGACGAAGACTCAAGTGGCGACTCGGACTCTGCGATCAAGCGCAAGGACCAGTTCGTTATCCGGCCGTTTAACCGCCGTGATGCACGTCAAGCGCGTTGAAGAAGCCGAAGGCCAAGCCTTTGAACCAGCGTGAGCGCCGTCGCCAGGAAGCCAAGACCAAGGCTGTAACGGGGTTACACGCACAAGTGGCTACAGTCACTTGTTACTCTAACAGATACGATGTCTGTTAGAGGTTTGAACACTTCCTCGACCTTGGTGTAATGTACACCAATGGCTGCATACATTTACGACCACCACGACGGGTGGTCCATGCACATTTAGGATTCCTATTGGCTGAAAGCAGCATCTTTTTGCTAATGAGTGACTTGATTGTTAGCAGAATCCTATCAACCAGCCGTTGGCAGATTCCTAGTTTAGAATATTACATTTAGAGGACGTCAGAAACATAAAACAAAAATAGCAGTTTTCATCTTTTACCAAAACCCGCTACTTGGAGCCTTTATCTTGTTTAAAGTATACTCGTGGATCTCGAGTATACTTAACTCAAGTAAAAGAAACCTATGCTTCCTCATACACGTGCGCATACGTGTAAGCCCTAGTAGTGAGCCAAGGTAGGCCCATTACACCTGGTAGCACTTTGTAGTCCGTCCAACGACCGACTACCTGAACGTTCGTACGGAGCTGTACGTACGAGGACCGAGAACCTTTTCATGAGCGCGGAGGTGCACATGGAAAGCTCCACTTCGCCTGCAACTCATGTTGCACGCGCTGACTGCCTCCTCCTGTCGGATCCAGAGTGGGAGGCACTCCAACGACTGTCAACAGTCATTGGGGAGGCGGCAGTAGCTGCGATGCTGCGTACGCTATCGCCGACAGAGCAACATGGTGTTGCTCTGGGGTTCATCGTGAAGGAGCAGCGTGATGCTGCTTCCTCTACCACGGTGGCGTCGGAGACGACACCGCGTGGACAATCGTTGAAGCTAAACGTGAGCAACTATGTCGGAAGAGAGGGAGAGCCTCTCCTCCGTTGGCTTGTCGAACTCGACACTGCCATCGCGGCTCAACGTATCGTCGACCCGTTGTCCAAGGTTGCGTTCGCCATGACATGCCTTGGCGGACGAGCGAGAAGTTGGATGGGCGCCGACTCTCTGATCCTACGTGCTTCAGCACGTACGAGGGTTTCAAGGAGGAGCTCAGGCAGCGTTTGAGCACCCGCAAAATGAGTTTCAGTCGAGGGCAGAGTTCCTCGACCTGCAGCAGGGCAAGCATGATGTCCATGCTTACGTTCATGAAGGGTCTGAGAGATGGGCCTGTAAAGACCTATCTATTCCGTGAGTACCCGAGTACTCTCGAAGCTGCAATTACTCTTGTAATGCAGGAGGAGTTTAGCCTGCGACAGGCTAAGCTGCATGCGAATGCGCCGAGGCTGCGACCGCCTCCGTTTGCGATAGCGGGAGGTCCGGAACCAATGAACCTCTCGAATGCAACGGCTGCTGATTATCAACAGCAACAAGGAAGTAATGTACGATGCTTTCGTTGCGGAAGGATCAGTCACTATGCCCGAGAGTGCACGGCACCCGTGCACCGAGATGGTGGTCGACGCGGCGATGCCGGGCATCGTCGCGGACAAACAAAAACGCTGGAACCCAGTAGGCGCGGGGCGCCCTACTGGTGAAGCAGTCACGAGTGTCCAACTCGGACATGCGACACTGAGGACTGCAGCCCCCAGTGAGGACCCTTCTCACTGCGAAATGCATGATGACAAACCGAACCTTGTCATCTTGGACGTGTCTTCGAAGAAAGAGAGCAACTCTCTTCGTGCTTTGGTTGATTCGGGCGCGTCGAACAACGTTGTTCGACTGCGAAGTCTATCGAGGCTTGACTTCGAGGAGGTAATTATACCTCGATATATGTTGGAAGTTCGATTGACAACGGGTGCCATCGTTAAACCCGAGAAGCGCATGGTACGCGTGCGCTTCACGTATGAAGATCAAGATTTTGTAGAGACCTTTATCGTCCTGGATCTGGACGATAAGTTTGACATTGTATTGGGCATGCCGTGGCTTGCACGGCATGATCCGGTCATCGATTTGGAGAAGCGCACTCTCCTGTGCTTCGGGCGCGACAGCGGAACAGTGAGCGATGGCCCTGTTGCTGCTACGCACGCACCGACAGGTGCGCGCGACTCCCCACTTGAGTCAGCGCCTAATGCCGCTGTCACGGAGCGCCCTGGGCGCGCGCGAGCACGCGCGCAGGAGCAGCAAGCGTCGGCGTCGCCGCCGACGGCTGAAGGAGAAAATGTGTTGATCTCGGAGATCGACACCCGCATTTCAGCGAATCAGGAAGAGTCTCCGACCTCAAGGGGTGCGGATGACGCAGGCGAGTCACACGCCTCAGCCGTGGAGGCTGACGCGAATCTGATTGGATCAGTTTTGGCCAATAATAAGAGCCAATGTGACGAAACGCCGTCGACTCCGGGAGTCGATGGATTGGGTGGATTTGATTCGTCGGCTCCGGGAGCCGACGCACCCTCCGTAATGGGGGTCTCCGCCAATGGTTGGACGGTTGCAAACTTGCATGCTGTCGTGCAGCCGGGCTGCACGACGAAGTGCCGGGCGACCAAGCCGGGCTTGAAGTCCCTCGCCCGCGGGACGTACCAGCCGGCGGTATACAAGAAGAACACCCGTCCACGGCTGGGCCTGGACGAGGTCAAGAACCAAGCGGAGTCGGGCTCCGCAAAACAAGAAGACGGCGCATGCGAAGGTCGCTGCGCCAGTCTCGACCTGGGGCCGAGACGCTACAAGAAATGTCTGCCGGGCAGACGGGGGCTAAGAAGCCGGACGTCGAGACGTTGAACGTCTTGACGCGTACCTGTGCCGGGTTCCGGTACAGGGATATGACTCTCGCTAATCCTCCGACGCAAGCATCGGAGTTTACTTCGCTTCCAGATATGAGCTGGAAGCGCTTCGCGCGTGACTTGCACGATGGACGCATCGAGCAAATATGCATTCTCTCGGACGCCGAGAGAACGAAGAGCGAGAATGAAGAACTGAGGCAGTTCTTCATGGAGAGCACCACTGAGAGCGAGGACACTCTCAGTGCGAAGACTAAGAAGGAGCGCTTTGAGGAGCAGAGCTGGGACTCGCTGAAGTCGGGTCCCTTCCACGAGATTCTAAGGGAGCACGCGGACGGGCTTCCGGAAGCGATCCCTGCGGAGCTTCCGCAGGACAAGGGCATCCAGCACGAGATCGATCTCGTGCCGGGCACGAAGTACTGTGTCATGCTGCAGTGGCCACTGCCGCGAGAGCAGGTCAAGGCGATCGACGACTTCTTTGAGAGTCGTCGCAAAGGGACAAGTGAGGGAATCGAAATCCCCGCACAGTGTGTCAAGAAGCCACAGGGCGGCTGGCGCATCGTTCATGCGTACAACAAGCTGAACGATGCGACGATACCGGCGCAGACACCGATACCGCGAAAAGATGTCATCATCGATTCGATGGCCAGGAGCACTATATACAGTGCTCTTGATCTGTGCGATGGGTTCTGTCAGATCCTCATGCGTGAGAGCGATATCCCTCTCACGGCAGTGAGCACGCCGAGCGGCATGCTCTGGGAGTGGCTAGTGATGCCGCAGGGTCTGAAGAACGCCCCTGCGACCTTCAACAGGTGCATGACGCACTTGTTGCGCTCGGTGCGCGACTTCGCACCGAGCTACTTCGACGATGCGTTCGTCCACAGCCGGGCTGCGGACGGGATGAGCGATGTTGAGATGCACAAGGCGCATCTCCGGAAGCTGCTTGCGCTCATGCGCAAGCACAAGCTCTATGCGAACCTGAAGAAGTGCATCTTCGGGGCGAGCGAGATACCCGTGCTCGGGTGTCTCGTTGGGAAGAACGGTGTCCTCCCTGACCCTGAGAAGGTCAGAGTGATCAATGAGTGGCCGACGCCGTCGAACGTCAAGGAACTGCGGCGGTTCCTTGGCTTGGCCACGTACTTGTGCAAGTACGTGAAGGACTACGCGGGCATGATACGCCCGCTGTCACAGCTCCTGAAGAAGGACGCCGAGTGGGTTTGGACTGCTGAGTGTCAGCAGGCCTTCGATGCAGTCAAGCAGGGCTTGACGGAGGCGCCGATCTTGGCGGTGGCCGACCAAGATCGCCCATTCCACGTTGTGTGTGACGCATCCGACTTCGCAATCCGATGTGCGTTGATGCAGCACGATCACGAGGGCCGTGATCGTGTCGTCTACTACCAATCGCGCCAGCTGAAGCCAGCTGAGCGCAACTACCCGGTACATGACAAGGAGCTCCTTGCCATGAAGTACGCACTCGCGAAGTTCCGAGGGTATCTACTCGGAAGCAACCCGTTCGTGGTCTACACAGACCACGCGTCACTGCGGACGGCTGTGAAGTCGCCGCACATCTCGCAACGGATGGCGAGATGGCTCTCATTCTTCGCAGAGTATAACTTCCGGGTTGAGTACAAACCCGGAAGACTCAATGTGGCGGCCGACGCGCTCTCGCGTCGACCTGACTGATACCGACGTCAATGCCATTGACGCCATGCGATCGAGCACCCCAACGTCGTCACTGCGACGTGAAGGTCGCGTACGCGCACGACGCGGACGCGAAGCTCTTGCTGGCCTACGGCTCAGCGCCATCTGACAAAGCTCGTCAGAAGTTGCCGAAGCATCTTCGTGCTCGTGCACACCGTTATCGGGTGCACGACGGGTTATTACTCTATAGTGCAGTCGACGACAACGCGGGCCGCGTTGTCGTGCCCAATGACCATGAACTGCGACTCAGGATCATGTTCGAGTATCACGATCCACCGACTGCGGGGCATCCGGGCCGTGAGAAGACATACCTTCTTCTCACGCGAGACTCTACTGGGCCCACCAGTATAATTGAGTGCGCAAGTACGTCCGTGCTTGCGAGGTTTGTCAACGTGTGAAGCCTGCGCCGTTCGCGCAGGCTCCCTTGCAGTCACTCCCGACTCCGTCGGAGTGTTGGCAGTCCATGTCTTTGGACTTCGTATTCGGTCTTCCCCCGGACAGCCAGGGGGACACAGGCGTTGTGTCTTTGTTGGCCGCTTCAGCAAGATGTACCATCTTGCTGCTGTACCCGCTGAAGTGACTGCGAAGCAGACGGCGCGTCTGTTCGTTGACATGGTGTTCAAACACCATGACATGCCGATCGACATAGTGTCGGATCGAGACCCGCGCTTCACTGCGCATCTCTGGCAAGAAGTGTTTACACTTCTTGGGAGTCAACTTTCGATGTCGACTGCGGACCATCCGCAGACGGACGGGCAGACCGAGCGCGTGAACCGCGTGCTCGCTGACGTGCTTAAGAGCTACGCTCACTCGTTCCAACACTAGGGCGAGTGTCTGCCGATGGCGGAGTTCGCCATCAACAACTCGGTGCATGCCTCGACTGGGCATACACCGTTCTACGTGAATGCCATGAGGCACCCACGCCTCCCGAGTCTACTCGGGATGGTAGTTCCTTCCTTAAGTGGGGGGGGGATCTCCGACTGCAACGCAGCAGCCGCAGAATGCCGCTGGCACTTGTGTCAGCTGCAACGACACGAAGTAAAGCCGAGGACCGCGCGTCTGTGCAGGGCACAGACACCGCGAAGGCGAACGCAGAGGCCGGGCCTACTGCTGGAACCGAGCTGAACGAGTTCAGCTCGGACGCAATCAACTTCGTGCAGCGCAGACAAGCCGTCATTCGGTTTGTCGAAGACGCTATTGCAGCTTCTGTTGATCGACAGAAGCTGAACGCAGACAACGTTGGCAGGGGCAACACAAATGAATTCAAGAAGGGTTCATTGGTTTTGTTAGCTACTCAAAACCTGCCTAAACATGCAGATTCCGACTTCGGGGCGACCAAGCTCGCTCCGCGCTTCATCGGGCCGTTCACTGTGCTGGCACGGCACGGCAACGCCTTCACACTGGGATACCGTCTAGTATGCGCCTCCATCCGACGTTCTACGTCGGACGGCTGAAGCCATACCTGCAGTACGAGCTACGTAGCTCGGCTGAACCGAAGCAGAAACTCGGTGGAAGCCGTCATCCTCACCAGCGCGAAAGTCGCGCTAGAGCAGCGGGTCGAGCTAATTGTCCAGCTCGGCCGGAACGATCGAGGCGGCGCCGCAACCTGAGGATACTTCAGAGCGCCGAACCCAGCGCTCTGGAACTACTCCACGACCGGAACTCGGTCGTGGGGAGACGCGAGATCAGGGTCAACACCAAGTTGACCACACACGGGGCGTGTTTCCACCACCACCACCGCCGATTCGTGATGCACACGGCTCAACCCGATGGATTCTTGAGCGGATTGTTGATCACAGTATCCCGAGAACGAACAGGCAACCAGTTCGTTTTCGTATCCCTTGGAGAGGATTCCCTCCCAACCAAGATACATGGGAGCCGCGGAACGTCTTGCTTGAAGACGTCCCGGACATGGTGAGGGCGTACGAAGCCCACCATGCGCTACACGCTGGAAAGTAATACGGGCGTTGTTGTTAACAACAGCGTCCGAAGGCACTTCAAGGGCAGGCTGTGGGTCCTGCCCCCGTGGCAGCGACGCGCTTCGCATGTTGCCGCGCATTATACGCAGCAGCAGAGATGTCCTCCGCTGCTGCACCAGGGGTCTTCAACTTCGACGTGCTCGTTACGGAACGAGCACGCTCTCTTCAAACGCCACGCATTGACCAAACGGTCAATTGTGGTTGACGTGCCGAGACCGGCACGTCTAACCTGGACGGGGGGATGGTGTAACGGAGTTACACGCACAAGTGGCTACAGTCACTTGTTACTCTAACAGATACGATGTCTGTTAGAGGTTTGAACACTTCCTCGACCTTGGTGTAATGTACACCAATGGCTACATACATTTACGACCACCACGACGGGTGGTCCATGCACATTTAGGATTCCTATTGGCTGAAAGCAGCATCTTTTTGCTAATGAGTGACTTGATTGTTAGCAGAATCCTACCAACCAGCCGTTGGCAGATTCCTAGTTTAGAATATTACATTTAGAGGAAGTCAGAAACATAAAACAAAAATAGCAGTTCTCATCTTTTACCAAAACCCGCTACTTGGAGTCTTTATCTTGTTTAAAGTATACTCGTGGATCTCGAGTATACTTAACTCAAGTAAAAGAAACCTATGCTTCCTCATACACGTGCGCATACGTGTAAGCCCTAGTAGTGAGCCAAGGTAGGCCCATTACAAAGGCATTTCTGATGAAGACGATGGACAACACGCACGTTCGGCTGGTCAAAAATCTCGTCACGTCTTACGACATCTTCACCTTCATCTGCGAGAAGTACGAGGGTGCTGCCTTCCACGGCGACCCCTACTTCATCCAGCACTACCTGATGGAGATCAAGTACGAGGAGGGCTCTGATCTCACATAGTTCTTCCTTAAGCTTGAGAACGCGATGAAAGCCGCGTCGGAAGCCACCGAATCGGTGATGACGGAGGGACAGAAGTCAATCTAACTGTTCCACTCCATGCCCAAGTCGTGGAAGGATGATCTCCGCGTTTGGAAGGGCCAACGGAAGTACATTCCATATGAGGACCTCAAGCAGAGTATTGAGGGCAAGGTGCGCGACCTCCAAGCCCAAGAGCGCTACACATTGGCGAAGGGCACACCGAAGACGACAGCGACCAAGAGCGACCGTGCCCTGGTTGCGGTTGGACCTACAAGTACTTCGCCCACCCATGGCAACAGCTACAACAATACCTGCTCGTACTGCGACCGCCCGCGCCACGCTATCCGTCACTGCAGGAGCCTACAGAAGGACCTGCGGACTGGACACGTGAAGGCCGGTACTGTACTGCCTGCGAACGTTGTGTTCAAAGGCAACTCAAAGCGTGAGTACCCGAAGAACAAGGGCAAGAACAAGCGCAATGGAAACGGTGCTGGTGGTAACTACAACGGCAATCGTGGCAAGGATCGACAGCGCCAAAACCGCCAAGAAAGCTCTGATTATGATGACTACCGTCGGAGCAAGTCCCGCGAACGCAAACGCCGCCAGGACGACTCGGACGATGATGATGAAGCCGATGGCAACCGTCGTAAGGTATTTCGCCAAGAACGCCGCGAGTCCGGCCTGATTGCTGTAGCCACCGCCATCAACCCGCCTCTGAGTCTCACAGCTCAAGCCAACGTTGATATGGACACCACGTGGACCATTGATTCTGGAGCGACGAGGAGAGGCGTGTTGTCGCCGTCTCTCTTCGGATCGTGACTGGGACAGCGCCTCCAGAGTTCGAAGAGATCATATGCCATGGCTTCAGTCTCTTCATCCTCGCCGCCGTCGTTGTCCTGCTCTTCTAATTCGTCGCCTTCTTCGTCTTCTTCGTGGCCGCCGTCGTCTGGCTCTTCTAATTCGTCGTGATCTTCCTCTTCGTGGTCGTCGCCGTTTCCCTTGTCAACGCGGTCGTCTTCCTGGTCGCTGTCTGCCCCTTTCTGGGAATCTGACAGGCCACCATCGTCGGCGATTTCGCAGGGGGCGAGCGGCCGTCGCCTTGATCCATAGCTTCACGGCTCTCCGATTGCGATGAGAAGATGCGACGCTTAGCTAGCGGAGTTGGATCAGGATCGGGCGTCTCGCGATCCCAATCCCGCTTGGAAGTACTTGATGCTATTTGTTGGTTGGGTGCTGAATCTGAACGGTCTCGATCCGAGGTTTCCGCGGTAGGCTGTTGTTCGGCGGATCCAGGAGGCGCCACACGGATCAAGCTGAGGATATATGCAGGATTCACCACCTCTTCAATCGCGCCGGGCCGAGCATCTGCCAGAACCCCTGTTAAGACCCGTTCCCATCCCCCACAAAAATACTATGGTTCTGAGGTGAATTCATGTTGGCAAGCTATTTTCAGATAATTTTGTGGCTTGATAAGCATCGAGCTCACTCAGACTCCAAACAAACAGGAACATACCCAGGTGGAAGCGTGTTTCTCCGGTAAATGATCGACCTCCAAACCATCCCCACTCATCACAAATATTGTCAAATTTCCGTAATTGGTGGTATTGGCAAGTAGCATTTAAGCTCAAACGGACGGCGAGCTGACCGCGAACTGGAAGAGGCCGTTGGTCTGTAGGCGATGCTACAGAAGAATGTAAGTTTAGGAGCAGTTTTATCATAGGCTATGTTAATAAATTACATACTTAATTTAAGTAAAGCGGCGCCAATATAAATACGTAAGCCCTACCGATCAAGCAACGTTACAGAGCTAGTCAAAACTTTTTTCACGATTAGTGATATATAATTCTTTCGCTGACATTGGTTTCTAGCTAATTCGTATGCGGACGAACCGTAACACTTTGAATATCGTAGATTGAATCCAAATTAGCACCGGCTATGTCAATCCCTAAGATATTTATCTTACTTTCACTATCGTCCCCCACCATACCCATTTTAAATCCTCAAGTCGTCCCCCTATTAATCTAATTGGGGGAAATCCTGCATTTCCCCCAATTAGGGAGGCCTGGGTATGTACATACTTGCACCCGCGCGCCCCAGTTGGCGCCGCGGCGATGAACACCCACCTGTGATATAATTTTCTGCTGGGGAGTTGATGCTGCACAGAGTAAACATTGTGACAAGTCTCCAGTTTTTTGTCTGACGATACAGTACCAATACACTGGTTACAGGTAAGCTTACTGTACAGTGACTGGGGCCAGGGATTGCCAATTGAGGTACATGTCTGTATCGTCAGTCTGTACCATTCAACTACGCGGTCAAGTGGCATTCCACGTTTGTCTTTCAAGACCACAAGGCCCCTCTTTCCAGCGGAATCCCTCTCCACAGTCATGTGCAGTCTATTCTACGTTGCTCTTGCCTTTGCGGCTTTAGCTTGCAGCACCGTCGTCGCAGAGCCCTCGAATCCTGACGTCTCTCCGCTCTCGTCGAAGGTATCTCCTGATTCTGCGGCCAAAAGATCCCTTCGGGTTGCAGGCCAACAAGTTGTCCAGAGCGGCAGGGGGAACGGGTACGGTGGGATATGGAAATCCATCACCCAGAGTACTAACAAGATCGTCCACAAATCGGGTGTCAAACTGAGCGCACTCATCGAGAAGGCCAAGAAGGCGACCGGTAAGAAGTAGCTCGGATGCGGAGAGAGAGTCTGCGACTATCTTCTTTCACTTGCGAAAAGTGATGCATTTCAGGACAAAGCATTCTGGACAACAATCTAGAAATACTAAAAAAAATCAAAGCTTGGCCGTGAGGGAATGTTCGCCGCGTTGAAGCGACCATCCATAATTCATGATCCATGCGACTTTGCATACGGAAATATTTCCCGGGGTATACATTTCGAGTCCTTTGGACCAACAAACGCACCGTACTAGTAGTATAATAGTATTATTAATACTATTTGCAATCTTTTCGGGGGACGAGCTTTACCGAATGGAGAACAAGGTGACGAACACCACCGATTTTGGTGGAGTCTGGCACAACAGCATACTACGCATTTTTGCATGAGGTCGGGCTATGGTTCGCTTATCAAGCTGCCTGAGGTTTATCCAGACGCTGGAGTACTTCAGACCCTCTACATCCTCTTTTTCCCATTGTCGCAATCCGCCTCGGCCATCCGTCCCAGGCTTTGAAAGTATTATAATACCTCCTGCTTTGTCGAGTGGATACAATTTGTCGGCTAGAGAAGATTGGTAGAAATGATCTTTCAATCGATAGAATCTCAAATGGGTCTTATACAGAACGGGCCTGGTATTTTATATGAGTTTTTGTACGTTGCCGCAACTCGGAGTTAGTTTTCTTTATGCGGGGGTCTGGGGGTTGCCCCCCCCCCAGAATGCCTAGAATGCATGAAACCCGACCACAGATCAGGTCCGTTCTGTATCTGACCGCAACGATAGGTTACCCTTCAATCGATAGAGAGCTGTGCTTTGCCGGCAAGCGTTTGACCAATCATGTCGCACAGACGTTGCTGGAATCAAGTTTCCAAAACGACAAAGAAAACTCTGCATACTACGAGTTACAGCGAGAACGCCCATGTCTTAATCTGCCATATCCACGTTTCACTTGGGCGAGAGACTTTCTCTCCAGACTTTTTTCATCCACATTCTAGCGCCTGAGCGATCTGTTGGAGCATGGTGCTCATATCATGCAAACGAGTACAAACATCTCGCTCTGCTTGCGACCTCAGTTGAAAAATATATTTTTGTAAGAAAAAACAACAATGTGGACATTTTCAGTCCCCCTGCGCCAACCATGATCGTTTCCGATGCGGTTTCTTCGATCAATCCGTGCCAAGATACGGGTTTTCACCATGCTCAGCAGCTTGGTGTAGTTGCTGATCTTTTCTTTTTCAATACTATACGTGGCTTTTGCCGACGCCACGCTGTCGAGCTCGCAGTGACAAACACCTAAAACAATGAGCTTCCAACCCTTGGATCCCACGCATGTATCAACAGCTCCAATGGTCATTGCGTACAGCTTACCAGTAACGGCAGCACCACGAGTAACGCGCGCCCAGGGGTATCTTCTGACGGAAAGCTGCTGCTTGCGCCCGGTGGTGCCGAGGTTAGCGTAGATACTGGCTCCAGCCTAAACGTGAAAGGCCATAACGGCTCGTCGGCGGGTTTGTTCCTAAATACTTCTCTGGGCCACCTAAGAAACAACATTGAGGTTTTTAGTATAGCGAGGTTTTTTCAGGGCTCACATTAATTTGTCAAAAATACGTTAGGGTTAGGTTACTTAGCGCGCGCTAAAACGTCCGGGGGGCACCACACAAACCAAGTTCCCGCCAAGCCCCGAGCACTCAACATCACAATGGGACGTCACCCCAAGCAGCCCAACCTGTCCTCTCAGAAGAAACTCGCCATCTTTCTCCAGCTCTCGAACCTAGTCGTGGGTGGCCGGCTCCCCTTTGGCGCCAAGGCCGCCACCAGCCGTTACTTTTTGTGTCACCGGACACGGTCGCGCGCATATGGGACTTGCGCCACACGCCAGACGTGCTGCTGCAGCCAAATCGCCGCCGATCAAGCGGCATCCACTACCCCGACATCGCCACCAAGGTGGCAGCAGTGCCGTTGCCTCTTCGGCAGAACCAGCGGTCCCTTGCTGCCGCCGTGAAGGTCTCCCGCACCACCCTCCGGCGCTACCTTAAAATGGGGTTATTGCGCCGGAGGGTTTCAACTGTCAAGCCTCGTCTCACGCCTGAGCACAAGAAACGACGTCTGGCATTCGCACTACGCCACGTTCGGCAACCCCCAGGTATGAGCATTTTTTTATTTTGTACAAGCGGTTGGATATATAATAACCTTGTTGCTGTATTATTCTTTTATTTTGTACAGGTCTTAGACGGCCAATTTTCGTCGATATGTACGATGTCATACATATCGACGAAAAGCGGTTCAATATGTATAAAGGATCAACCCACTACTGAAGATCTATCCCACAACACATCGGTCAACAAACGGTATATAGGTAAAGTAATGTTCTTGGCGGCAGTCGCTATGATTTTTTCCGCCGTAAGTTTTTCGATGGAAAAATAGGCATTTGGCCTGTGGTTGAGCGTGTTCAAGCAAAACGGACTTCGGTTAACCGTTTAGCTGGTACCTGGGAGACTAAAAATGTTTCAATGACTTCGGATGAGTACGAAAATATTTTGGTGACAAAATTATTTCCAGCAATTCGCTCGAAGTGGCCAGGTTTGTCATTATTTTTGTATTTGAGTGTTTATTGTTAAAGCTAACGACATGTACATTAATCCTATTTCATGCAGGAGGCAGAAGTCGGCCAATTCGTGTGCAGCACGACAATGCGAGTCCTCACGCAGCGGCTTCGAGGGCAGCAATTCAACTAGCCGGGCAAGAACGTCCATGGGATATCCGCATGGAGTATCAGCCGCCCAAGTCGCCGAACCTCAATGTTTTAGACCTCTCAGTCTTCTCCGCGATCCAGTCGGTGCAATATCAACAGCCTACCTACAAGGTGGACGCCCTCATTGGGGTAGTACTAGCTGCGTTCGGGCAGTTGCCGAGTCGAACGCTGGACAAAAGCTTCGTAACGCTCCAAAAGGTGATGGAGTGTATCATCAAGGCTGCGGGTGACAACAATTTTCAGCTACCTCGCGTGAGCAAGCTGTACATCAAGAAAGGAATCATACCAAGCTCAATTGCACGTGATTCCACTGTCTACGAAGCCGGCAAGGTAACATTAAAACAGCTGCAATAAAATCTAAAATAACTCGCCCCCATCAACTGTTTAATCCTTGGTTTAATTCGGAGCCCACCTTGATTGGTTGAAATTGGAGCGCGTTAAATGTTTTTCGTGACATATCTACTTATCAGGGTAAAAGACCTCACTTCTTTAGGCGCCTGTACGATGCTATCCCTACCTCGCCAGCGTTCAGATAAGCGTTGAATACAGTCGCCCAGTCGTGTAGATTGACCACGTATGCGCTTTGTCTATTATCGCCAAATATCGACGAAGATGCGCAAAAAACCTTATTCACTGCGTATGAGCGTGTTCAAAGTTAGTGTTATTTCGCTCAAATCGCTTGTTATTGAGCTTTAAAAAATACAGTGGGGTGCAGCGTGAACCCGGCTTTATTTTAAGGCCCTGCTTGCGTATAAGATGCAAGAACAGACTGAGATACGACGTCGGGAACGAGTTGTAGTTTCTTAGGTGGCTCAGAGAAGTAACTAACTCGTGCGCTCCTCGGCCGATCAACTGAACTTCAATGTTGTTGTGCCCGGCGCAGCCACTCCGTCGAAGGCTGTCGTGTTTCGCTCGAGTTGGAATGTCGCCGGTATCAACCACCTTAATGCGGATCAGCTCACGGGCAGGATGACCACGCCCGCTCAGCCCAACATCGAGTCCGTGAGCTCACCAACCGCGCGAGCGGAATCAATGGGCTGAAGCTCGCGGGCACTTTGGTCACGGCCATCACGCAGCAGCTTAATTATGTTGACACAACCCAACAAGGCAGTTGTGCTGGACGGTGACCGCAGCATCGCCAACCTCAATGCGGTGAAGACCGCAGAGTTAACAGGCACGCTGAAGACGGGCGCACAGCCTTGCATCCCTAGTGTCGGCGCGCTCGACGCGCTTGAGTTGGTGGGCCCGCTGCCGGGGCTCAAAGAGCTGTCCACCGAGAGCGGGCGCTCACTCGTCGTCAAAGGTAGCGACGTGGGCAACTGTGCGCGTATGTCCACGAGTCACCAGTGGTGATATCCACGTTACCACCCGAGCTTGAGCGCTGTTCACAAGGATGTTCTGTGAATTTTAGATCCAGAGTTTCTCCAGCGACGCGACTCGACCCAAACTTACTCTAGTACTTAATACGTACCATGACCTAAATTACCTTAAAATTTCGTTTGCTAATTTACCCTGGTACCGGAATATATGCATTAGGGGGAGTAGAACCTGGCAAAAAACGTGCTGATTTTTAGGGCGATTTGATGTTGATTATTTCGGCGAAATCTTGTTGATTTTCAAAATCAACCACCTCCGGAGGTGGTTGATTCGAAAAATCATCATGATGATTTCGAACTTCAAGTGGTACCGCTTGCTGTTCCCTCCTCGACTTCTGATACAATTTCAGCTGTTTTTGAAGTCCCTCCTCAACTAGAAATTGTTGTGTATGTGTTTAGGCAAGTTTTCACACGAATCCTCTCCAGATAAACATGTTCACTATCACTATAAAAAAGTTTTAGATGTTAACTCGCGATGATGGAGACATTGTGAGCTGCTGGACAGTGTTTCGTTGGAGTCGGCCATTGCTAGGTATAAAGCTGAATATAACAAGATGTATATGCACTAAGCAAGAGCCTGCGCGTGCTGGCGAAAAAGGAAGTGATACTTCGCTGTTTTCACCAACTACATGCGAAAACTGAGAGTGAGTACTCTACTTTGATTTGTTGATTTTTAGGGCAGAACGATGCTGATTATTCGGCCCCGTCTCTGATGATATTTTTGTCGCCATTTTTAAGGTTCGACTCCCCTAATTTCGTGCAACCACGGAATTCATGCAACCGGCGTAATTACTCCTATCTTCAAATCCCGCCCAAATATCCAATCAAATTACCAAAAGCTCTATTATGTGCTAACATGTCCATTCTATGAAAGTGCTATATCTTACGACAACCAATCAGATCGTGACCATAACAGCGCTCAGCTTTTTACGCGCGCTAAATCTCAGATGTTCGCTATTGCTGGAGTTCTTACATCGGTTGCAGGAAATGCGTACATTCCGGTAGTGCTCTCTGTAGTACGAGAAGTGTTGGTATTGAGCGCCGCCACTGCACGCGAGAGTGACGAAGGTACGAGCGAGGACTCATGCAGAGATGACTACAAGGAGAACGAAGTGACGGCAGGCATGGCACGTGCCTGGCCACGATGTGATTGGATCAACCGAGGACTCACCGAAGTATCGGTTGGTTATACCATACTGGAATCAAGTCAAGTCTGGTGTGCGCTAATCATGTGATGAGAGGCGACAAGGAGAGCAAGGAGGACAACAGGGAGAGGAGGACAGTAAAGTAGGTTTAGGCTTAACACTAAATGTCACTTCGGCATTTTCCCTCTTCACCACAAGTAGCAGCAAAACCAACAAGAAGCCCAACAGGGATTGATCGAGGCTTTAAATATGTGGTCCACAGGAAAAGTAGGTATCAAAGCAACACAAATTCCAAGCACAACACGCTTATAAATCAACGAATCTGTATCAACATCGCTTTTTTAATTTGTTATACAGTGGATTTTATAAAGTTCAGCAGGATGTAGGCTTAAATGAAATCTTACGTTATGTTTGGATGCAGTTCTGGATCAATACGTTAACATCCTGGTAGTGCTACTCTGTAGTACGAGAAGCCCAATAGCGCTTTGTGTGTCTTGCAATGACCATGCCGTGATGCTCATGCGCCGTCTCCAGCAGGTCCTCCAACTGCGCGCACTTGCATCATCGTGCTTGCCGCCAGCACCTGGTGGTCTGCCTAAAATCGCCAATCATGGATCCGTGGGTCGGTGCACCTTGTCACGACTACTCTATTCCTACGCGCCGTACTGCCGACACAGTAGTCAAGTAGGTAGTGAGTGTATTCTCAGATCCCTGCAAGAAGGCGTCGACCGCGGCCGCCATGAGCCCCTCGCCCTTCCCGTATCCGTCGCTGGCGGCCGTCACGCGTGGCGCGGCGCTTTAATCTGCTGCACATACACACAGCGCGCTCGGGGACGCGCTCGCACCTCAGTAAGTCGCGGCTGCCGGTTGTTCCTCACACCTGTAGCTCCGAACCGCGCGTGGTTTGCAACTTCCTTGCGAAACAATGTAAATTCATACTGCAGTCGAATACCTTGCTCAATGGGTCACCAGTCGAAGCGAAGGTAAATGTCTTGAATGTTTGTCTTGAATGGCGCGTAGATAGATGAATAGTTTCCGCTCCTTGCAGCAACTCGCCCGGCGCTACGACAGCGAATATAGACCACAAGGGCGGGGGCTGCCGCAGGAGCCGAACGCGTTGCTGCGTGAATCGAAATATGAAGATTGTGCTATGACGAAGAAAGGTAATCTCTTTTAATCAGCGCGGTTCTAGGAGAGTTGCGGACCAATTTGGAAATATCTCGACTCACTCTTAGTTCGTGGTTTGAAGAACTATCGTGGGGGGGGGGTCTCCTAAAGGCAGCGCGTATTGATCGTGCGACCTTCGGGCGACGTTAGGGCGACATCGGCGCAAGCGACGGGGACGGCGACACACGAGCGATCTAGCGCGAACGGCGTCGCGCACCCCAGCTTCGCAGCGTCGAACCGAGCGGACCGTGGCCAACGCTGCGCAGTGCTTGCTGGGCACGCACAACGGGCGTCGCTACGACGAGCCACTTCGTTTTGCGCGCGTGCGCAGTCGGCCGAGTTTGGCTCGCCAAAGGTGCGCGTGCAATGTGCATGCATTTGCGAGGTGGTCACTAACGTGTTTATCATCAATGTTAGGGACTAGCAAAGCATAATGGTTCATTGTGTTTCGCTCGGAGTTGGGTGGTTGCTTAGACCGTGGCCTTGGTCTGCCATGTTGGCGGCCACTGACAGGTGGAAACCCACCAACGTAGCATCGCTGAGGCCATTCAGCCGCTCTTCTTCTTGTATCGCGTGCGCCAGCAGCCTGGCCCACGTCGTCAGCTTCGCCGTCATCGGTTGTAGAGCTAGTAGTCCATTACATGCGGTGACCCTCGAGACAAGTAGATAAGTCTGCTACGGCTTGTTAATCACGGCCATCGACGAGTTTCAGTCGACGACGACCATGAACATTTGAAGCAAATAAATATCTCATTACGCTTTCACTCTATGACATCAAGAAGGACAACCCGATGCTACCACCACCGGGCTCAATCGTGACGGTCGTGCCGACTAAGCTCCGCTTCTACAACGACTGCTTCCAAATCGACAGCAAGCTCCACATGATCGCGACGATCGCGCCACCTTGAAGCCGTAGTCCCCTACTGCCGCTGCTACTGCTGCTAGCTGCGGCTGAAGTCAGGCGCTCCGTACCATGGCTCGATCATTCACGCACTCATTGCATCGCCTGGAGCATTCCACTACACCGTCATAACCGATTCAATAAAGGTCTAGCTACTGTATCAGTCTGCCAGCTCGAGTCATTGGCTGTGGAAATCTACAGCCGACGACGGCGCGCAGACTTTAACTTGCCCCCCCCCAACGCATCAGCCTTGAACTACGCGTCCCCAGGCTTTAGACGGGTCCCCAATACTGAGTCGACTCATTTTTCGCGTTCACACAACTACTGATGGTTTTGATATTTTGGACGCAACGCGCAGGCGACCGGTGCGCCGCAAGTGCGGCGTGCCTAAGTCGCCCGCGTGGGTTGCGTTTGTCGTTTGTATTTACTGTTAACTGAGCTCCCTTCGATGCTGAATGCGGCTTGGCACTGCAATTGAGTTTGCAAAAGGCGCTACCAGCCCAAACCTCTAGTCGAACCCAAACTTACGGTGAAACTAAATGTACTTGTGATTTAAGAGAGAATGGCAATATATGAGACCAAAGTGCCACTACTACCTCTTAATACGTATTGTGAGTAGTACTTGCGTGCTAATATCAAGTTTAAATACCCATTATAATAAATAGCCGGAAAACAATGAAAAAAGCTGGTGATGTTGGTTGTGGCGGCGGCACGGGTAGTATTACAACCCATCACCCACAAAATGTTACTCGAAGCTGATGGGTTTAATAAAATACTATAAAATAACCCACGGTCAAACATTCATTTCAGTGGACGCAATCGAACAGATGGGGTGCTACACGTTGGCGTTCAAGAGAACTTCGGTTTTATCTGTACGATCATATCGAGGCCTTCATTAGTGAGAATACAAATCCAGTTTGGTATGCGCCTGCACAAGTACTATCCAACTTCTAACGCGGTACCTAACTTTGGACGACGAACGGCATAACAACATACAGAAAGCTGTCGGAGCCTTTATTTCGAGAAAGCTTGATTCTGGAGAATGTTTAATGTTTAATGCACCGAAATTAGTGAAGTATGTAACGATTAGCGAGAGACAAAACTAGATCGCTGGCGCTTAAATCGGGAGGGCGTTTCTCAATTGAAAACGTGAAGTGGCTAGATGTACTTGATCGCTGTCGCTTAAAGGCTGTTCAGCTGTTGTCTGAAAAATCAAAAGTGAGGTTCATCTTCATCTTTCGATCGAATGGTCGATAGTAGCGAAAATAAAATATGCATGAAACTTTGGTAACGTTTTACCGTAGGGAATGCATAGTATACTAAGAAGCAATCTATGACTCAAGGTCAACGCTTTTCGAAGCTCATGCCACGTTTGTGAAATGCGCGACTAGATCACAACTCTCTGCTTATATCAAGGTTTTGATAAGCATAACAAGTAGCCTAAAATTAGTTAGTTGAGATGGTAGTAGATTTAAAAGTCTCATACTCCTAATGCGGACCGATGATGGTTGGGAACGCGTCATGCAAAAGCTCAAACACGTCGAAGTGTAGCTTGTAAGTAAGCCTTTCGCAGCATGGTTGAAGTCCGCGAAGCGGAGTTTGTGCCACCTTCATCCTCACCAGTCGTCAATATTGCCACCAAAAGATGCATTCCACAAAGCGGGGTTCGGTTGCCTTTATTTTCTTTCTTATGCAGATCAGATCCAGGATTTGAACATGCTGATTATATGACCGAATCGCAAGACCTGGACCAAACAACCTCAACAGTGGATCATGGCTCAACTTGTGTTCTTGGATATGTTATCAGTTCATCTTTTTGCCCTACTGAGTGCTGGCAATGTGAAAGATATTCATGTGGGCCGACTATTTGGACGAGGAGACATTCTGCAAGGACAAATACTACATAGAAGCCCATCACTGTCTCACTATCACCCCCATAGTCGTTTCTAGAGGTTTTTAGTAAGCTACCACCTGTATCTATATATTATAGCTGCTCGCCAGAGTAAGACCTCAGATGTTGCTCATCCTTATATGTATGTGGTGAGTTACTGCATTCCATTCGTTTATGGAGACTACGTATTCCTCGAAACCAGCGCAGAAACTACAACGTCTGGGCCAAGGCGTCGTGGGCAACGACTACGCTAGACTCAGGTCGTGCTGTAGTATTAGTACGCCAACAACCGAGTATAATGCTTTGACCAAGGCGGCATTGACTTTCATATGTAAGATACTTCGGAGTAAGAGAGTTAATGAGTATCAATACATGAATTGTTCTGTGTCTAGTATTACTTAGTTGTTTCCCTTCCTGTCAGGATGCATGTAAGACTGAAATACTCGAGAAAGACTACGTTGTTAGTCGCTGCCTCAAGTGATGACCCATGGTGCGCCCCCAATGTGCCCTTGCAAGGTCTTCAGGGTGCCATGGATCCGAGGTTGCCTAGCTCCTTCATGGTAGCACACTGGGCTCCACGTGATGTAGTCGATGTAGCCTAACTGTACCATAGTACAGTGAGTCTTGACAGTGTCGGCTGCTCCGTCGCCACCCCCGACACCTCCGCCTCCTTCTTTAGGGCCTCGTCGGCAGCTTCGACGTCTTTAGGCACCTTCGCTTCAGTAGACTCTAGTGCGTGCGCCAGAGCTTCGGCCATTGAGGAAACCTTAGTCGCACAAGGGTCCTCGGCAGCCAGGCTCCGGTGCAGCTTTCATCTCGGTTTGATGCGCTTGATCCACCGACTCCTGCACCCCTGATCCTTTCCTCAGTCTGCTGCGCTTCGCCGGGCTCGCCCACTTCGCCACCTCCGATGCAGGTATCCTTATCCTGGTGCATGGCGAACAGCTGGAAGGTCTTCTCGGCACCGCTGTTAGACGTAACAAACTGCACCACGCCGCTGATCATGTGTCCATTTCCACGAGCTCGTAGCGTGGGGCAGCCTTGACACCATCGAGTTGGAGGTCTGGTCTGGAGCGGAGCGTGGGCGTGGGCGTGGGCACGCCGACATCCGTCTTGGGCTTGGCGTTCTTGTTGTCCCTCCCCGTTGTCACAGTATGCAACGCCGTGGCCGTCGTAGCGGACGATACAGCAACGGTGCGCTGGAGCACCGACACGGAGTAGCAGGAGTCCATGTCTCTGCTCAGGAGCTTGCATGCGGCGAAGCAGTGGGCCATCGCCTCGCTAGCCACCGCTGGCAGGCCGTAGTAGACGCTAGAGCACCGCTCGTGTTGAGCTTCTGTTGTCGGTCCGGCTCGTCGCGAGCGGGTGCTCAAGGCGTTGTAGTTGGCGGCATGGATGGGGAGGAGGATCGGTGCATGACATGCTGGGCGGGTAGAACTTGAAATCTCTCGAGGGTGCTTTGCCACCAGTAAACTCGTGTAGGGTACCGGTACGTTGCCGAAAGATAGCACATGTGATCCAATCACTGTCACGATATCGCCAAAGCTATGAGGTGCAAATCGAGGCGCTACTGTGGTCTGGTAATTCCACTAAAATCCTCCTCTACCAAAAGGTATTAGAGACACCAACAACACGCTAACCCGCAAAAGTAAGCGCTTATTGAATCAAAACCTGAAGACCAGGAACGATCCCTTACATCGGGTCGGTTGCAAGCGCCTCTGTGCACCTTAGGTTATCTTCGGTCAACCCAAAAACCTGTACCACTAGCCACGAGCTAAGGCTAGGATACTATGTAGCGCTTTCGCGCAACCCCCCTGCAGTCATTCAGAAAGGAAGGGTACCGGCGTGTTAGGCCTTATACAGGGGACCAAGGTAAAACATCGGTAGGTAGACTAATACACTCAGGGACACTCTAATCCCACACATATATACTGAACGATACCCTAATACCGTTCCTGCCTCTCCGGCCACACCAACTCTTGGCGCTGCCAAGGAAACTCTCGGTCAATGCACGATAAGCTCCCCGACAGGCATCCACACGCAGCCGAGCGTGTCCAGGCACTACAATAAGCTAGCTACACTTACCGAAGTCGGACTTGACCCTTGCTGGCTTTGGGGAAGACTGTCTTTTTATTACTGAGTTTTCTGAGGCCCTGGGGGCCTCGTTCTGGCCATCCTATGACGAGTCCTATGTCCCTATACAAATATCTAGTGTGAACGATCGCAATAAGGCGATTCCGGACACATCAAGTGATGACCGCGGCTACACTAATAAGTGCGGCCGAAGTACGTAACTAAATGCATCTGTACCTAAAAGTGGGTACCATGAAGCCTCGTTCGGGGTTGTATTAGGACCCGACGAGGCTCCGGCCACTACCTGTCACTTCAACGAGGATAATGTCGCCAGCTTAACCAAAGCAGCCACTTCCATCTCGCGCTTGACTGCTCCTTGATTATTGTACCTTGATTCTTGGGCGACGGGCAATCGCTCCGGTAGTCTCCATTTTCCGATACCACAACTGCCCCCGCCTGGACACGAGCCTCAGCAACAGGCGAGCGTCTAGGCGCCTTCCGTCCGTCAACTTCATGGTTCATTCATTGCGCTTGCGCTTGACCGCTGCGACCGCCGCTCTCCTGGACCTTCAGTGTTCTGGTCCGGTACGCTGGGCGTTCTTGCTGCTCTTTGCCATCAGTTGGATCCTCGTTAATGACGCCAACTTGTTCTCCGGCATCCCAGGGTGCTGTCGATTTAGTCACCGACACTTTGCAACTTTGGCTAGGGTCGTAAGAGCTTTCATTACCCACCGGTGGTTCTGTTGGCGCTGATAATACGGTTCCGGTGCAAGCTGCACCTGTGACCGAGCCTCCAGTGATTTCCGTCGCTGCTGAAGTGTCGGTCGACACACCATAAGGTTCCTCCAGTGATATTTCATCTTCTGCTAGGGCCACCGAGGATTTGAGGATGCTTGGAACCGCACGTTACGCACGGTGATACACATGCCCGATGCATTCCGGTGGTCGTCTGGTCCGACGTTGGTCGTTCCACCGATACCATGCTTTTGCGTCTTGGTTCCGTTTACTTCACCTTCAGTGGCATCTTCTGCAGCGTGTAGCCGGTCATGCTTCAATCGTCAGTCCATCCATTGCGACACCACCGGAATTCCGGTGGTCGTATGGTCCGACGTTGGTTGTTCGGTCGATCCCCCGCGCACTGCCCCTGGGTTACACCTTGGCTCCGTTTCCTCGATGACAGCGGTGTCTGCTTTAGAAAGTGCTGCACCTGAGGGTCAAACTGAGCAGGATGCCCTGCCACTCTTCTGGCCGCAATACCAATCTACCGGAGTTCCGGTGGTCGTACGGTCCGACGTTCCATCGACATGCTGCTGACCGCCGCACGTCACACATCGTCCGCATACTTCTCAGCGTCGCTGACATCTTCTGTAGCTAGTTCTGCGTCGTTCGAGGGTTCAACGTCAACTGGTGACACGATGGAATTGGAGATTTTCGAGGATTCCCCGAGCTGCACCTGTGATTGGTTGGCTCAGTGGCTCACTATGGGAGAGGGAGGCAGCGACACGTGGCGTATGGGAAAAGCGGATCCCGCCCGGACTCGCGTTGACATTGTACAAGGTTTGGTGACCCCGGATGGAGATGTCCCCAAGAGCGGACCCCGGATGGAACCAAGTACCGAACGAGAGGCAAAGCCCAAGGGAGCGTAAAAGTGCCTCCGACTGGAGGCCGCCTGGTCTTGGTGCACTGTACAACGCAAGAGGAGCCCGACTGGATTGAGTGAAGACCCAGAAACCGTGAAGCTGTCCTAGATACCCCGGATGTGACGCCCTAGTGGAGTTTGATCCCGTTTGGAGATAATCATGAATCCCGAATGGAGATACCAAGATACCAAGATACCATCCCAGATGTGAAGATCCAGTATACAAAGTCCAAGGTGTTTCCGACCGACCAAGCCGACCAGCTGAGATCTGTTCGGATTCCGTGGAACATTGAACTTCGCTTGCGTACCCAGTTATGATTATACTTGCTGGAAGTATGGCACGAGGGACCGCGGACGATTACGACGACAAGACCATTGTGAAGACAAGTCAAGATGGAGTGCATGTAAAGATCGACAGAAGATAGCCAGACAGACAGAGAGACAGAGAGACAGATAAACAGAGTTCGTTTTGCCAAGGATCGCACAAGTGAGTTGGAGCAGCCTACCGGACGTGCATTCCCGGAGGACCGACTAAGTCTACGTGTGAGGGCCCAGCAACTATGACATCTGGGTCGAGCTCCCGCAATCAAGTCCAGTCCAAGTTGGGGTGAGTACCGGGCGACAGCCCGAGGTTGATCCATCCCATTTCATTTCCTAGTTGCGGTTGAGCTCGTCCAGACCAGGAAGGCCCCGCATTTCATATTACAGATTACCTTGTCACCCCGGTTGGAGTAGCCCCGGGTGGGAAGTATTGATTTAAGAGCTATTGTGTGATAGGAGGTATTTGATTGTGTTAGTCTCCCTCAGTAATTGAGGGTGGTACGCGTGAGCCAAAGCCGACCGGGATTGACCAGTATCCCGGAGTCCGGCTGGAGTTGACTGGAGTAGTGACCGACCCTTTCATGGTCCAAGAGAATAAGGAAGGGCTACGTGTTTGTATATAACTCAGTATCTGTTTGTATTGCTTGGTTATCTGAGGGCTGTCAGAGGCGACGTCCAGGAAGGTTACGTCCTGCCCTGCTACCCAGCGACCTACAAGTATCAAGACAACTCATCCACGGTTGAAGACCCCTGGTTACGAAGACAAACGAACCCACAGGGATTGTTCACAAGGACACACGCCACCCCGGTTGGAGTGTACATCTAGGTGTACTATCTTCGGCTAGGGTTTGTTCTGGGTGCACCCCATTCGGGAGTCTACACCCGGGACGCGCCAAGCTATACACCTGGGCGGTCAGGCGTTCACCCGCCTCGCCTGTGTGCCCGGATTGGAACCAGGGATTTCACCGGAGTTGTTTATATTTTGTAAGTTTATAGGTGTGAGGTGTGCTAACTTTCCTAACTAGCGTCTATGACAGCTAAGGAAGGAGACATGCGCGAAGGAGGGCGCGGAGGACGAGGACGCGGAGAGGCGTCGCGTCAATCGCGTCGTACGGCGGGGCTGCCGCCCGAGGAGCAACCGAGCCTGGAAGAGGTTCAACGCAATGCTCGGAGGGTTAACACTGAAAAGCGGAAGGCGGCCCTGGCCGGAGATGGGTCTTCGAACCAAGTCCAGCCGGCACCCGAGCCGGCCGTCCCAGATGACGCGCACCAAGTGTCGAAGGACGGCGAGCCCGAACGTGCTGACGCGGACGAGGAGTCGAAGACCGCTAAGGGGGATCCCGGCCAGGGTGAACCCAACCAGGCGTCTGAGGGAGGCGCCGACGTGGATGAGCCCCAGGCGGAGGGTCGAGTTTCGGACTCCTCTCTGCCTGGCCAAGATATGCAGCCGGACGCGCAAGTGTCCGCCGAACCCAAGCCGACGCCGTCTGCCGAGGAGGAGAAGCCGGCCGCAGTTCCTGTGAAGGCGGTGACCCCGGCCGCTGATGCCCAACCGGAGACCCAGCCGGGGTAACCCGCCGACGGAGTTGCCGGCCGAGCACCCAAGTGTCCAAGCGGCGAAGACGTACGCGGCGTTGCAGGCGTCCCGGTGGGAGAGAGCCCGGTCTGGGCTCACGCTTCCGCCGAACGTGGCGTATGCCTGGCCGAAGACCCCTTCCGGACTCCGTGCTGTGACTGACCGCGACGCTTGCGACGTCCAAGTACCTGGCGTCCAAGGTGGCTTCGCAGGACCCGGCCGAGGTTTGGTTGGCCGACCTGGCACCCAGCCGTCGGGACTTGTCGACTGCCCAGGACCTTGGCCGGAGTCCAGATCCCAACCGGGTTGCTGGACTCGCGGGAGTGCGTTGCGGTCCTACAGACGCTCCTGCTCGAGGCTGGTTTCCAGTTCGTCAACGTGGTGCCGGCCTGGGTGGAGATGCGAGTGTCCAAGGTGGAGCCGATGTCCATCCGGACCCTGGTCGGAGACGTCCAGCGACTGCTTGCGGTCGAGCTCATCGAGTGGCGCGAGCTGGTCGTCGGAGCGACGTTCAAGATCCTGCCAGTGTTGGAGACCCAAGCGAAGACAGAGAAGCCGCCGATAATGGATTATCACGCGGAAGACGCGGATGGAGATCTATTGATGAACGACTACGAACTCTTGCTGGGTCGGACCTATGTCCTACACCTACGCTTGACTGGTCTTCGTCCCATCCGGAGTCCGAGCGGGTCGTCCACCGGTGAGCCTGCGCCCAAGCGTCAGCAGCATGCGCCGCCGAGGGCTGAGAGCTCGCTTGCGTCCCCGCCGTCCCAGTCCGAGTCGCTGCCGTCCGAGTTCCCGTCGGCTGAGGAGTCCGCCCGGGATGCCCCGGCCAGAGGTGCAACTTCGGACCCTGTCCCGAGCATAGTTGGCACCTCCGACCGGGCTTCCTACGGTGCGACGTCCGAGTCGTATGTGTCCAGGAACACCACCTCGGACTCGTCGACCTCGACGCTCGAGTACAGCGCTGCGTCGCACATGCCGATGCCCCAGCTAGGGCCTGTGGCGGTGTCCGCCCGGGGTCCTGGTTGGCGTGTCGGTCGGTGCCGGAGACGTGGGCTTCTACGTGACGCGCGAGGAGGTCCCCAAGCGAGAGTCGACCCCCGACCAGGCTGATGTCAACATGGCGCGCTTGGACGAGGTGGCCAGCCGGGCAACATCCAGGACGCGGACGTCGACGAGGTCCCGGACGCACCGACGCTCAAGGCATGACTCGCTGTCGAGTGGCTCGGACTCGGATGGAGATGCTCGGCGTCGCCGCCGACGTTCCACCCGGAGGTCATCACGAGACCGATCCCGATCCAGGCGCTCGAGTCGATCCCGGCGCTCGTACCGGTCCACCCGGTCCTGACGGACAAGCCTGTCGGCCCAGTCGGGGATGGCGGAGATGGCGGTGTCGACCTTTCACCAGGTCCAGCAGCTTGGTGCCGAGCTGTCGAAGCTTCGCGAAGCTGTGTCGACCGGGAAGGATCCCAGCCGGGATGCCGAAGCCGAGCTTGCTCTGGCCGAAGCCCAACGGGAGGCGCGCGAAGCCGAGCGCCGGGCCCAGGAGCTTGAGCGACACCTGCATGAGGTCTTCGCCCAGGCGTCCCAGGCCGCCTCGCTGTCCCTGACGGCCGAGGCCGATGTCGAAGCTGCTCGTCTTGAGGCCG